CTCCGCAACGCTTGATGTAATTCGCCGGGACACACGCCCAAATAGGCACTCCCAGAGGTCGTCAGTCGCAACCGCCTCGCCTGCATTCTTATCCCTGCTCATCAGTTGGTTGAGATGAGCTTGCTCTAGCTCCAAAGTGTTCGCAGCCTCCAGAGTAGGCTCTTGGACCTCTGGAGTGGACTCCTTGGATTTTCCTTTGGATTTCTGACCCATGTGTTCCATGCGTCGCTTGACCGACAGGTTGTAGATCGATTCCTCTACAGAGCCCTCAATCAAATATAACCAAACGGTCGTCTCGTTCTTCTGACCAATGCGGTCTACACGAGCAATCGCCTGCAATTCGAGCGCGGTATTCAGTAGCGGCTCACACAAGAAGACGTGGCTGGCGTTAACGAGGTTGAGCCCACTCGAATTTGCACGGCCATGAAGCATGAAACACTCAATGCTAGCATCATTCTGGAACTTCATTATACCATTGGGCCTGTCGATTGCGGAGAAGCCGATCTGATAGCGGTTGAATGCTTCGCCCAAGATTGCCAGGAAACTTTTGTATCTACAAAATGAAGGGTTAGTGGACAAATCCAAAGGGGTTTCATGATACTGGACTTACTGGGTGAAGATGATAGACTTGGCACCAGGATCCGATTCCCTCAGCCATAGTATATGTCTGACAACCGAGTCGACCTTTGTCCCGAAAGACATCCTCAATAACTCAATGTCATTGATTTGAGCAAGCTTCTCGGTGCTGAAACGGGAGTATATGCCATTTGTTTTGCCAGCCTCATCTTTCTTCACTCCAGGCGAGGCAGAAACTGGAGTCTCATCGTGTAACTTCAACTCTCTTGGCTTGAGAGTAATATCATGGAGTTCGGTGAGTCGAAGCTTCCTCTTGCACATAGGGCAATTCTGATGAGCCTTATGCCAATGCTTCATACAGTCTTTACAGAACTGATGGCCGCACACTGTCAGAACTCCAATGGTGAAGTTTGACTGGCAAATGATACACATCCGGGGCTCGTTGGACTTTCCGCCGTCCATTTTGAGATTCAGCACTAGAAGACATATTGTTAGTGTGAATCAAGGTAAATGCGTCGGGAAGAACCCACGATATCTGTGCTTCGCCTTTGAAGAATCCAGCTTTCTGCGGTAATTATTCTCGCTCGCGATGCAGGAAGCCACGGCCGGTCCATCATTAGGGCCTTCATAGGGGGCAACACTGTCTGACACTGCCTGAAGTTGTCGATAGTACTCAACCCTGGCATTCATGGCACTTGTGAAGCGGTCGGTCTCTCGTTCCAAAGCTGTGGCCGCTTTGGTCTGAGCGGTGATGTTCGCCTGTGTTTGTTGAATCTGCTTGGTCACAATCCCGTGCTCGAGGCTTGCCCGACCCCCGCCATCCCTTGGTAGCCTCGAGGCAATAGCTCGTAACTCGGCAATAGCACGACGAAGTGAACCGTGCCTGACTGGGGACGGCTTCACTGAGTCCCTGGCGTCATTGAGAGCCAAGAACTTCTCTGGGGCCGGACCATCGCCGTTCTCTGCGGCCGTCAGTGACACGTTGGTCTCATGTCTAACCAACGCATTCTCAAGCCCTGAGATGGCGTCTTGACGGTCAGCAATGGCGGCACGCAGGATTTGCACATGGACGATAAGTTCCTCTTGAATCTGCGTGGAGTCGGTGAACTCTTCACCAGTGACCTCGTTTTCCGCCTCTTCATCGATCAGTGCCTGACAGAGCAAACCGATGAGAGCTTCTCTCCATTCATCAATGCGATCTGCCTGCTCATTAAGGACGCCATATAGTTCTTCCAGTGTGTCAAGCGTCGGGGCGCTTTCCAGTCCCTTTGGCCCGCTCAAGGTAAGTTCTGGAATTTCGACGAAAGACTGGGTTTCTGCTTGGCGTCCCAGCCTGTTCATGAGCGACATTGCTCTAGCATGACTTTCTGAGAGAATCTCTCGTCGGACCTCCTGAGCCTTGCTGTACTCTTCGTCTTCGAGTTTCTGGTACTTCTTGAAGTCATCGGAGTCCGGTTCGGTCATGTCTGTGTTGCTCTTGATTTGGAACAAGGCGTTCGCACAGAAGAACGTGGCTTTATGAAGGACCTCCAGAGCATGCCGAAGTTTAGTGCGTGCCTCGCCAACAAGAGCATTTGTCGCGCCCTCGTCACCTTCGCCTTGATCACTAGCGTCCCCGCCTTGAACTGCGGCAGGAATACCCCCTGATAGCGCACCCACGGCAGCTTTCACCTCCTGTCGGCACTCGGCGACGAGATCCATGGCATCCACCTTGACCTTCTCCCATATCTCGAGAGCCTCTTTGACCCTGGGACTGTTTTCGAGCATTTGGCCGCGTGTAAGCCTGGCCTGTAGGTAGGCCCGATGATCGGCTCGAATATCGTTTTCGCTTTGCTCAATCATGGCATCCAGGACTTCGTCGACTGTCCGCATAGGTCCGACTTTCCGACCAGTGCCGCGTATCTGAACGATTTCAGGATGGAGAGCTGCCTGCCGTAAACGGTTGAGCCACGTTCGCATCTCAGTCTCGTTCTTTTCTGATGTCCAGTCGGGCTTCACAGGGGCACCAAGGAGATCTAGGCCACAACTCTTGGCCATAGTCTTGAACATCTCGCCATAGTACTGCTCTTCCACGGCTGTGAAGGGCAATGTAATGACGTATCGCTTCTGTGGCGGCACGGTGATTTCGTGTCTGACAAGTTGTTTAGTATGGCGCAAGGCAATGCTTCCGAACAGAGACCTAAAAAGAGACTTATGTGACTCCGTCAGAGCCTTCCAAATCTGAGGAGATGATGCATAGGGCTCGTAGCGCAGAAAGCTTAGCAAGCCGTGGAGATCTTTGACGTCGTTCTTCACCGGTGTTCCAGTGACGCCCCAAACGTTGACACGAGGAAGTACTCTTGCTACGATAGCTGCACCGCTCACTCCACCCTCAATCATCTGAGCTTCGTCAAGACAGACGCGCCACCAGGATATTCTCGTCAGGGGCGACATCAAACGGTCGTATTTTCTCTCTTGGCGTCGAGATCTGTCAGGGGGTTTCAAAGCAAAGTGTACCTCTGCAGATAAGACTGGATATGTGGTGATGACCACGTCGTACGAAGCCAAGTCAGCTCGAAGATGATCCTCAGTTTCAAAGCTGACATTCTTACGTCCCGGATAGAATTTGACTCGTAGATGAGGCGCGTGCCGTGCAAGCTCTGCAATCCACTGGTTTCTTAGTGACTCTGGCGTAACGATCAAAGTTGCGCCGGTTGTCAGGAGCTCATCGCCCTCTCGCGTGATAATGTGACTATCGGTCGGGGGTCGGCGATGTAGCGTGACCAGGCCGATGACTTCGAGAGTCTTGCCAAGTCCCATCTCTTCAGCTAGAATCCCTCCCCGAATGTCCTGCTCTGCTTGCTGAAAAGCTGTCAGGTCGGTAGCGACGACATGGTACAGGTCGCTGACATAGAATGATTGTCCGGATTCCCCTTCAGTTCGAACTTTGCGGAAGCTGTGTGCGATATCGGTACCCAGGGGAGGGGGCAGCTCCTCAATGTTTGAGCCTGATTCCGCGCTTGCATCTCTCCAATGAACACCTTCCCGGCCGAGAAGCCATTGAATTGTCCTCTTCTGGTAAGGGTAGAGTTTGGCCGTCAATTCGGGGATTTCGATCGAAAGCGCGTGCTTATCGTCGGCGGGTGGTACATGAGCTGCCTCATAGAAGTCCAAGGGGGACCAGCTCTGTTGTGTCGAACTTGAGGCGGATGAGGTGGTTTCGTCGCGTAGAAAAGTATTGAGGACTCTCTGACTAACTTGGCGCTCATTTGCGGATCGTAGCCAGTTGTATGGTGTCTTCGTTTCATTCCAATAGATCTTGAAGCAAAACACCACGGAGAGAAAGTCTCCTTGAGGGCGCAATGCGACATCAAGTTCCGCCCAGACATCGCCTTCGCCATGAGTTTTCTTCCGTTTCTGGGCAAAGACATACAGACAAGCTGCCAGACGCTGGGTGATGGAGTTCGAATGGGTTGTGACAGAAATTTTGATCCATGGCGCTGACGGTTTGATGCGAGAGGCAATACTAAACTCATTCGATTTCTCTGTGACTAGTTGCAAATGGGGTCCAACATTGTGTCGAGTAAAGGGGAGTGTTTCCTCGGGGCATTTTCGCACGAATTCCAGTTCTTCATCGGCCACAAGAAACTCTTTCACATCTTCATGTGATCGCTTCAATCGTTTTGCAGATGGTTCAGTCGCATCATGGTTCTGGGGTTGAGCCTCATCATTGGACGGAAGGTTCCGCAGTTGGTGAATAAAGTCAACCGGCCAGGGTTCTAAGAATTTTAGTCAGAATACGCATGCTTCCCAGCGAAGGTCGACAAACCATGAAATGAGATTGCAGTGGTCTTTGGAAGTGGCGCTCCGCGGCGAGCTGTCATCTTTGTGCGAGCCATGGTTGATCTTGGTCGCTGTCGCTCACACTATTATCAACGACTTCACCGGGCCTTAAGCGTGTGCTGGAAACATGCTTGCTTTGTTGAAACTGTGTGGACAAGCAGGAAAGACCGAAAAGACGGTTGGAAGGAGAGTGTGGCCCGTATTTAGTGATTCTATTGTCCCTAAAAAATCATTGGAAGAAGAGGAAAATGTGAGGAAGGTAAAGCGCAATATGCGCTTCAGACTTGGAAGGAAGGAAGCTCCTCGGTACTTAGCTTAATCGATAAGCAGGCAGTAAGAGGCAAAGTCGCGTCGCATTGCCTCCAAAGTCGCCTAGATTTTAGCGCGACAGATGGAGGGGCACTGCTAATTTAGCGGAGCTTCAGTGGCAGAACGAACCTCGGCGGACCATGACAACGTGGGTGACAGATCATAGCCAGAAGGGAAGGCGGTCAAGATCATGTGCACAGGCCACATACCATTCGAACTAAACGGCTTACCTAAGGCAAAGTTATCCCGATCCTTAGCGTCGTCGGAACAAAAATTGGGAGACAGTGGACGAGGAACATCGCGAGACCCATTGATTTCGACGACATCACCCACGCAAGCTCCAAGTTGGCCAAGCATCTAGCTTGAGAAGCTCACTTGTCCAAATAGTATGCCAAATAGCCCAAAATATGTGTATACGACGACCAATTGATGCTAATTCTCTCTCAGGTCAACATGAGAGCGCCAAGGATCCAGCAGTTTCTGAGCCCCTTCCTCCACAAGGCCCCCGTTGCGCCGACGTGCCAGGCCAGATGGCTTCATAAGACGAGAGAAATTCCCCCCGTCCCGTCACCGATACCCCTCGTCCCCGATGTCCCGACCCTCCTCAAGGTTCTCGGCCGCGGCCTGAGCCAGCACGTCGACAAGTTCCCGACGTGGGAATCTCTCTTCACCCTCTCCTCGACACAACTCAGAGAGCTCGGCTTGGAACCGCCACGGACGCGACGCTACCTCCTCACTTGGCTCGATCGATACAGAAAGGGTGCATTCGGTGCCGGCGGCGACTTCAAGCACGTGGAGAACGGAGAGGCCTTCCTCAAGGTCGTGCGCGACCCCAAGACAGACAAGAAGCTCGTCGTCAACGTGCCGGCGGGCACCGACGTGAGCAACGCCGCTATCGAAAAGCTCACGAGACCATCAGGATACACGGTTCGCGGCTCGCACACGATCTCTGGCCCCAGCGCACTGCCCCTGAAGGCCGGCGCGGGCGCAAAGGTCGTCGTGTCTGAGGGCATGTGGGAGCACAAGCAGGGTCACAAGGTCGATGGAGGTGAGCGCAGAAGGGCAGAGACTCGCTTCAGGAAGCGCATTGCCGCGCGCAAGGCCGAGAGGGAGGCTCAGGGTCTACGATAAATCGATTAGGGGTTGCGCGACTGTCCCATTTTCCAGCCTCACACCACTTGACACCACCAACTGTACTATATTCATAGATCTTGTACGATACGAGGTTGAAAATTGGACAGCGATCATCGACTGTCTGGATCTTGAAGTCAAAGCTTCTGAATGCTCTTCGGTTCTATTGTTAGCGTGACAGTATGATTGTGCCGTTGGGGGGGATGTCGGCGAGCAGCTCGCCCTCCGATTCGTCCCAGTTCTCTATTTTGGAAGGGGACGCTCGTAAACACGATGCAAACCTGTTGCTAGCGCATGAGCTACAGCATTAGGTACATGACTTGTTCGTCTGACCGTCTAAAGCTCAGAATAACTTGCGTTCTCATTTGGTCTCACTGGGGGAAACTGCATCAGAGCTGAATATTGATCGTCGACAGCGTACCGTGAACGACCATTATTGGACTTGTATCGTTCTCACAAACCAACCAGTTGCGGTCAGCCATGGGGGTCACAAGATTGCCGCGGAGATGCCGTTGTCGAAATGTGAAGATGGGAAACACCTAGTTCTCTCATTACCAGTCCACGGCTCAACCCCTTGTCAGTAGTCCTTGGTAACATGTAGGCAGCGACGGTCAGACAAACTTGACAGGTCAAGACTGCAGCTACGTAGGAATTCGCTTTTCTCAGACCATGGCTCCTGGGTCAGTCGCTGCGAGGTATCGGGCTAACTTTCAGGTTGCTTACTCTCTAATCCAGCCAAGCCAACTTCATCATGCATTTTGCAGGACTAGGATGTACTGCTGAGGGAACTTCGAGGCTAAAGGTAGGAGTCCAATAATCATAAGTTGTCTTTCTGCATTGTAGAAGTCGTCATCATCAACGTGGGCTGCCGGGTGCTGTACATCAACGGACGTCGTCAATTATTTACTTGCCACTGTGTTGGTAGCATATGCTAAACTTGGAATGCCGAAGCACGATCAGTTTACACTATTCTTCATGCTTATAGAGATGAATCAAATCGACTTTGTGGTTTCGATAGAAAGCTTGCAACAACAAGCAGAGTCCGGGTGTAAATAGTGTTGCAAGCTCACCATGAAGAATGAATAACAACACTAGAATATAGCTTTCAGATGAGCAAGCAGACAGTGCCTGCGAATTATTCAAATTATTTCCGATAGTATGCAAGGGAATACCCGAGTGTCGACATGGTATTGATTTCACAACTTGATCGAAGAGCTCACTTTCTGTAGGGCTGAATGTGGCTACTCTACCTCGAACTGACTAACCCAAATCATACCAGTCGTATACCTATGCTTGAAAGAACCGCATTTGAGGCGTTCGTCTAAGTAATTGTGTTAAATCCAACTCTAATAATTTTTGTCGTCAGAGTTGTAAGGGTTGGTGGGAAAACCCTTTGCAACATCTCCATATTCAAGGTGCCAAGCACAAGGCGCTTTCTGTTATCAGTAAGGCATTTTCCTCCCGTGGGTTGTAACCGGGCAGCCCCTGTGCTCAACCACATATGTTCAGTCAACCTCATGCAGGCTGAAGCCACTATTCTGCGGATTTGCAACCACCAAACTTGCGAATATGGGGTGAATGAGAGGAGGACCTGCCGTACTTGGAGCTTTGCATGCCGAATGAGTCTAACGGTAGGAAAGTATCAGACGTGATGTGGTCTACACACCCTCTGCCTGATTGTGCGGGCGAGGCCAACACTGCATCGGCTACCGAAGCTTTGGTGTTCATCGTATGCCATGGCTACCTCAGTGATGCACAGTCGCGGCGAAGCAACTAGCTGTTTGCGAGATTGAGAGCCGGTGCGTTCTCATGTTAGTCGAACGGCACGGCCCCGCGCCGACGATTGCACTTATGGCTGGCTATTTTTGCCCATCCTTCTGACACTAGTATGGAGCTTACTGTAGTACCAAGCTTGTGCACTGCGAAGTTGCGCTGACATGTTGAAGGCAATATGAAAGAAGGTGATGACAGTATTCAGAGTTGCCCCAATTAGGAATCATCGCCCATTTAATATTGGATGAACCAGACCACTTACTTCCTAAGTTGACGACACGAACCACCGAGAAACCTGCTAACATTTAAGCTTCCGTCACTGTTGACCGAAGATAACCCACGCTGACCTTGGCTTCTGGGCAACGGCTTTGGCCCATCATCACGATTCTTAAAGTCTGTGATATGCTATGTGGATTACGAGGTCAACATTTCGATGCGAATGGCACTTATACCTACCCTTCCTTTCACTACTTTCCAATCCTCCATGATGCACCTTGTAATACGGCACGCCTTTGTGATGACAAGCTCTCTGTATGCACCAGTGTAGACCTCGAAAGAAGCTGCCATAGATGGTATAGTAATGACTCCATGCTATTTTCATCGTGCGCCATGCCAATAGCAGCACCTACTGTAACGTATTTACTGTGAGACATGCTGTCGGACTGGCAGATCTTTAAGCGGGTACGGAAACCGGTTGCGACACGGAGACGGAGAGAGATAGTCGGCGTGTCTGCGAGAGGGTGCCAGGTGCCACACCGTCGTCCTATGAAAGAGTTGGTAACGTGACAGACCCTGAAATCAAATTTCAGGCAGAAACCTCCTTCAGGCCGTTTTGAGCAAGGGAGCAGGTGAACTCAAGGTAGATTCGCATACTACCCAAATGCTACTATTCTGCTACGATGGTCGCCGTGAGCGAGTCTGTTAGACTTGTGGCGTTTTGTGAATGGTTGTCCCCATGCAAGCCTCCTAGGCAGATACCTCAGATTGGAGCTACACGGCTGAGACTGAGCTCGTGGGACACCACGTTGAGTCACCGAGGATTGGGAAGGACACCTCATCTGCACCATTGTCACATCGGTTGCTTCGCTCGCGCGGTATATGATTTTTTCTGCTTTCGCAATTTTGGGATCCAACGACCCAGCAGTAAGGTTAAGTAGACGCGGTTAAATAGCACAGCAATTTTGACGACGGCGGCGTAATCAGTCCCGCTCAATCGCCCGCCCATCTCCGCCAGGGCGATAGTATGGTCTGGGCTCCCATGTTGAAGTCCACTGCATAAGTCCCCGGGTTGCAGACGACTCGTCAGCTAAGCCACGCAATCTGTCAAATCAGCGGTCTACCTTACGAAGTACACTAACAAATAAGGGTTTAAACAATTGCTGGGGTGTTTTTTTCTTCCAGAAGCTCGCTTTTGAATGATGACATATTCGTGGTCAACAGCAAGCAAAGGTCCATGCTTCTCTGACTTAAACTTGTTAGCTGGTTCGTCTGAGGTATCTTACTTCGTAACTAGTTCATCTCCACTGGCCGAGAGACCGAGCTGTAGGAAACTGGAAGTTACCCATCATCATGAGATCGAGTACCTACCTTACGTTTGCAACGTTCCAGGCTACTGCCCCGATGGATTTCCCAGCATAACCAGACAGAGTGTAGATGGAGAAGAGAAGGAGTGCCGGATTACTGAACCAGAAAGTGAAGGGAGGAAAGAGTGTTCAATGATTGACGAGGAAGGAGACAGCGTGACCCACCTTGATGACATCAAGCCAATCAAACATTGCTTTCCACGCCAGACAATTAGACCAGTCATTGAGTCTCCAAGCGAAGTTGAGGCTTTTGGCTTTTCCCAAGAACACCCGACAGCGGGAATTTACAGTGCACATGCGCCCGGCGCCAGCCTGCTGTTCAACGACACCTGACAACCAGGACGAGAAATAACGCAGCGATTTGATTGATCAATTGAGATATTTTCAGGATCTGATAGTCACGAGGGCAAACAAAGCCACGGCAGAAACCTGCCGTCCGAATCCATTTGACGCGACGGTCTAATATCGGGTGTGGACCAACCGAGTGTTTTTCGCAACATTGCTTCTGTGAGGGCCGTTAGGGGCAATTCCTGGGTCTATCAATAAGCTTAATCCTCACCGTTCCGCAGGCAAGTCGGAATGTTTCGCACCCAGGACACGCTCCCCTCCTCCTCGGAAGCTGGGCCGCACACGGCAGCGTCTCGAAGGATTGGAAAGACGCTACTTCGTACTCCGTACACTACCTTGGGTACGCTCGCCGTCGCTTATTCCTTCGCCCAGACAAGAGACCAATGTCGAAAGGGAAGGCAAAGAAAAACGGAGCCAAGGTCTCTACGAGTGACTCATTTGTCTGGCGCGACAGGGCCAGCCTCTGTCAGACGCGAACGAATTACACGCCATGCCGTTTCGTCAGCACTCACGTACCTTTGACAGAACGAGGGTGTCAAACTCTCCAAACTCCGCGAAAGACGGCAGATCGGCTACTGTTCTTCGTACTTGCGGAGCTCAAGCTACGACTCATCGATCATATGGACAACGACACCCTTTCTCTCAACGATCAAGTCCGAGGTTCGAGCTGCCCTTCATCCCAAAGCCTGCCTTGCCAGAGGAGTTGGGATGACGGGCGCAAGTCCCGCCCAAGTTTTGCTATGGATGCACTCAAACGTTGTCTGACCAAGTGGTTTGGGGTCGGGGATTGCACGGGAGACGCCTCGATTCATCGAGAAGGGGTGTGGCATCCAGTACCGGGCGAGAGGTGTCCTATCAATCAAGGTCAACTCGCAGCTACGCGGCCGCGAGTACCTAACTAAACTGTATCCGCATGCCATGCAGGTTCGACCCCCCCGCACACCATCCCTGGTTAACACGCACGTCAGGCACAAGCAACAACGTTGCTCTTGGGCGAATGGGCACACTCTACTATCGACCTAGGGCTGATGGCAAATTTGGAGCTGTCGATTCCCCAATCTTTCGGCCAGATGCTGGTGGAAGCTGCTCCAGCGCGTTTGAGCTCTTCTCATTGCGTTGCTAGGAGGTGCATGTACCCTCAATCATGTACAGATTGCGAAAGCTTGGTTCGAGAGTGACAGCCCACTCACCCATTATCAAAGTTGATTTTGGGTGAGAATCTTGTCTTTGTCTACGTAAATCCTGACGTACCAACTTCACGAAGCTACCCCCCTTCAATACGTAGTTCGGAAGACGAAGAGCCCTCGCAATCGTCCTCGACATCGCTGGGCCCTGCTCGCTTATTCTGCCCCGTCTCATCTTGTCCTTCTCCGGCCTCTTCCAGACTCCACCCCGGCCCCCGGTCTCTGTTCGAAGCCTTACCTACCGGAGCGATTCCACATGGAACTTGCGGGTCCCTCCTCCTCGAGTACATGGTCATCTGCCTTGTCTTGGCTTGGACTGGTTTCCTATGAGATCAACGGCACATTCTGAACCCGCTGACGCGCGGAAGTCATTGCGACTTCTGTCCTTTGGACGTCCAATATCTCTATTCCCACTGGCCCATCGTACTTCGTGTCCAGAGACGTAGGCATCCATCACAATGGCCTCCAATTGGCCCTCCCGAGATCGTTCTCGGCGGCGCCCCGGGGATTACCCACCCTCTTCCGGGCTTCACCGATCCGTGCTATGCTTTGCTGCGCGTCAAGCATTTTGTGCCTTCTTCCTTTTACCAACATCCCGGTCTTGAAGGTAGTCTTGCCAACCGCCTCAGCTCGTCGCTGCCCCCCTGCCAACTCCCGTCCCCGTCTACTCTGCGGCTGCTGCGTTGCCGTTGCCACACCCCCCAGTCGTACCTTGACCCGGTGTCGTGGACTCCTCGCACTCCCTTCCCGTAGTCTGCCGCCCCTCTGGCGGGTACAGCTTGATGGGGCCCATGGAGTAGGGAGATGGGGGTGTTCCGCCCCGTCTGTGCTTAGACTTGGGAATCTTATTCTGCACATTCCTTGATGGCGGCTTGCATAGTCCTGCGTCACGACGCGGAAGCCATGGGCGACTGACCGCGTCTTGGGTTGCTTTCGAATCTGCCCTACTCGTTACGTGAGGCTGTCTAGGATCCCCCCGTTGAAAGTGGGTGCTCTCAACTTTTGGTACGAACGCTTACCGTGTCCAAGGTAACATGGCTTGTTCTGATGTGTGGCCTGGAAATTCTGGGTTTCGATATAAGAGTGAGGCTTCTTCCCTAGCTTGGTGGCGATGCTGTTAGTACAGACAGGCAATATCACATAGACTTACACTTACACCCTGTTCACAATACTGCCATTACCTCCCCCACAAGCCTTTGTTACTCCACACCCGCTTTCCCTTCAGACATTTCCTTGATCTATACCAAGTCAGTGTTAAGACCAATCACGCAAGGGAACATATTATACAACACAAGTACAACTGAGCTGTAAGTGTAGGATGTCAAAGTTGTTGGCGGACTCTTCTGACGAACCAAGTAATCGTTTCAGCCTCGTATTGCTGTGGAATAGAGCCACTTAGCTCAGAAACGTACTTCTCAGCAAGGGGTCTAAGAGACACTACCGCAACAGTTGGCATCCTCTCTCGGCCAAGTGAGACCACAGCTCTCTCAGGAGCCACCACTTGACCGCAGAACAAACACCACACTTACTAGTCTGAAACCCGGGAAACAACCGCAACATGTCATCCAAGGCTTCAAAATCATCAGAACAAAGCTCCAAGAAGCACCACTCCTCAAAATCAAAGTCAAAGTCAAAGAACGACGACTGGGCAGAAATCACAGACCCCGAGGAGCGCCGCCGCATCCAAAACCGGCTGGCTCAACGCAAATTCAGTATGTTTTCTCTCTGTGTTCTCCGAACCCTAGAGCCTCTCTCCCCTGTTCCCGGGAGTAGGGGAGTCCTCAAAGAGGAAAAAGACTACAGCAGCCCGACTAACACACAACCACAGGGAAGAAGAACCAAGACAGCAAGGAAAAGGCCGACCGTGACGCAGAAAACGAGACCAACGCCAAGAACACGTACGAAATCGCCTCGGGCTCCTCCGATCCTAGCGGTGCCGGCGCCGGCGGCGCGGAAGAGGGAGCCGAGTCCGGTCTTCCCTGGGGCAGCATCAACATGAACCACGTCATCACCCGCGGCCACGAGCACGAGAGCCGCCGGGGCAGCGGCCGCGACGACTACGTCAGAGAGGACCCGTATTACATGACCAACTACGGCAACGGCTATACGGAGGCGTACCAGCCGGCGGCGCCAGCGAGTTACGGGAGCAGTGGTGGGGAGGACTACTACTACGGAGGCGACTCGCCGTATTATTTGGACTACGATCAGGGCGGGGACGTGAATCAGGGGCATCACAGGCGGTAAGAGAAATCTACAACTCCCGGTAGAGATTGACTGTATTCTGATGGCGAATTTTAGGCGCTAGTTTGAGATTACTTGGGACACTCTGGGCAAGGTACGAAGGCACAGGCGTTAAGGTTGGGATGGGCTGGGCTGTGTTGATTTAGCACACAAAAGAGGAGGAGAAGGCGGGCGCGTAAGATATTCTGAATTCGTCCACGGGGTGGGCCCTATACCTTTGCCTGCTTTTCTTTTACTCGTCTTTCATATTTTCACACCACTCATCCTGTGCTGAATCCCGTTTTTGGAAAAAAGAAGTAAAGGGATGATGAATGTAATCCTGTGGAGGAACAGATGACTCCTTGTCTTTATCAGCATGGAGTTCAACGGAGTCTGGGATCTAATGGCGGACGGAAGACACGACAGTGAAGATTCACCAAGACGGGTCCTGTATTAGATATCACTCTCGACCTTTGTTTGTATTCAATGGCAATACCTCTCATAACTCTCAAGCACCCTATTCAGAATAGAAACTCAAAAATACGAAAGCTGCGCCAGCTATGGCTGGCTCTGGAGCAAACATGAGGGTGTGATCGTCGACGCTGCATGTGCCACTCACACGCAGTAAGCCAATCTACGTGAGGGAAAGTCTGCTGTGGAGTCCATAGAAGCAAGGAAGATCGGTGCTGAGTAGTGAGCTGATTTTGCCTACATTACATCGAATACCGGAGTTGAAAATATGACATTCAAATGACTGGTACCTGGTTAACCCCATACTGAAGCTGTATTTTGTGGGTGGGGAACTAGTTCAAGGTGTCGCCGCGATGTTAAACGAAGACGCACATCATTTCCCGTTGCTAGACATGTCATCGTCTGAACCCGACATCTGAGACTGTGTCCAGGGTGTCTCTAATGATGTATAGAATGCACGGAGACCCTTCAGAGTACCGCCGAGACACGGCAGTTTCTATCTAAAGCCGGGGCTGAACAACCCTTTGACGCTCGTGTAAGTCGGATCGCGTGACGACAGGTCTTGGCGTAAGTTATGCATAGTCAGTAGCGATGTCCCGCGACAGGCAGCCTTGGCTGATGGTGTGTATGCCCAAAGCTTCGTAGGAGGCGTCGAGGCGGGCTGCGCGTGTGAGACTCGCAGCGGTAGTGTACTACTAGAGGGGTGACTGATGCCAGGAAGACAACATTTACGTGAACAAGGTACCGTTGCATAGGCTGGATTCAGGATAGCGACACAAGGGTGTCGTAGGCTGAGGTAAGTAAAAAGTATACAGCTCCAGAACAATCAGGAATGCTCTTCACAATCTTGGAGCACCGTACTGCCGGTAAATCGGGCAGTGCTCGGCCGCGATACGGGAAAAGAGGGGCCGTAGTCTAGTTCCTGACTTTCTGTCCCGTCATTCCGGTTAAGGCAGGTCAAAGCTTCCAGGGACCTAAGATCAGTACGTACCTCCCAGACTGGTCCATTTCCCAGAATCAAACACCCCACCTTGCAGGGATCTAGCATCAAGGTCATATCTTACCGCCTGGCAGAAAGCGATCCCGCCCAGAATTTTTTGTTCGTTGCAACTCCACCAGTCGGTCGCAGCCCGGCAGAAAAAAAAAAAAAGGACCCAGCCACTTCTGCCAAACGCCCGAAGGACAATCGGCCAGTCCATGGTGGCCAGTCCATTGCAACACCACTCCAAGACTCCGAACACCTGGAATCGCAACGAAATCGGGACAGCATGGCGCCAATCAAAGAACCCGTGGTCCGGAGCGCCGAGGATTTGAAGGCCCAGGCCGAGGGCAAGGGTAAGAATACGATCCTGGAACCCAAGCCCCTTTGCGCGCCGGCGCCCACCAACATCACCTGCACCCGACATAGCTGACCGCTTCGAACCCCCACAGAGAAGAAGATCGAGCGCAAGCGCAACCAGCGCGAGAGACGTGCGGCTGCCAACAAGGAAAAGAAGCAGCTCAAGGCTGCGGCCAAGAAAGAGCGCAAAGCCAACGTCCAGCGGGCCGCAAAATGGCAGGATCCAGTCCACCAGGCCGCCGACAAGGCCAAGAAGGCGGCGCGCAAGGAAAACAAGGACGAGAAGCGGTTAAGCCGCATGTTGAGACGGGCTGATAAGCTCGAGGCTCAGGCTAAGAAGCTCATGGCCGAGGCTGCGGCAGCGCGCGTGAGACACGCGGTCATGGCTGAACAGAGAGCGGTAAGTCCACGAGATAGGGTGACGGCGATTGGAATACCCGATTCCAAGGATTCGGCATACTGACCATGCGGTTTTGTAGAAGAACGCTGCCGAGGAAGAGGAGAAGCAGGCCCTGGCTGCGAAGAAGGACAATGAGGATCTCAAGATCTACGACGACGAGAACGATTCAGAAGCCGATTCTTCCTCAGACTCATCATCATCATCATCATCTTCCTCCTCCTCAGATTCGGATTCGGATTCCGACTCCGACTCAGAGGCGGAAGAGACCAAGGGCGGCGCAGCTGTTGAACAAGACGAGGATGTCGACATGGACCCAGAGTCACCAAACCCCAGCGCACAACTCCGCGCCGAAAGCGAGGCGAGAGCCATCACCCAGGAGCAGGAGATGGAGGTTGACGAAGAGGAAGAGAAGCCCAAGAAGTCAAAGAAGGCAAAGAAGAGCAAGAAGGTCGAGGAGGAGGTGGAGGAGAAGGTTGAAGAGGTTGCGGAACCCGAGGAACCAACCCCCGCTAAGAAGGAGAAGAAGGACAAGAAGAAGAGCAAGAAGTCCAAGGCCGTAGAGGAAGCTGAGCAAGAGGTCAAGGAGTCCAAGAAGTCTGACAAGAAGCGCAAGCGCTCAAGGGAGGAGGATGAAGACGACTCTGATGGCGGCGTTGCCATTGCCGAGGAGACCCCCAGCAAGAAGGTCAAGAAGGATAAGAAGAAGCAGAAGAAGGAGGACAAGGAGGAGAGCAAGGCACCTGCTGCGGACAACGCTGCCGCCGCTGAGCAGTGGGACGTCGGACACCTGGGAGGAGGCGCAGACCGTCAGCAAAAGTTCATGCGTCTCCTGGGCGGCGGAAAGAAGGGCGCTGCGGCTGCGGCTCCTCAGGCCTCGGGGGCCAAGGGCAAGCGTGATATCAACAAGATCACCCAGGAACTCGAGCAGCAGTTCCAGGCTGGTGTGCACATGAAGTACGATGCTGGTGGCCAGCGTCGCGGTCTTGGTGCGTAAGCTGTGGGATTTCTCAAGACGAGGAAGCCGGTGTGGACACAAGAAGTTTGTTGAAGCTGTATTCACGTGGCTTTTGTTAGTAGCTCTGGCGTTCATGTTGATGAGGCCGTATGGTCAGGACCAAACAGGGAACGCAAAAAGTCTTTTCATGTAGAATAAAAAGTGAATTGCTTTTCATCGAGGTGATTGCTATCAACGAGCTGCCTCTAAAAGGAGGAGAAAATGAAATAAACGGGAAATTTCAAATACAGTACGCCGTTAACCAGGTGTTCTTGCTTTCCCACGGCGAAGGACAAGAAAGCGATGCGTGGCGTTTTCTTTGTACAGACTTGTTCCCACCACTGGAAGCAAGGTGCTGTCTGGGATATGGGCTCAATGCCTCCAAGTGTTCCAGGAAATTAACACTCCCCTTTTTTCCTCCCCACTGCCGAGGGGAGACTGAGCTGCCTCTTTGCCTGACCGCCTTCTCCCCTTGCAACCAAGGCAGTGCTGCGATTGTGTTTGAGCTCAAGTCCTCAGAGGAGGCTTGCTCAGAAGAAGCGAGTGCGAACTGAGAAACCACAATGCTCGTGCAGCCTCCCCTGTTCTGCGGACTTTTGTCTCGTTCACACCCTCATTCGCTTTTGTAACTGAGTACGAACATCGGCCGGGTCAATTTAGAAGCCGAACATGCGAGAGAGGACCTCGAAGACAATACCACCAAAGACGACGAAGCCAAGGAGGACTGTAGAGAGAGGCAATATTAGCAATTGCTTCCAAACACAACTAGCAGCAGCCTTTTCTCTTGCGAAGGTAATTGGGGCTGATCGCAATGGGAGACGACAGAAAGCGAATTGGGACTACTCACTGAGCCAAATAGGGGAGATGGGCGACTTGGGCGCCTCCTTGGTGCGCTTCTTGATCTGATCCTCGGACTTGCCCATGCGGGACTCGTTGTCCTTGGCGAACTTTGCGTTTGCGCGTCTCTGTTGGGGTGTTTGCGCCTATGGATCAAGAAGTGTCAGTAAGGCTATAATTGAGTCGTAAGTGTATCCTAGTACGAAGATCGAAACCGTCAAGAATAACTGGTCTTGGTGTAGAGGTGCGGCGAGGGCTGTGTTGGAAGTTGCATACCATTGTGGTGATGTATGTGTGGATGAGTTGTGAAGGGGTTGCGGCGATGTGGTCTGCTCGATGCGAATTCTTTGGTGAAACGCTTCCTTTTCCCGGTTATTCGGTTTCGAAGTTTGACTCGTTATATAATGCGCTGGAAGAGGTAGAGGCAGACGTGGTGTTTGGTCGTGTGTGTGAGGCGGATCGTTGTCGAAACTGTGTCGAGAGAAGAGAAGGGAAGCTGGTTGAAGGGACAGATTGCGCGAGGGAGCTTTCGGGCTAAGAGCGGTTGAAGCTAATTACCACGAGGGGAGGTGGTAAAGGTGGTTTGCCGTATTACCTACTCCGTACTGACCTGCCTTAGCTTCCTAGGTACCTTACCCGCTAAGCGCGGGCCCTCCACTGCTCATGTACCCTTCGTACCGGCCCTCGTACCGGGCTCGTACGGGAATTGCTCTTCTCCCTTCAGGACCTCCAGGCGGCCACCACCACCTCCACTCTAATACCCTCTGATTGTTCGGGACATGGTGTCGTCAAAAAGACGTACGGGGCCATTGCCTGTTCGGGGCCAGGGGTGCCGGAGCCCATGCGCCGCTCAATCAGAAGGGGGCCTTGTAATGAGGTACCTTGACCCCTGGAAGAAAGCACATTGCCAAATGCCACCTGTGCCACAGGCAAGAGCGGGATCCGCAATGCCGTATGTAGGGCGGTCGACGCGCTGCCGGGTTATGCGGGGGATACGCGCACCGCCACAGATCGGCGCGGCGCGGCGCAGCGCAGTCATTCGAGTCTTCCGAGGACGGGAGCTTTTAGAAAACGGACGGACCGTACAAGTTACAAACGAAAGTGAACCACAATACCTACGGAGAAACCTGTGACCACTCTCAATAGAATACGGAATTTTCTGCGACTCACCCGCTCACTTAGCCATCGCACGATCCGAGGTACGAACTGTTACGAAGCGACGACCGACCAACGAGACCGCAGCCCGTCATGGCCGCGCGCAGCAGCACCATGATCCTGAGCAGAGCTCTGCGCTCTCAGCACACAACACAGATGCCCCGCGCAGCATCGCGGCTCTACTCGACATCCGTAGATGGCGAGAAGAGGCCATCCATTGTGGTTCGTGCCGTCCCGTTTGCTCCCTCACTCCTGCGACAGCTGTTGCACCCTTTTCCAGGGCAGAAGAACCCCGACGAAGCTGACACGGAAATCACAAACAAACAGGGAACATTCTACAAAACGTTTACCCGGCCTGTCCTCAAAGTTCTCCTGATGGCGACCCTCACATATCAAATTGCCTACTGGACCTGGACGAAGCTGGAACAGGACGAAATCCGCGGCGAGAAGAGTAAGGAGATTGAGAGTCTCGAGGCAAAGGTCGCAGAGTTGCAGGCAGGGAAGGGAACGAAGGCCTAGAGACATGGCGAGGGCGAATGGAAGAGATCCGAGACGAATCAGAGAGACGAACGGAATCAGTTGCGGTCTCCTAGGATCACAAAGGCCGAGGTCGGCACGAGAAAATGGAGCCGGACGCCTTAGATTGGCGGAGGAGAACGTCGCTTCCACTCTCACCGCAGGGAAGACGTGGTTGCTTATGAGCAATGCCGATTCGCCATACGTTCCAGAAAGGCCGTATCAAGGTCTAACGGCCAAGTACGTGAGCGACACTCACGAGGTGGGGACTCTTGACTGTTATCAAGGACTGGATACGTGCTTGGAATGGGTCTGAGCAGTATTACGTCGAGTGTAAAATATTGTACTCTACTGTTAGCAGGTTTCTATTGTCCTGCAAGGATATCAAGTTGGTCCCCTCAAAATTCACAGACGAACGTAGATAGAGAAAAAAAGTCTGTAAGATTATCTGATCTTCTAATTCTCTAACAGTTCCTCCCAGCACAGCTAATACAGCCATGAACATACGCAAGGACGTCTTTGTCCCAACCTTTCAAAGTAGACGTCGTGTCTTAACGCCGATGCCATGCAATTCATCCAGAAAACCCTCATTACACTGTCCCGTCGTGCCCGTTACCCATTATACAAAAGTCGGCCGTCAATCTACTGAAAATGAATACCCTCTGCGGGATCGGTCATGTCACCCCTTCTCGTCCACCTAGAGTATGACTGCACTGAGTGTACCGAGAATGAGAGCCGATAGTAGACCCCATGAAACTGATAGCAATGAGGATCCAGAGGGATTGTGCACGGCGCCTGGGTAGTTGCAGGTTAGACCATCTCCCTGTTCTGCGTAGCTCGAGTTGAAGATGTCATCATCTGGCGTCGGACAGTTGAAACCAAGCGACGCCGGGCAACTTTGTACCAAGTCATAGCAAAGGTAGGCGCAAGGGAGAATCTCCCTGTACGGGCCTGGCTCAACCATCTCGTCGATGAGTGGGTTTCTCGAATGCTGATTGACTCTGTTGGGATACAAGTCTTGCTGGGCGACTGGTAGAAGAGTTCCGTTTGGGAAGCTCTGGTTCACGTTCCTGACTAAGGAGAAGTTGGTAGGACTCGTGAAATCCTCGCATCTCGGAATCGTCACCGAGCAGAGCCACTTCTTGTATGCAGTCTCACAATCGGAGCAGTTTCGCGCGAGGGAGTACTGCTGTACTGCTGGCGCTTCGCAGGCCACCTGGGCAAGCTGTTTCTGGAAATTGGCATACATATCCCGAGCATAGTTGTCGTAGAACTGCGCAAGCTGAGTGATATTCATCTTGTTAGAGTTCGCGGGCACAGCGTATTCCGTCTCATTGCAAAATTGCAGGTCGGTGACGATTTTGCAATTCTCTCCTACACACAGAATCAGTCACTGATAGCACTGTTGCCCTGGCAGTGTACATACCATCTTTGGTCTCGAAGGGCGTCGCTTCGAAAACCTTTCCGCCGCCGCCACTCTGAGCGCCGTCTTGACGTTTTCTCGACGAGGACGAATTGCTTGTGCGGACTAGGATGCCCGAGTAAAGAGCACTCGCGTTGAGCCCGTTGAAGAAAAATTGCTGCTTGGGCAGGTTCCCGGCGCCTCTCGTCGTCATAAGAGTGCTGGCAAGGTTGCCAAATTTGCCACCCTTTTTCGCAGCGATTTGAGCGTAGTTCTCCAATCCACACATTGAACGTCTAACTCCTTTGGTTGTGGGCTGCTCTCGGTTCTCGACGAACATAATGAACGGGAGCCCGGACCCCATGATCTCCTGAATCAAAGTCTCATTTTGGGAGGTCGTTAAGTTCTGCGTCGTCAGGAGCGCAGCGCTAGAGTCACTGTCCACCCAGAGAAGCTCAGAAGGATTTCCGTCAAAACTGTGGAAGAAATCGTCCGTCGACGCCGCCACATCAAAGTTCCAGTCTCCTGTGAACTTGTCGGTATCCTTCGAAGGTGCGCCTATTCCAATGAAGACGTCGCCTGTTGCATTGACGCTAAAGGTTGCTGCGCCTTCTACAAAGGCGACCTCCTTCTGTAGAGTAGAGTTCTGCCCTGGTCCAGGTGTCTGATTGTCCTGAGACGTCGAGATATACATCGTGATTTGTGGCGCATCCTCTTTAGTGTTGTTCGCCGCACGCTGTGGCTGTATACACGTGGTCGCTGAGATGTACACGGTCCTTCCCTGAGCTTGCCTGCGGCGTAGGCCGCGCTCTTCATCATCTGGCTTGACGCCTTCGATGCTGACTAGCTCCGGTGAGATGGATTCATTGCTGCCTTCGCGAGGTCCTACCATGAACGCCTCATCTGTCCCATCGAAGAAGTTGGCGAAGATGGTGATAGCTTCAAAGACAAAACTTTGGGTCGAGTTCCCCGGGACATTGCGGTTGACTTTGACATTGTTCGTTAGACCCGTAACACCGGCAGGTGCTCTTCCAATGATGCTGCGGTCGAAGGCAGTGAATTCGGGCTCGTACGTTGGCTCGAGACTGCTTCTTTGCTCGAGACTGTCGTCGAATTGGACGTCGTCAAGGACTGGCTGTGTGTCGCCTCTCAATTCCGCAGCGAGGGCGAAGGTGGGAGTAGACAGAAGATAATAGAGGACGATGAGCAGCAGCGACGCAATCAGCGAGGCCGCCAGTCGCGATTGCAGAGGGCTGAGCTGCATTGTGTGGACATGCCCTCCGGGGGCAGATGCCGTTGAATCTCTTCCTACCGAGACGCCGCTCGCTATGGTAAGCTTTCGCCGGCGAGTCGGTGAACCCGAGTGTTGGCGGGAATGCAGGTTACGCTCAGCGAGGGTCGATATGTCGTTATGCTTGATCGCAAATTGGCTGTATCCACCAATTCATTCCATGAAAGCGCGTCTATCGGTGGAGCAAATGTCGTCGTGCTGCGTGCAGCCTGTCGAGCGGAAAGGATGCTACTAAACAGGTTAGATGGACGGAAAAGGCCGTCGACGAAAAACGGGCAAACGAAGGCTGTCGAGGTATGGCGGAGTTGGATTTGGAGAATTCAGAAAGGGAGGGAAAACAGCCTTTGTCGTTTTACGAGTTTCACATCCCAAACAGCTGAGAGGCGGGCTACAGGCACACGCCCTCCCAAGGCGGCTCTAAACGGCCAACACACGCTAGAGATCCCGCAGAGTCGAAGTAGGAACAGGGGGTTCAACCCGGAAAGTGTGGGGGACCCCTTTCAAGTTTCCGCGTCTCGGGATCCTCGGCCAGCCCGCTGGGGCTATCCTCGCCAATGGTCCCTGGAAAAACCCCCCTAAGGCTAAGGTTGCTCACAGCGGATTGGCATTTGGCCTCATGGACCAGGTGGCGGCGAACTTGGCACCCGCCCGCAACACAGTCTCCCGTGCCGTCTCTCCATTGAACTCAGGCATTGAACTCGCGGGTCAAAGTTCACGCTACACCACATCTTGCGCTGGCGGGCTCGATATCGAGGCCTGGCCAGCTGATTGAACCGCTTTTCTGCAACAAAAAGCGAAAAGAGGCCGAAAGACCAGGGACCAGGAACGCTGCAGATTGCCCCAAATATGCCGCCTTGCTGCCTCCGTTAAGTTGTTCCGGTGATGTGCAGCAATTCCAGTCCGGATTCTTGCGTCAATGGGGCAACGAGATGACAGCGGGCAGCAGCAATGACATGCCGACTGGTATGAGTAATGCTCGAATCATGGTTCCTCTTATGACCTCCACAGTCTCGGACTCGACTTTACCCATGCGAGACGGTCTTGTACGACGCTGAGCAGCAGCGTTGGTATGTGGTCTATGTCAGGGTCTAGCACCTTTGATGCAAGATGCCCACTCGACGGCTTGTTGCTTTAGTTGCCCATGACAAAAGAAACATGTATGGCATCTCGACTATCTCTTTGTCTCGAAGCCACCACACTTAATCCCGCACAACGCTTGTATATGTTTCCACATTTTCATCAAGGAACCGAATTCAATGGGAGACGGTGGCAACGCATGTCGCACGAGAGTTTCTTAGCATCATGTACTGTCTCTAGTCCATTGCAGAAGTCATTGACTCCGTATTCCGTAGCATACAGTAACTTTAAATGGGGTAACAGGAACTGGTTTAACCGTTCATCGTGGCTCTCGCGTTCCTGGAGCCCCCGACCAAACCTAAACAAGCCATCACCGTTGTCTGATAGTGTGGTAATGCTAGCCTCTGACACTCCATCCCGTCCTCTTTGTGCTCTAGGTCGCTGCATAACGTCCATTTGACTAGCTTGCGATTACCACTGGGATGAAGCCGGGCCAGCTGTATAACTCTTTCAAGGTGGATCTCTCAAGGCAATCGACCTATTTGATGAGCTGGCGCTGGGGCCCGCTTACTCGGCCTTGCCAGCCTGAGCACGGAGGCCGGAAGCGGTAGAGGCACCGGCGAAGTGCTTGGCGAGCATGGGGGAGAGGAAGGAGTTGAAGATAATCTCAGCACCACTATCGCCAGTCAGCGGATTCTACCACGGGTCGGATTGAACGGAACGTACCGGAAGGTGGGCAGAGCGAGCCACAGCAGGAAAACAAACTTGAAGGTGAAGTAGAAGGGGAACCAGTAAACAACGTTCACCAGGCTCTCAGCAACGCTATGGTATACGAGTTAGTTTCGAGGCTCTGTGACGGACCGGAAAGGAACTGACGTGAAGAAGGCAAAGACGACCCAGTACTAGAATCGATGTTAGCAAGGTTTGGGCGTCAACAATTGCGGGGGAAAGTTGCAACGCACTGTCAACCACTGGGTATCGTCCTGCTTGCTGGCGGTGAACAGGGCGTTGAGGGAGTAGTAGCCGGGAATGACGAAGCCGGCGAAGTTGGTCAAGAGTTGACCACCCAAGTTGAAGATGATAAGGAAGAAGTAGAGGGAAGCAACGCCGATGACGGCGTAGGCCTTGGGAACGTTGGTCGACTTCTCGATGTTGTTCAAGGCGGGGTACTTGGACAGCTATCGCAGACGTCCGGGTTAGCAAAGGTATCACGCACGTCTCGTAGGAGTTGGGGGAGGCTGATATACCTCACGGTCGAGCTGGCCGATGTAGTTCTGGACGCGATCCTGGGCAGACATATTGACGGCTGAATAGGAGCTTGGTTGGGTAGCAAAAGCTGTGCGTTAATGCGCTATGATAAGGGTTAGGACCAGGCCAGGTTGCAACTAAAGAGATGCCATAGGACTCGGTGCGGGCGGCGGAAACTAACAGTGGTTTGATGAGCGATGTGGGTAGCTTGTAAAAGTCCGCAAGATGCTGTTGACGATGTCAGAATGTAAGGTTCTTGACGAAATTACTGAGAATATGGGGTTGAGTGACCTTGTGTCTGTGTTGGAATTAGCAGGTGAAAGGGAAAAGGCCGGATGACGACGTAACGTGTGCAGATCTGGCCAGTAGGAATGGTCTGGGTGCCTTTGCGTCTAGCTTCAGTCGGGGCTAATGGGGGTTTGGAGAGGGGCACAAGCACGAGACGAAGTGAGCACGGCGTAGCTGGTTGTAGCTCCCAGTTGCAACCGACTTTGTGTGCCGGGCAAGTTTGCCCTGGGATCCATGTCCTTCGTGTTAGCGGGTACTTTGTGTGGCCATGGCTCGGATGGTGTCAGATTTCGCAGATTTCGGTCTTGAGTCTTCAGCCAGAGAGTGTTTTTTTGGCGGGCACGGCAGGGTATGGTGGGTATGTACATATGGGATGCCACCACCGGTCCGCACCTCTACCTTACGGTGAGATAAGATAAGAGCACCCGAGCTCCCTTGCCTTAGCGAAGGTGGGGAAGACTCGGACCCGGATGTTTTTGGCTGAGGTGCATTACTGTTGTGATTCTTTGTGTTGATGCCTAACGTCCAAGGCACATTACACCTTGAGAGAGGAGTAAGGTACGTACGGACGGGAGTCTTGTTGCTCTTTGAAGCTGAGTGGACAGATCTGAATGTGGCTTCTCCGCGTGTTTGGAACACAGTAGCGCATATACGTACCGACGCCAGAGCCAAATAGCCAGAAACAGACAAAGTAAGCAGACCCCACATCACAGACTCCATGAGCGCACTGGCCAATTGGAAAACACAAACACGACCAAGCTGTTACGGGACTGGCTGCTCCAGGTTGTTTGGGAACCATCCAATCCGTGGCCATGGAAGGATGCAACCACACGCTGCAATGACTGGCCTTTCTCATCACGTGAGTCGCCCAGCCACGCCAATCCGTTGTTCCAAGACCTGAGTGGAGGTGACCAGCCGAGCCTTGGTTGTCAAGTCAACAAAACAGTGGAAAGCCTCCCAAAACATTTCCCACATCCACACTCTGCTCCTGGTCCTGCTCTCCCCCGACCACGTCCTTTAAGATCTCGACGCTCACCACGGCGCACCGCGCTCTTCAAGGCTGCAGGGATTCCGGATCACTCTCTCGACCTCGACGCTTCTTCTTCTTTCCTCACGCATTTGTCCTTGCTTGGCGCACGTTGACTTCTTCATTGTTTGGAAACGGCGTCCTGCATGATCCGTGTGTTTTCATCGCAAAATAACAACATCACATCCTCACCGAGCTGACAGACAACGACCAATGGACCACGGTACGATCCATAGCCTCGCCAGGCTTGCTACACTGCAACAAAAGCATTTCTTTCTCTGTGTTTTTTTGACTGACGGTCTGATATAAACAGACCACCTCGCCCAGGCCCTCAGGGCGAAGAAGAGACCTCAGTCTCGGGCCTCGACTGCTTCGGTTCACAGCATCTCAACGCAGCCTACTATGGAGCAACAACAGTTTGCCGACGCGCCTGAATTGTACTCGGCACAATGGGTCAACAACGACCGGAGACAGCAGAGAAGCCTCGCTCCCGCGTCGCGGATCACACCAGAGGAGATGATGCTTCATGCAGCTGCTACCCAGATGCAGAACGCCCGCGAATACTCGATGCCGCCCGGAATGAGTGCCTCCATGAGCCAGTCCAGTGCTCACATGGGCCACTCCATGTCTTTTCAGCAACATCCCATGCAAAGACACCCTTTACCGTCCGAAAGTTTTGCCAACAACAGCTTCACCGACGACAGCCAAATGATAGATCGTGACGAGGACGGCGATTCTTTGGTTGGAGCCATGGGCATGCAGAAGTCTAGTTCCGCCAGGTCCAGTGCTAACAACGAGCTGGAGATGCGTCACCTTTTCAATGCCAACAAGCACCGCGGCCTGCAAGATGTTGCCGGCGAATTGCACGGCAATGAGCGAGGCCCCAACTCCGAACGCACCCGACAAGTCTTTGCCATGCTCTGGATCAACTCTGTATGCACCAAGGGAAAGGGATCTGTGCCTCGAGGACGCGTATATGCCAACTACGCGTCCCGCTGTGCCACCGAGAGAATCACCGTCCTCAACCCAGCTAGTTTCGGAAAGCTTGTCCGCGTTCTCTTCCCAGGTCTGAAGACGAGACGACTTGGCGTGAGAGGAGAATCAAAGTACCACTACGTCAACTTCTGCTTGGTTGACGACCAGCCTGACCTCCGCGAACCCGAGCCTCACATTCCTGTGGCTATCTCCGAACCCCCCCGTTCCCAAAGCTTCAGTGCGGCACCCGTCAAGGCTCAGCCTGCCGCTGCCGTCTTGCCATCACCCGACGCTGCGAAACGACCAGAGAGCCCAGCTCAAGCGACGCATCACACCTCGAGGTCGCATAGCTTCTATAGCCATCCAAATGTGACCAGCGCGGATCATCTGAACTCATCGGCATCGAAGACCTCATTACAGTTCTCGTTCCCCTCGGAAGCAGATGAGCTGCTTCTTCAATCTAACGAACCTCTTGCGCTACCCCGGATGGAGCCTTTCCTCCCCAGTGGAACTGACCCAGATGCTGCCAAGAGCTTGTCTGCCCTGTATAGATCGCATTGCACCTCCCTCGTGGAGTGCGTTCGCTACTGCAAGGAGAAGACGTTCTTCCACCTCTATACGTCATTCCAGGGCACGTTGACGATGCCCGTTCAAAAGCTCCTCGGTCACCCGAGCCTCGCCCCTTGGATTGAGGAATGTGACTTTATTCTGTACCAACGCATGCTCAGAATTATCTCCGGGCTCACACTCCAGGTCGTGCCCAAGCCAGTACTGGATACTTTACGCGGCATCTCCGAGCGCCTCGTACCTCACATTCGAGAGGCTTTCCAGGGACAGCCGCACCATGTTATCCGAGCCAAGGAAGCACCGGCAACTATCTTCGCAGCTCTTCTGGACCGAGCTCTGCGGGTTAACCTTACTGCTCACGCAGCAGCCAACATGCTGTCCAACCCGGCCAACCGCGATCAGATGTATCTCGACTGGATTACGATGGTGCGTGTGCGCAAGGTGGCGGAGTGTGTTCCCACACGTGGTATGGATGATCTCGTCAACTTGCTCGTCACCGAACTGCGGGATCTCCTCAGCCCCATGAACGTCCCTTGGGAGGTGGAGTGCTTGACGGTCTATGGCGACATTGCCTTGAGAAACGGTCGCCAGCCCGGCGTCGAGAGCGCAGGCGATCCTAACGGACAAAATGTTTTGGAGCGTTGGGTTGGGTTCCTCAAGTCCCTTCCAATACGGTTCCCTTACGCATCGCACACTGAGATTGTCTACGCCGTTCAAAGAGTGGGCACAGCTGTGATGCGGGATCTTACCATGGCTCAAGGCAAGAGTTTCGGCTCGTGGTGGGTGACGAAGTGCTGGATAGACGAGATGACTTGCTTCCTTGCCGAGCAGGGTGGTTTTCTTCAAATGAAGACGTCGGGCGCGTCAGCAGCCGTAGCCAACCCTCAATCGGCAGCCCAAGAGTCGAACCGCCAGGGATCTCGGTTCAGCGCGGGCAGCGAGGACTTTAACTTCTCGAGTCTTCCTCAGGCACAACCAGACAAGGCGCCATTCCCACCATCAACAAGCCATGGCCAGGTCGACTCTCCGGATATGTCGGCGGGGAACAACCCGGACGACAGCGGGATCGGCATCCGGACACCGGAGGAAGACTTCCCGATGGATAAATACACCTTCTCGCACTCGGAGGTCAATCAAGCGTTGCTTGCCAACGCTGAGTTGCAACAATGACGAATGGAGATCGGATTCTAGTCGCACCTGGCAAACCAGGTGTCATGTATCGATAGCCGCCTGTCAGACAGTCTCTTGTAGAGGCTTGATGCCAGAAGAGGACTGTCGACAACAGTGCGATGACGATGGCACGACTGCACGATTGTATGAGCGCGGAAAAAGTCTTGACCATTTGGTGGGGACAAGTCATTGGGAACTGCGCCTGTTCATTTCTAGACGGGGTTTGGGATCTGTTTTTTTGCGGTCGGTGTTTGACGTGCGTGGCGATCGAGGTCGGCATCTGCATTTGGTTCTGGTTCTCGTGGGTTTGCTATACCAATTGTCTCTGGTTCTGGGCAAAGCAACGGTACTTTTGCATTTATACGTTTATTTAGTGGTAATACGACCCATACTGGGAGAGCTTTGAGCAGACAATGTGTGCCCCTTTTTGATGAGTTACAGATGCATGCATGCAAGGCTTGGCAGGGTATTTTCACGTTGCCTTTGCTCACTGTCTGATAAGACTGCCCAAGACTCTGAATGGCTCCAGGTGTTGTTGAGCAAAACTACGTTGTCATGAGTTGCGGCGGCAACAGATCAGTGGCATGCAGAGTTGCGTCAGATGCGGCTATTTCACTGGGGGCGTGGGATCCCCGTCTGTCAATTCGTCATCGGCCGGTCGCTGATTCGCCATCCCCGCGCGGTCGCCAGGATTCGGCACCTAAAGGTTTTCTTCGAGAGAGGTTTCATAGGCTCTTTACGAGACCGCATTTGTGGAGTGGCTGGACGGGAGACGGCAGCGACAACGCAGAGGCTTGAAGAGACCACCAGAGCGGACGCACACAGCGAGTGACCCCCGTGGGGTTCATGAGTGACCACTAAATGGCCGTCCTGGAACCGTACTCTATTATCTAGAGTTTCTGGGATATTGAAGAGATGGACAAGTTTGACATTGGTGTCAAATTACCTTCTTCAGAGGGGCTAGTGAAGCACCGATACTGCGTATGACTCAGACAAAGAAATTGTCACGGATAGAGGCTGCCGCGGACACACTGCCCAATTCAGAGCCCTCGGTCGTACAAGTCTTTGCAGAAGCCAGGTCAAGCCAGGGGATTTATCGGCAGAGACGGTAAAGATAGGTAGGTAGCAGCAACGGCAGCGGCGTGGCAGGTATGCGTTGGAGGACTACCCGGGATTCCAAAACTCGAGACCCATTCATTATTACCTTTTGACCGAGGAACGGCACTGCTGAGGCTTGTACGTCAAGACAGGTAGTAAAACTGACCAATGTACGGCTGTCATTGTTTGGTGACCTTGCAGCAGTGTATCTGTAAGGTCTCTGTGTAGGTAGGCACGAATAGTGTGAGAAGATTCGGGCCCGCCTCCGATGTTCCGGAAACGCAAAATTTTGGACGCTGCAACTTGCACAAGCGTCGCCGATTTCGTCGCTCCACCACATCCCACTTTCGTCCCATCCTCATCGCCTTGGTTTAATCCACCGCAACATAAACCACCTTGAACATAGCAATTCCACCGCATTCGAGCCGTGGTCTCTCTCTTCCCACTCTGTAAACTCCCTGCACCTGTCATACCACTTTCTCTTTTTGCTAAACGCCTTGCTGTGTGACGCATCTCACTTAAGACACTCAATTTGAGAGGGTTGACATCCCAGTCTAACCGTCGCCATTCTTTAATTTTTTTTCCCTCTCTCTCCCTCCCATTCCCGCATCGCTCACAGTGCCCCTCCTTCTTGGCCCGCCTTAGGCACTCATACCCCAAAACCAACCACTTTAGGCTCTGCGCGTAGCCATTGATACATCATGAGTAGTCAGACGATAGGGAACACCTCCAGCAATGGCTGGGTGGTGCAGAAGTTCGGCGGAACCAGTGTTGGAAAGTTTCCAGACAAGGTTTGTTACTCACCACTGAGAAAGTCGCGATTGCTGCATGAGGCTGATCCAGTATACTCACACGCCAGATCGCCACGGATATTGTCCGGTACGAAACACACAATTTTCAAGTAGGATTGTGACCTGACTGACACATTCGCGTTTTAGAGCAAGCCTTTCCCACAACAAGGTCGTCGTCGTCTGCTCGGCAAGAAGCACAGGCAAGAAGATTGAGGGCACCACCAGCCGGTGAGTCACTCAGAAACGCAACCCAGCCTTCATTCCCAACTGACACCCTCCGCCAAAGACTGCTTGGCGTGTTTAACAAGCTCAAGGGCATCGCGGCGCCCACGACGCCCGAAGAGACACAGAATGAGCTCATGAATGAGGCCAAGGGTCTTATTGAGGACATTTGCAAGGACCACGTATCGGCAGTCAAGACTTTCCTGCGCAACCCAGAATTACAGGCCTCCTTGGAACAGGAGATCCGTGACGAGTGCCAAGAGCTGGTTGAGTACATCGTCGCAGCCAGGAGATTTAACCTCGAGGTCAACTCAAGATCAAAGGATCGATGCATCAGCTTTGGTGAAAAACTCAGCTGCCGGTTCATGGCCGCATTGCTGAAGGACTTGGTACGGAATGGATACGGCTTTCCACTGTCTTGAAAATGCCGCTAATTACACTCGCAGGGCGTCGCCGCGGAATATGTGGATCTCAGTGACGCGTTCCACCATGATGCCACGGCTCGTCTGAGCCAGGGCTTCTACCAGGAGGCCGCAGCTGTATTGAGGAAAAAGATCACGGCTTGCGAGGACCGAGTACCCGTGGTCACTGGCTTCTTTGGCAACGTTCCCGGAAGCCTGATCGATGGTGACATTGGCCGAGGCTACACGGATCTCTGCGCGGCGCTATGCTCAGTCGGTCTGAAGGCGGATGAGCTCCAGGTGTGGAAGGAGGTTGATGGAATCTTCACAGCAGACCCGACCAAGGTTCCTACGGCCCGCCTGTTGCACTCCATCACACCGTCTGAGGCGGCCGAGTTGACGTTCTACGGTTCCGAGGTCATCCATCACTTGACCATGGACCAGGTCATTCACGCCTCGCCCCCTATTCCCATCCGCATCAAGAACGTCAAGAACCCAAGGGGAGTTGGCACCATCGTCGTGCCCGACCCCATTCTCACAGCCGGCCATCAGATCCAACGTTCAGCACCTGCAGACCCGTCCCTGGTCCAAAAGCCAAAGAGGCCCACGGCTGTCACGATCAAGGACAAGATCTCCGTCATCAACGTGCACTCCAACAAGCGGTCCATCTCCCACGGCTTCTTCGCAAAGGTCTTTTCTATCCTCGACAGCAACCAGATCTCTGTCGATCTCATCTCCACGAGTGAAGTCCACGTGTCCATGGCCATCCACGCCGGGAATTCAGAGGGTGGCAGCTTCGACAAGGCGCGGCTTGAGCTGGAGGAATGTGGCGACGTCAGCGTGCTCCATGACATGGCCATCCTGAGTCTGGTTGGTGCGGAGATGAAGAATATGATTGGTATCGCCGGTCGCATGTTCTCCACGCTAGGAGAGCACAACGTCAACTTGGAGATGATCTCACAAGGTAAGCCGTCTCGGGGGGAGGAGAGGGATTGCGAAAGAACACGCTTGCTAACTTTTCGACACAGGTGCTAGCGAGATCAACATCTCCTGCGTCATTGACGCCCGCGACGCTACTCGTGCCATGAACATCTTGCACACAAATCTGTTCACTTTCCTTGACTAGGGCGCTCGTCTCGATCTGCCCCGCGCGCTTCAACTGCGCGCGGCGGAAGCGAGCTCTGCTTTTTTTTTTGGATTGAAGTATATAAAGTTTCCCATGGGTCGGGTCATCTCAAAACGGAGCATGAATTTGCATTGTTGGATCAGAAAAGAAGAAAGAACGAAGAGTCTGGGTTGGGAAAGACAAGATTCCCTTGATTTATCTAGAGGTATATACCAAATGCACATGATTAGGTCAGCTTTGGCATAAATTTCCAGGCGTTGGTAGAGTAAATCGCGGATCAGGTCCAGAGGCAATCAATCATATCGACACACCACCAACTAATGGAGTTGGGACCATGAGAATTACCTGTCAAGCAATTGTCAAAATTGCAATAGCCGGCAATCAAGAACCACCCCAGTAACCAGATGAACGTAAATATTTACCCGCCAGGCCGAGGTCGGCGAAGTGGGATACAGTGCTTAGATGATCATCGCACACTGCTCTGCCCCGCCACTTCTTCCATGGGCGCAGACCCTTGTCAATTCTGATAAGATAAGCAGCACCAGAAGGATCCACAACCGACCCTGGAAGGGCTCATTGCTTCTTTGCGACGATCTTCTCCTGTCAACATAACTGCATCCAACCTCGAATCTCACACGCGCCACTTATCGGAACCCTGCCCACGACATATAGATCCTACCATCTTACCTCGAAAACAACCCCCTCTTCCACATTAGAAACCGTCCACCAAAGAACGCCCCCCCCAACAGAACGCCCACGATGCCGAAAGCAGAAGTCGGCTCGACGAAGCACCTGAGCAACAAGCTCAAGAGCAAAGGCCTCCAGCGGCTGCGCTGGTACTGCCAGGTCTGCGAGAAGCAGTGCCGCGACGAGAACGGCTTCAAGATGCACACGCAGTCCGAGTCGCACGTGCGGCAGATGATCGTCGTGGGCGAGGACCCGAAAAAGTTCCTCAACGAGTACAGCAACCAGTTCCTCCGCGACTTCACGCAGCTGCTGCGCACGGGACACGGCGAGAAGCAGGTGCAGATCAATCACTTTTACCAAGAGTACATTGCCAACAAGGAGCACGTGCACATGAACGCGACAAAGTGGCCCAGCTTGACCGAGTTTGCGAAGCACCTGGGGCGGGAAGGCATCTGCCGCGTCGAGGAGAACGAGAAGGGTATTCACATTGCGTGGATCGATAACTCGCCGGAGGCGCTCAAGAGGCAAGAGGCGTTGAGGAGGAAAGAGGCGCAGGATCGGGGCAATGAGGAGGTGGAGCAGATGATGATTCGTGAGCAGATCAAGAGGGCGCAGAAGGCAGCCGAGGCGAGGGGCGAGAAACCCGATGACGAGGAAGAGCGGGAGAAAGGGCTGCAAAGGGCGGAAGGAGAGAAGGTGTCGTTGTCGTTCGGCGCCAAGCCTGCGGCGGCGAAGAAGGAGCCCAGCCCAACGGGAGCGCAGTCCAAGTCCGCCGATCCTGAAGTCTCGACTACAGCGACGAATACAGTAGCGTCGGAGAAGACAGAGGACAAGCCTGTCGAGAAGCCCTCTCTCGGAGGTGGTCTATCGCTCAAGATGACGGCGAAACCTCAAACCAAGAATGTGTTTGCGCAGGCGAAGAAGAACGCGCTGGCGGGCGGCGCGAAGAAGTCTGCCTTTGAGCAACCGAAAAAGATGAGTGAGGCGGAAAGGATCATGAAAGAGGACATGGAGAGGCAGAAGGGGAAACGATCAAGAGACGGGTCCGGGTCTGGTTTTGGCGGGTTTGCGTTCAAGAAGCAAAAGACGGATCAGCGGTGATTTCAACCGGTAATCAGGGATCGATTTCGCGTCCATCGACAGGCGTTTGGGTTTAAAGCAGGGGCAGCATCACATTGTAACAAAAAAGGAGGTTCAACGACCTCCATGGGCGAAACTTGGGTTTGCACCTTTAGATACCATTTTGAGAATTGATTCATCTGAATAGAGTCTTCCCTGACTCCTTGCCGACCTTCTTTGACTCCCCGTAAAACGCCTTGTATGTAGAAAAGCACACTGTTCACTAGCTCGTAGCCAATCTCAAGCATCAACCTCCGTCTCCGTTCCGTCGCGCCTGTTACAAAAGTCAGTCAAATGTACCAAGGCCAAACATCCACTCTTTTCCCGGATTCCACGCCAAAAAAGAGACCCAGCATCCGAAAGAGACAGGGAGAGGGCGTTACTGACGGAATATAGTGTATCCTGTACTCCTCCTCGAGCGTGTTGCGGATCTCGTCGGGCAGCTGACCCGAGACCTTGATCGCGTAGACGCCCCTCACGTAGTTGTCCAGGCGCTGCCACTTCGCCACCCAGGAGCGCTTCGGGTTCGAGAGGGTGATGAGGCCCTCGAAGACCTGGGACGTGCAGCTCTCGATCTGGTCCTGGGAGCCGGCCATGTGGAGGAAGTCTTCGCAGTTGGGGCAGCCTTCGTCGCGGAAGCGCTGGTTCGAGGGACAAATGTTAGCCTTATTTGGTTCCATGCAGTAGCTTATTTCCGCCGAGGCTTTTCATCCGGAAAGTGTTGTAGAAAAAGTTGACCGTGGACGTACAGAGTAGGTCATGACGATGGAGCAGACCATGCAGGCGCGGAGGTAGCGCTGCTGACCGGGCGCGACGAAGTTATCAGCCGACATTTTTTTGAGATTATCTTTCCGATCGGAGAATCTGTCTTCGGTGTTCTAGAAGGATGGGGCGAGCGGTTGAGAATTGTGTCGAAAGGGTGAGTGTGAAAGTCGCAAAAGCTAGAGCTTCATTAATGGTGTTTCTGGCGGAAGAGAGGCTCTGGCTGGGAGTTCCTCAAGCAGCTGGAAGTCAAATGTGGGGCACCCGAGTGAAAGGCATCGGTGTTTTCCATTGATGGCCCAGACTCAAAGTAACTTAACCAATATATGCATATATACAAGTACATGGATAATGATTGATTTTGGCGCAGACCCACCTCCAGAGCTTCTTCGATCCCCTGCTCGAATCACATTACATGCTACTCTTCTCTCTCATTGAAATTCTCTCCTGCCGCCTGTCACACATCTTTTCAATCTAAGGAACTCACAGAGCCCAGAATCTGTGAGAGAAGCGTCGAAAAAGACATCAATTGATCGACCAGAGAGGAATTAGCCAATATGACGACGGAAAACTCATCAGCCGGTGACGCACCCGCCAGCACGCCGCGCGCGACGGGCCAGAAATCTCACGAGCTACTCACATGCACTATCAAGGCCCCGATCTTCTCCTACACTCATTTGGAACTCATCTCCGAGTCTCCGACAACACAAGAAGCATTGGAACTGGACAATCTTCAAGTACGCTCCTATTGCAATGCTGCTCTCGCCCAATTCCTGGGCGCAACAGGCTCCGCCATTCCCATCGATATACTCAAAGTCGAGGGCGCAAAGTGCTGGCTGCGCGTGCCTCGGCAGGATCTTAGCCCCTTCGCCGCCGCGATCACGGCGTGGGCAGGCGTTTCGGACCAGGGAAGCCGGCGAGTTCTCCGGGTGAAGCAGTGCTCCGACTACTTGGGCGCTATCGTCGGCACTGATGGCCAGGACAAGCTATGGTCGTCATGAGCCTACACCTCGGTAGAGCTACGGAGAACGAAAATAATAACTGGTCATCCTTTTGGCCAAACACCCAACCGTCGTATTATTCTAGATTCGAGGTTATGGTGTGCGCCCGCAGGGCAAGAACTCCGATTTATCCGCATGGCCAAACCCACGCTGCCACCCAGCCCCTTATATGCGCCGATCACATGCACCATGTATGCTGCGGATGCAAACTATACCTTCTCATACTCTAGGGACGGCCGTCCGCATATCATCAAACTACATCAGAGAAGACATGAGAGAACTCTGGGCATACGCCTTGAAAGTGAAAGGTCAGCGGCAGAAGAAGCAAAGGAGGAGGGATATGTCTTACCATAGGCTTGATATCCGGGTGAGGAACGGCGTCGAACTGCTTGAAGTCGAGCTTGTAATCGGGGCCTACATTGATGTATGCTCCCCTGTTCTCGGTGGAGTCGCAGTATCTTGGCGCGGAGAACACTACGACAGTCAATTCCAGGTCAAGGACGGTCATGAGAGAGCAGAGAAACTTACCAGTAATGCAACGCCCGTCGTGCTGCACCTCGTAGCCATCCATGCGAACTTCGTGACTGCGAATGACGGCCTCGAGACCGTTGTTCTCGCAGAACCTCTTGGTGATATCGGGGCCGAACTGCATGCCAACACCGCGCTTGCTCGGGCCACGGCCGGGCTCCTCTTGGGGGTCCGTCCATAGCATTTCCATCATGAGACCCGCCTGGCCAGGCTGGCGCTGGGCGTGTCTGTCGAGCTTTCGGATGTCGTCCAAAGTGACCTTGTCGTCTGAGAACAGACCACCGTGCAGCACGAGGTACTTGGTGCCGATCAGAGTTGCCAGGGGCAAAGCCGAGAAACTCTCTGAGAAGAGCTTGAATATCCTCTCGTTGTACTTCGCCTTGCACTCGCCCTCGAAACCGTACACACGGTTCATGTCATCGGTCTCGTGGTTACCACGGTTCAGGAAGAAAGCGTTAGGTCGGAGCCACTTGTATGCGTAGAGCAGAAGAGCGATTTCGCAAGACCATGATCCACGGTCGACAAAGTCACCATTAAAGAGGTAGAAGTGCTTGTCGTTGGGCGTTCCGTTGAGACGGAAAAGCTCCATGAGATCAAAGTATTGCCCTGGCTACGAGTAAGTATTTTGCTACCAAATGAGATGCACAGAAACATACCGTGTGTGTCACCGCAGACTGTGAGTTGTGTGCCCTCGGGGATTTTCATCTCCACCATAGTCGGCTCGTCATAGACAAGCTTCTTGACGGCCAGGATGATTTGGTAGACGTATTTCCTGTGGATCTTCTTGCCGTTCTTGAAGCGCTCCGTCATGTCGTCAATGAACTCTTGCGTCATCTCCTCTCCTAATCTGACGCCATCGTAGTCGTCCTCAACGCTGATGGTGCTAAGATCAAGGCCTTCCGCAGCTGACGGCTCGTCACCAACTTCGATTGCGGCGAAGAAGTCCAACTTGCGAACAATCTTTCTGCATTCGTCCAGCTTCAACTTAGCATCCTTGTTGTTTGGGTCGAGTGCTATACACTTCTTGAAGTCGCCGAGAGCGTCCTTTGGTCTGATAATGGCGGTTTGGGCAAGGCCGCGGCGGAAGTATGCCTAAAGTCGTACCGACGTCAGCAAACAAGGATCGTTGGCTGTGTCCGGGATTGCCCACCTTAACAAAGTTGGGGTTGAGCTCGATCGCCTTCGAACAATCCGCAATAGCATAGCCGAATGCTTCAGACTTGATATTTGCCTACTCGTAGTCAAGATTGTGTTAGTCACACGAGCAGCTTGACTTCGCAGCCTCGGTGCAGCGAGGGGGCAACGAACCTGGGCGCGGTTGGTGAAAAACGTTGGCTCTTTGTCGTTAAGCTCAATGGCCTTGGTGTAGAGCTCGATAGCAGCGGGCCAATCGTGGGAAGCAAAGGCCTTGTTGCCTTCGTTCTTGAAGGCTGTCGCCTTTTCCTCTGGCGTAGACATGGCGGCGGCAACGGTACTCTACTGCAGAACCAAAGTGTGGGGTATCCGTATCGCAGGTGAGAGACGATGGAGGGGTTTCTCCAGCTGGCGTTCGCACACGAAACAGTGGGAAGTCTAGTTGACGTTTCCGTGGGCGTGAAATTCGAGTGTGATTTCCCCAGCCGAATCGCAAAATTGGGGGCGGGAAAGAAGAGGTGGTTGTAGCAAAATTTGCTATGCAGCAGAAGCTCTTCGAAGGTTGAAGTTGCCGGGCTTGGGTCGGATTCGAAAGCTTCCTTTTGCGACGGTTCGGCCCTTAAACCCTCTTCAGTATTCGGAGCTAACAGGAAACAGTGCGCTGCTACCGCACGGTGCGATACAGTTGCAGCGGGGTGGCACTGGGTTGCCACTTCAGGAGTCCGACAGGGGCGCTGAAAGGGCGGCGCTGTGGTCTGGCCCCTCCCTCCACTCCCGCGAGGAATGAGCTTCCATCGGCCACTACGGATGCCTGGGAAGGTAAGGTACCTTAGCGGAGTACGGACGACTTACACCTCCAGGCATGATGTACGTAGTGCAGGACCCCTTCGACGGGGAAGCCTGAGGTACCCGTAGCCTTGATACCTGGTAGTTGCATAAGGTACCTAGGTAATTATGGAGAGTCTAACCTTATCGCTTATCAGAGTCGCCCCACGTCACTCGGACCCGAACCTGGGCGCAACTCAGACTTTCAGATTGGCCTCAGCACATCGATCCGACATCAATCACCTCACGCGACATCTATCCAACCCATGGCGCTGGCGGCGCGCTCCTCGTGTACCTACATTCCTTTCAACGCAGACTTCTCAAATTTATCAGCCCCGGTCTGTCAATGATGGAGTCTCAAGAACGTACATCAACCGCGCTTGTGCGCAAGCGGACCGACCTCGAACTGATGCCACCACCACCCGCAGCGAAGAAAATCAAACGCCCGAAAAAGGTCATAGATGAAGATACCTATACCGACGCCTTATCGCAGATCATTGCGCGTGACTTCTTCCCGGGACTCCTCGAGGCCGAGACACAGCAAGAGTACCTCGACGCTCTCGAATCAAAAGACAAGGCATGGATTTCCAATGCTGGCCAGAGGCTGGAGCGCGTGATGACGCCGGGAAGGAATAGGGTCAAAAGGCCCATGCCTTTTGACAGCGCTGGACGAACACCATCCGCATATGGCGCAGATACGCCCGCATCGGTGGCATCGACGGTATCCGAAGCGCCAAAACCAGCCGTGGACATCAATATGAGCCTGGCCAATTTCCAGGCTACTTACACCAGCGAGGACAATGAGAGCTTTTACAAGCTCATGGATAAACAGAATCAGAAGAAGGCAGAGAAATACGAGTGGATCTGGCGAGGGAACAAGCTGCCTTCAAAACAGATGATCAAGCAGGCGGAAGTCGAAGCCAAATTGCTAGAGACAAGGAGTCTGGTGGACGATGGGTGGAAAAGAGACAGACTGGCAATCAAGGACGTGGATGACAGGCCAGCAAGACCAGACAGTTGGAACGCCAACCCCAAGAACAACTTGATGTTCGGCCCGGATGGTGTGGACGACGACTACGAGAGCCCGGCCCAGAAGGCACAGGCCCAATCAATGATGCCGCCTAAATCGATCAATTATCAGAACACGAGGGTACCGCAGCCAGTAGTCGTGGAGAGACCTCCGTCCCCGACGCTTTCTGCTGTGAGAGACGCGATTGCTGGCAAACCCCGCAAAGAAGATCTGGCTTCGAGCGCTGTAGGGGGTGGAGAGACGCCGAGAGTGAATGGGTACGCCTTTGTGGATGACGAAGACGAAGATGACCAAGTTCTCCCTGCGCCAATAATCAACCTCGGTCCTGGTGACGCTACGCCAAACCCATTCAAGCTACAAGAGCACAGGAAGCGAGAGACTTTGCATCACCGTCTCGTTGAGCGGGCAGCGCATTCGAAGAGAGAGTCTGCGAAAAATGGGTTGACTGGAAAGTTGGACAGAACACCAGTGCCCAAGTTCCCGTCCAGTCCGCGGGTCTCGGGCGGTCTGACACCTGCCGCCCAAAGGTTGTGGGGGAAGATCGGCAGCCCAAGGCCAGGCAGTCCGCATACTTCATCTTTGAAGGCGACACCCATGCGGGCAAGAGGCTCACTTTTGAAGGGCGGCGCCTCGGTGACAAGGGATTCAACGCCAAAATGAGTAACACGAATAATGACCATAGACGAGGGACTAGGGATAGACTAGAGATACCACTGCAGGATAGCTGACGAGGAGCACAAAAAGAAGTAAAATCATTCTAAATGTGAACGACGAGCATCTAGATTGAGACAGTGACCAATTATGAGTAGGTAGTGTTGTCGAATCATTGGCTGACATTGGCCAATATGGAAATGTATGGTAGCTGGACAAATATATGCCTAGGCGGATAACCCCGTTATACGCATGACGCTACCTCAAGCTATCTAGAGCTATCTTCTTTTCTTCTCTTTATATGCATAAACCCATCAGTTAATTTTCCCACCATGACGAGGACCATTTGATAATCCCAGCATTTCCTGAAAGCCGCGAGGCCACCCGGATGTCAAAGGACTATCACAAAGACATGCGTGTAGCATAATTGAACAAACTGTTTCACCGATGAGGTTCGCCGATTTCGCTGTCGATTTGGCAGCTGTGCTCGGCGCTTCGCGCTCTGTCGCATCCAGACATGTTGCACTGAGAGGCCGACAGCTTGAGAGCTTCACTAAAGCCTCCAGCTTAACACGCAAATCCCCCACGGCACCTCAGCACACACGAGATGACGTCGCAACAGAAGCTACGGCCTCCTCCGATATCCCAGGAGCTCAGCCGACAACTGAGAAAGAGACGCCGCCGTCAAATAAGGAGTCGCCACTTCAACCCAGTCATCCCTCGCTCACAACATCAAGCAGCTTCCAGCCCAATCTCAACAATGCAGCCCGTATCTCACCAAGCTCAGGGTCAGTCCTCTCTGAACTGAGGCAATCCAATCCTTCAGCTTTCCCATTTACAGGCAAATCACCATTGGATCAAAGGCCCAAGGATGACACTGTTCCTGCAGGGTCTTCAGTCAGCAGGCCGGCGGCTCCGTACGGGGCTCCTGTCTCTGAGGAGGCAGACGACCTCCCTCAAGGTGTCAACGTCAACATCTTCCACAGCACCCGAGCCGCCAAACTGCTGGGTAAAGAGGGAGAATCAACAAAGGTTGATTTTGGTAACCGCAGGAAGCTTCCACCCACGAAACTCCCCGAGTTTGTCGATTTCTCCAAGTTGTCCAAGGATGCCGAGGCAAAGAAGTCAGCTACCCTTGAGGCCGCTCCAAGCACTTCTCAGACTGCCCCTCAACCTGAAGTTGGCAAGAGCGAAGTTTTGAGAAGCGAAAGCTCACCAATACCTTCAGAGCCTCTGCCTGCTGCCGATGCCGCTACCAGCCCCGTATCAAAGGATGAACCTCCCGCCGAAGCTATCTTGGGCGCTGCGGTCGACCAAACAGCACCGCCTGCATACGCTCTCAGGGAATCCAGCGTGCCCGCAACGCGCCTAAGCAGACTTTGGAATTATGGCGGTCTGGCAGCAGGAATGATGGGTGGTGCCATCACCGAGAGCATTGGTAGAGCATTTGGCGGTGGTGGTGAGGGTTCAGTATTGCTCAGTGCCGGCAACATGGAAAGGCTCGTCGCAAAGCTGTCGAGAATGCGTGGCGCCGCCCTGAAGATGGGTCAGATGATGAGCTTCCAGGACACGAAGATGCTCCCGGGACCGATTCAGGAGGTTCTACAGAGAGTGCAGGACCGTGCCGACTACATGCCGGCCTGGCAGAGAGACAAGGTCCTCAAGGCGAATCTGGGTGCGGAATGGCGCGAGTTGTTTGAGGACTTTGAGGAGAAGCCCATTGCTGCCGCGTCCATCGGGCAAGTTCACCGGGCTACCTTGAAGGAGGGTGGTCGCAAGGTCGCGGTTAAGATTCAGTTCCCTGGAGTCGCAGACTCGATCAATTCCGACCTCGACAACCTGGGCATTCTCTTGACCGCTACCAAGCTCCTACCAAAGGGCCTGTACCTGAACAAAACCATTGACAATGCGCGGCTCGAGCTGGGATGGGAATGCGATTACGAGAGAGAGGCGCAGTGCCTGATCCGTTACAAGGAGCTCTTGGCTGATGAACCGGATACTTTCCTTGTGCCTAACGTTCATCTGCAAGCCTGCGGAAAGAATGTTCTGACCATGGACTGGATGGAGGGTGTGGGCGTCACCAGAGTCAAGTCGTTCACTCAGGAGCAGAAGGACTGGATCGGCACCCAGATCCTCCGTCTCTGTCTCCGGGAGATCACCGAGTTCAAGTTCATGCAGACCGACCCTAACTGGACAAACTTCCTCTACAACGCCAAGACGAACAGGCTCGAGCTTCTCGACTTTGGCGCTTCCCGGGAGTACCCGGACGAATTTGTTACCCAATACGTTCAGCTCCTTGCCGCGGCCTCGAGGACCGACCGGGACGAAGTCAAGCGCTTGTCTGAGAGCCTCGGATACCTTACAGGCCACGAGAGCAAACTCATGGTGGACGCCCACGTCAAGTCGGTGCTCACCCTGGCGGAGCCTTTCCTCGGTTCGGCACCCGAAGTCTACGATTTTCACGACCAGACCATCACGGAGCGCGTCAAGGCTCTTATCCCCGTCATGCTCCGCGAGAGACTTGCGCCACCACCCGAGGAGACTTACAGTCTGCATCGCAAGCTGAGCGGTGCGTTCTTGCTTTGCGCGAAGCTCGGCAGCAAAGTCAGGTGCCGCGAGATGTTCGAGGAGAGTCTGAAGAAGAACGGATATAGTGCTTAGAGGAGGCATACGAAGAACTACCCCCAATCCACTTTGTACCATTTTGTATCATAACTGTACGATCAATGTGTAGACACACAATGCAGGAGGATTATAGACAAAATAAAGGGCCCTCCGCAATGCGTTCAAGGGGTTCATAACTCGAATCAAAGCACGCTAACAACGTCTGCTCATTCCCTAGGTCTCCTCTGCATCTTGTCAAGCTCCTTCCGCTCCCTTCCAACAACCTTCTTCCTCTTCCGCTCAATCGTACGGTCGACCTGCTTCTTCTTCATGCCCGCAAACTGGTCCATCAAGAACCTCTTCTTCTGCTCCGACTTCTTGAGGTAGAACGGCTGCTTGCCCTCCTTGACGAGCTCCTTCTCCTTGCGTTTGTGCTCCTGAATGACGTCGTCCGCCCGCTGCTTGCGCTCCCGCGCCTTCATCTTGCTCTCCATCGACAGCAGCATCCTCTTCATCTCCTCCTTCCTGTCCGCATCCTTGGTCTTCTTGATCTCGGCCCGCAGCTGCTTCATCTCGTCTTTGCGGTAGTCATCCAGGAAGGCGTACGCCCTCCGGGCCTTGGACTCGTCGACGGGCCCGCTCATCGGGTCGAAGCGGGGGTCGCGCACCTCCATCTTGGGCACGGCGATGATTTCGCGACGGCGGGAGACGGGCTTCTTGCTTGACTGCTCCATCGGGGCGTGCTTGCTCGAGCGCTTGACGTGGTCGCCATGCTTGGGTTTCCTGCCGACTTCTTCCGGGCCCGAGTCTGAGTCTTCGTCTTCTGAAGGTGATGCGCCGCGCTTGCGACGTTTGGCTGAGGGCATGGAGGCCTGGGCTTTTGCGAGGGCGCCAAAGGACACTGATGAGATGTCGATGCTGGACTTCTTTGGCGGTGGTGAGGCATCGGACTTTGGGCTGTTAGCAACAAGTGCAGTAATTTTATGGCTCGAAGTAAATACTTCTTCGTCGTCCTCTTCCATATCCTCATCCTCTTCGTCCTGACTCAACTCATCCCCATCCATTCCCATCTCCTCAGGCTCACTGCTCGTCTGCTCATCAACTTCAGGTTCCGCTTCTCTGCGAGGCCTCACACGGCGCTGAAGGCCTGAAAACCCTTGCTTCCTCTTTCCAGACAGCATTTTGTCTTTATTTTTTTGTTGATTCTGTGAAGCTGAAAGGTGCACTGTATGGTATGCTCGTAGTGTGAAGGGGTCAGAACTCACATGGAGCAGGCTCGCTCACACCTCGAAGCAACTTTTCAGTGGGTCAGAGTGACCAGTGGCCTCGTATCGATAAGAAACGGCAACTTATCGATAACATCTGCCTCACAAACTTCCATCCATTCTTTCAATGCGATTTCCCAGCAAGAACAATTTCCTCTCCACTAATCGCATCAAAGACAAAAAAGACCCTGAATACGCTCCGAACAGTATATTCGACCTGCGCCTATTCACTACGGAAGCAGCTAGACCAGTATTTTTTCACCTTCAGCTCAATTGACTTCGCCTTCCCACTTCATTACCTAGCCCATCCATCCATGCAACCCTCTCTTCCCCGGATATTCGCCAGATCGCAACAGATCCACCAACGTTGCTTCTACAAAACCGTCGCGCGCAAGCGTCCAGGTCGCCCACCCCGCGACTTCCCTCGAAAAGACACACTCTCCGAATACAATAACGAACCTTACCTTCCCTTTCCCACGACTCCCTCGCGCGATTCGAGGCTTGTCTACACTCCACACAAAAGCATGTCCGACCTACAATGGTGGGCCAAGCCCGCCCCGGCCATGGCCGCCCCGTCGAACCAGCAGCCGAGCAGTAACGGCTTCACGATACCGGGCCTCGGCAACGCCGCGAACGTTCCCTTCGCCTCGACCTCCGCGACTCCTCTTCCTGAGCAATCTTCCGCCGGAAACCAACCCACAATCCCAAAGGGACCTCGCAAAGCGTTCGTCTTTCCCCCCTTTTCCATCCTGTCTCTATGCGTTCTATAACCCTCCGATGCTGTCGCAAAGACTAACATTTCGTCTCTAACACCAGAGCCGCGGCGCCGCACAACCGTGATAAGATCATAGCCCCCAGTGCCGCCTCAGGCGGCGTCCCGAACCCCACGCCGCAATACCTCCAGCAAGCCTCCATCCCGCCGACCCTCGTCCCGACCCCTCGACCGATCCTTGTCGTAATGGACCTGAACGGCACCCTCCTCTTCCGACCCAACCGCCGCAACGCCGCTAGCTTCGTCGAGCGGCCCCACGCGAAGCGCTTCCTGCAATACTGCCTCGACACCTTCCACGTCGTCGTCTGGTCCTCTGCCCAACCGAAGAACGTCCAATCCATGTGCGACCAGCTCCTCCTCAAAGGCGGCCTCGGCGCTGCAGACACCCAAGAAGAGCGGGCTTCGTACCGCCGTCGCGTCCTGGCCGTCTGGGGACGCGACAAGTTCGGCCTCTCCGAAGCCGACTTCAAGCTCCGCGTGCAGGTCTACAAGCGCCTGGAGATGGTCTGGGCCCAGGCCAACGTGCAGGCGGCGCACCCAGACGCCGCGTACGGCGGCCGGTGGGACCAGACCAACACCGTTCTCGTGGACGATTCGCTCGAGAAGGCGCGGAGTGAGCCGTACAACCTGCTGCAGATCCCCGAGTTCTTTGGCGACGCCAGTGAGCCGGGCTACGTGGTGCCGCAGGTTCATGATTACCTCAACCAGCTCTGTTACCAGTCGGATATCAGCGCGTATATGCGCACGAATCCGTTCCAGCTGAACGACGCATACAGGCTGGAGCAGCAACAAGAGGGTCATGTGCAGGGCCCAGCGTAGAAAATTGACGGAGAAGGAGTCTTTGGCAGAACCTGGACATATGCGAGGTTGAAAAAGAGACACAGGACATGGAGACCAGACTTGGTAGCATCGAGATACCCCTTAGCATGAGCTTATGGAAGCATCACATTCAATTCAAAAATATGCACGTGGAGCCTCGTAGTGAAATTGAAAAGTGTTCTTTTGATTTTGATCAGGAACAACCTGCATCTTCTGCCTCGTCCTAGTGACTCAGACCTAGTAACTCGGCACACAGCTATGGGCATTGCGCACAGGATATTCCTCTTCGGGTCCATAACATCATCTGCATACCCTCCTAGCCTATTCGTAAACTCATTTCATCTCTGCCATAAGCCATGAATTTTGGATCACTCCGTTGAGCGATGCGCTTATTTGAAGACCTTGCCGTCGGCAACGGGGTACTCCTTGCCGTTGTGGGTAGTGGGGGCCTCCCATCCCCAAGAGTCAGAGACGAACTTCTTGGTCTCGGGGGCGGAAGCGTCGAGCTTCTCGAACTCATAGCTCTCGTAGTCGGGAGCGACATCGAAAGCGGGCTTGTAGTCCTGGCCACGGATGACGAAGGCGCCCTCGATGACGGAGTCGTTGTTGGTGCCGTAGACGGCAGCGCATCCGAAGATGAACTTGCGGGAAGCCTCAAGACGGTTGTTGAAGCCGCCAATGAGGTTGTTGGACATGAAGGTCATGGTGAGCTCGTCGTTGTACTTGTACTTCACCTTCCAGAGAGAGAACTCCTCGAGGTTGACGTTGTCCCAGAACCACTGCATGGCCTCATCGTGGTTCTTGATGTTGGAGTACTGACGCTTCCACTCCTCAAGGTCGAAGGTGGCGCGGGGGAGCTCAGCAAGGGGGTGCTTGGGCTTAGGGGCGGCGGGAGCCTCCTCAGCAGCGGGAGCGGGGGCAGGCTTGGGGGCAGCCTCCTTCTTGGGCTGCTCAGGCTTCTTGGGGGCGACGTTGGTCAGCTTGGGGGTCTCGAGGAACTCCTGCTTCTCGGTAACGGCGGTCCAGATGTCCTGGTTGATGATGGTCTGGTACCAACGGGTGACGTTGGGGTTCTCCGCGCGCCACGCCTTGTCGAAGAAGAACTCGAAGCCACGGGCGATGATGCCAGCGGCGAAGAGGTCAGCGAGGGTGATGCGCTCGCCAACAAGGTAGGTGTTGCTGAGGAGGTGCTCCTCAATGACCTTGATGGCCTTGAGGGCGACCTTGGAGGAGTCCTCAACAGCCTTCTTGTTGTAGGGGTCCTTGCCAAGGAGAGGGCGGTACCAGGCGCCCATAGGGGGGAGGACCTCGGAGTTCACGAAGGACATCCACTTGAGAATGGAGGCGTAGCTAGATGAAGAATTGTCAGCCTCGTTCTTCGGAGCTCAGCGAGAGAAAATTGCGCTTCCGGTGCACTTACTCCTGCTTGGTCTTGCCGAGGAGGGTGGTCTTCTCGTTCTGGGAGGTGACTGTGGCATGTCGTTAGCTCTTGCTCCACAAACAGTTTTTAATAGTGAGTAAACGGTGCCAATGGTAGGATCAGAAATTTAGACTATGTCAACAAAGAAATTCAGACAGGGATAACTGTATTTGAAAAAGCTTGATCATCATATCGCGAATCGTGGGATGTTGTTTTTGTGTGTTCGGAAAACGAGACCGGCAAAGTATGACTCAGAACGTACTGTAGATGGCAATGGCGATGCACTCAGAGAGAGGGTAGCCATCCTCGCCAAGGAAGGCGGGGACCTTGCCGAGCTTGTTGGCCTTGAGGTGCTCAACGGAGGGCTTGGTAGGGTCAGCCTCGATGAACTCGAGGTCGACGTTGTTGGCCTTCGCGACGGCACGGATGGCCGTGGTGCGGGGGTTAGCCTGGAGGGGGGACGATATTCGTTAGCGATGAGATTCCTAGACATCGTGGTGTTAAGAGTAATTTGGGGTTTCTTTTCTTACCGGGTAGGTGAAGAGCTTTCCGAACGCCATCTTGAATCAGTTGTTTCACCGAGAGGGATGGAAGGGTATCAAAAGGTGCGTGATGTGATGGACAAGAGAGAGGAGAGAGAAAAGTTCAGGTTCCCCGCCAGGGTGACAGTAATTTTTTTGAATGAAATTTCGACCGCAGTGCCCCGCCACCCGAAAGCCCCTCGCTCGATTGACGGCAGCTCGAACGCCAGGGCAACCAGCTGCGGTGTGTGAGGGGTAAAATGCGGCAAGAAAAGGGGCCGAGCGTCTGTGGCGCTGACGCCACATCACGTGACCTACATGTCGTCCGATGTTCTGCCGTAAACCAGCTACGAAGCTAGGAAAGATTTCTGTCTATTGGCGTTCAAGGCTGTCTCCAGTTCACGATATCGCGACAGCAACCGCATCAACGAGGGCGCTGCTCGAGGTCCCGCAACAATGTCGAGCTTACGCCAGGGCCTGCAGCAGACGCTCTGCTTGCGCCAATTGGCAAAGGGTCAGTCGATGAAGCCTCAATGGCAACGATCGAGCCTGCAATCGAGCTTCAAGAGCATGTCGACTACGAGCGATCTTCAAGTTGAAAACAGCGAACCCAGAATCGACACAAAGCTAGACTTGCCTCCCAAGAAGCCTTTTCACGGGGTTACGAAGGCTCGTCCACTACCCGTCTCGCCATCCTATTTCTCCAGAGAGCCTCGCTTCAACGACGCCTACATCCGACTTTCTGCTCTCGTGGAGAGATACCAGCACCTTCCTTTGGCGCCCCCGGAATTGGTCCCACGACAAATATGGAGGAACTTGAAGGGTTACCGACAGACCACTGGAGAACCAGTCAAGGCGATGCCCTTTAGCCAAGTTCTTAGCATGGTTAAGCGGCTGCATCAGATCCACCCCGGACTGATGCCCAGCGAGGTCAAGGAAGCCCTGCAGGAATTCAAACGCGATATTGATCCGTACAAGAACGTGGCCAAGGTTGTGCCTCTCGACAGATATGGACGCGCTTTAGGCGTTGGCCGCAGGAAGACGTCGAGCGCCCGCGCTTGGGTTGTGGAGGGCACTGGAGAGATGCTGGTCAACGGCAAACCTCTGAACGAGGCATTTGGCAGAGTTCATGATCGTGAGAGCGCCATCTGGGCGCTCCGGAGCACTGCGAGAACAGACAAGTACAATGTTTGGGCACTTGTTGAAGGCGGCGGTGTGACCGGACAGGCCGAGGCTCTTACGTTGGCAATTGCCAAGGCTGTCTTGGTCCACGAACCAGCTCTCAAGCCGATACTAAGAAAGGGTAAGTCAACTCCCGTGGTGAGAGTGATCTTCGGTTTGTTGCTGACAAGTTCAACGCTACAGCTGGCTGCATTACCCGCGATCCTAGACAAGTTGAGAGAAAGAAGCATGGTCATGTCAAGGCCAGAAAGATGCCCGCCTGGGTCAAGAGATAGAAATCTCTTTCAACGCGTGGCGTTCATGAAGGCATTGCCAGGCAATGTTCTCAAATTGTTGTTGTACTACCACCCCGTGTATTCATAGAACAGAGGCAGCTCTTACAATGCCAGCCTATGGTGTATACTTGCCTCATGTCCCATATCGGCGGGCGAGATTCCTCGCAAGGGAATTTACTTCGTATTATGTGAGCCCAAATTTCGCAAAGGAATAACGCGGCTAGGGCACAGCTAGGACACAGCTTGGACACGGCCAACTCCGGTCTACCTGCTCGGCATAGCTCGCAGTCACCTTGTACCAGTACGGGTCCAGAGGTGTTGGAGCTTTGGACAAGTCTGCTATCGGCACTACCGGCTGCGCTTGATAGCTGGAAAGCGAATTGCAGGCATGAAGAGATGAGGAATCATATCCGGCAACACACTAGTTGGACGGGTTGACAGAACGCGGTCGGTTTAGCGTTAACGCTCTTGCTCCCACGCCTTGATACCTGATCCATGCAATTCGCGGAGAAGCAACGTGGTGTCTTCGATTCTAATTGTCCTTATCCCAACTGCAACGGAAAGACACCGGACCTTGGACCATGAAGCAACGCAAGAGTCAGAGTTGACAACCAGTTTGATTGTTAGATGGTGGTTCAATGCAAGGATCTGGAACCTGGTGTTGGAATGCTCAGGATCGACATCTGGAAGCGCGATTTTGGGCCACCCTCTATGTTCTGCCGTCATTGACCGCAGTGGTGGCAGTAGCTATTGTCGCGACAGAGATGTCTTTTGGCTGATACGGTTCATTTAACTAGCGCGTGCAATGACCACTTGCAACGGTTGTACGTGTACCTCACGGAGCGGCCGTGAAAGAATTTTCGGCGCGCATTGAAACCGGGTCTGAGAGAGAGTGAAGGTAGCCCCCGCGTGTCATTATCAGGCCAGAATCATAGACCACAAACTGGCACCTGTGTAAAGCTGCGGGCGGGTTGAAGATGTGGACGTTATTAGAGAGGTCCGTGAGCAAGCGCGTTGACATCTCTGGCGTCAAGGCTAGTGATGGCGCCCCTATTGCCAACGTTGCAGAAGTGCGTCCGGCGAGGGCCTTGTTTCAATTTCCCACACAAGGTAACCCCTAAAGGAGACGACAGCGAGAGCACAGACGTTCAAGCCTGTCCTGTCCTCCGAAGGTTTCTAGAAGCATGGAACGAGTGAATCGAAGGTTCGTGGAGCTGGTTTCACCTCCTGGTGGCCGTTTTCGGTGACGGCTTTGTTCTTCCGGTAATGGGTTTAATCGGAGGGTGAAGCTGGAGATGGCGGACAGCACGACTCGGCTGGTTTCGCCGCATCAGGCAAGGCGGCACTTGAGATGAGCAGGCCGTTGCTATTGCCGTGTATGTTTTGGACAAGACGTGGAAGAGCATGGGGCGTATATTCAGATGCAAGGAGGGAACGACAAAGGTTCTGAACCAATCGACCGGCGGGCGAGGCGCAATAACGGTAGCGGCAGAGGCGGTGATGGCAGCTTGAGACGACGGGATGGGGTGGTGGGTAGTGGTTTGTGGTTTTGGGAGGGAGGCAAGATCGGAACAATGCTAGACGATGCGATAACGAGGCTATTGAGCTCGAGCTGCCAACGTGTGCTCCAAACACCCTTTGACGTTACATTCTTTTCTGAGGCCATGTGCTTGAGTGGATGGAAGATCGGACTGATGTTGGGGAAGGATCTCTTTGCGGGCTGACTTTCTTTTGGCGAGTGAGCATCTCATGGTGAGCTCCGGGGATCAACCAGGCGTCGGTTGAGATGATCGACGGTAGTCGCCTTGTGTGAGGCTGAGATCGGCCCAAGAACATCCAACGGCTGCGTGACGGGCCAGACCATGCCGAGGAAGAAAGTATTGGAGCATTGGAGGAGGGGTGAAGTACCTACACACACATGCACACACTAGGTCTGCCACACCACAATCGCAGGTGGCTACCTAGCACCTTGGAAGCATGCTTAGGGTGTATGTCTAGATGGGGAAAACGTGGTCTCGACTAGAGCAAAGACGGCGATTGGGCGCCTCTAATTCGACCGTTGGCGGCCAAGTTCCAAGGCGCGACGCCCATCTCCGCTGATTCGGGCCTTCAGTTATCTGGTAGAAGGTTCGCGGTCCCAAGTTGTATTATTACGGCTACCAGAGGGACGGTATTCGACAAGCCTCGGGAGACGAGTCGGGGATTTGGAGGGACGACGCCGGCTGAAAAGCAGGTGACGGTGCTTTGTTGAAACCGTCTGCTACGTCGTCTTAGGTAAGGTGCCGAGAAGGTTGCTGGAGACTCCCCACGTCAGCCAACCTCACCTTGGAGCGATGCCGCAAACGCAGATGGCATACCTAAGCGCGGTTCTGGACGTTCTTAGCGCGCATTACGCAGGCTTTGCTTGTCCAGACTCCAGCGCGGTGCCATGGTGCCTTGCATCCGGAGTTTAAGTTGCTGCGGTAAGGTAGCCGTAAGCCGTGCCCTGAGTCTTGAGAAGCCTTGGATGCAGGCAGCTGGTCCCCCGACGAGCTAGGTAGGTTGGGAATGCAATCAACCCGACTGGAAGAGGAGGAAGAAGTGGGCAGGAGCGTCCCAGCATAAGAAGTATGGTTGGGCCGTTGGGTTCGTGCTGCCCAAGGCGTGTGGGCAAGCGCTTGATTGGCACTTAACACTGTAACCACACGTGCTTTATCTGGTCCAAGGTTTGTCGTCTTGGCCTTGGTTCTTGCGTCTGTAGTGAGAACTAGCGCAAGGTAAGGTAGTTGGGGCAGAAGGACAGACACCGAGTAAGGTCAGGACGGAGACACGATGTAGGTGGTATCGAAAGGCCGGCGGCGCGTGAAGAAGGTGTTGGTATAATAGCGTATATTCCGGTGTGGTGTGGTATGGTGGAGCAGACAGCTCGATGGGCGGCAGAATGAGTGGACAATGGACTCTGAAGACTGGAGCGGAACGGTGTTCGGATGTCAAGAGGAAGACTCCAACGACATCGAGGGAAAATTAATCGTGTTGGAGAAACTCCGCCCCAGTCCCACAGTGGTACATAGAATGCATTAGCCGGACGCAGCGTTTGACTTTGGAGAAGATCAGGAAACCCGTGGGCCGCTAGACCTATCGGGCATTCGAGGGTTTGAACTAAAGCCATTACTCCGTGTCTACCTTACCTTGGTATGAAGCGCGTGATATGTACACCCGACGGCACTTGATCCGCATATCTTGCTCGTCTCCTTCCATCTTTACTCCGAATGCCTTACCCGAATGTATCGTATCCGGGGGAGCAATGACGAAGTAAAGTACAAGCGCGGCGAACGCGAGCATTCCGTTTCCATTGCATGAACCAAAGTATTTTGTATCAGGTTTCGTCGGGTGATAAGGTAGGTAGTACCGATGTACTTGCAAGTTACACGGACGGATACTGCCCGCCCTTAGATGTCGTGAATGGAAGTGTGGAAGGTGCGCTGAAATGTTCTTTCCCGAAATAGCTTCCCCGTCGTTTGATGCGATATTTTTTGAGGCCCGTAAGGCGTCAACAGTACGTGTACATACCTGACTACCTACCTAGGTATTCTATTGGGGAGGTGCGTCCCCTCCATCTCCCAAAATGAAAGGGACAGAAGCTCGCCTCACAGCTCACTTCTATCAGCTACCTCACAATACAATTACCATATTTACTTGTGTCGAGGTACGATGCTACGGGTACGGATACAAGCGCTGAAGCGACCTTGAACACTCAGACGTCTTTTCTCACATCTCATTACGCTGGATCAGAGCCGTCGTGATGAAATCTCGCCGAAATGTGGATCCCAGCCCCCCGAAATGCAGGCTCACGCACGGCATTGGCAATGGGAGCATATCCGCAGCGGAACCGCAATGTTTTTCACCGGAGATGTGAGGCCCACCACATCGCAGCATCTCACAACGTCTGTGAGCACTGAGCCCCAGACAACAATTTCGTTCCCCTGCGTCTTGATGCCGCGGAAGCAACGCAAATACGTCCGGGTCAACCTACGTCCGGATCGCGCGCGCTCGACCCTCACCCGACCTCACCTCATACTCCGTACATACACCTCATCTCATCCGCCCTGAGCCTTGTGGTGCAGTACGAAGTACTCGGGCTGAGGCAGGTATTGCGTATGCGCAGTCTGGACTCTGCACCGCGACTTGGTGGAAAGCATGCTTACTCAGGTATCCGTACGGATACATCCACTACTGCCACACACCCAGGCTCGACAAACGACCCCATGAACAATACAACTATAGACACATCATGCCTCGCCAAGGGGAGGCACAGAACCTTACTGGGAGAAACTTGGTGGTAAGGCAAGGTCTGGTCGTTTTTGCCGTGTCCAGGGAGCGTTCCGACTAATGCAACTTCAAATGACAGAGGACACTCCGAATGCAGGTGCTCATCACCTCCCACCTCCTCCTCGTTTGCCGAAAGCCAAGTACCAAGCGAGGCTTGTTGGGTTTTGCTCCTGTTCCTGAAGCAAGCAGTTGAGAAGCTTCCACACCACCACCTCTCTGGGCTGAGTTCCACACAAGACCAACCGAAGCCATCGTCCAGCCAGATGCTGCATCGAGCTGCCAGGCGAACCCCACCTTTTCGACGTCTGCAACATTCGCAATAGAGCAGTGGGAGCCATTCACAGGTCTGCCCATCCATGTGTGAAATGTTGCATTCAGGCACGATCCCTGGATCGCTAGGGCTCCTCCTCAAAAGGGCCCCGAGTGAGAGGAGAGGAGAGGGGACCAGAGAGGGGCGCGACCTCCAACCCTGCAGCTGCAGTCGGAGCAGCCATATCCACAATGTACAGATACATTGCCGCGTTCCGTACGCTCCGAACCACTCAAGCAAGGTACCGGCACTCGTTCAGGAACCCACAAAGCCCAGGTTTGCAACCCTGGTTGCCTGACCGGGGTCTTGCTTCGACCTCTTCGACCTCACCTGCTAAATTGCTCCCCGTCTAATCCTTTCTGGCGCTCACGTCTGCGCCCCTTGGCAGGCTCGACATTCACGCAAGGTTCATGGTTCTTGTCCTCCATCTAGGCCAACGCGTGTTCACTTTGCAATCATCAAGGTACCTATACCTACGATTCTTCAAATATCTCCGTCTCTATTTACCTGCGCACCAAGCAAAGTACTGCTCCTAAAAAGAAGGCTGCGATTGACCTAGAACTGCACAGATATGCACGTTCATCAAGTACTCCGAGGCCCGTCTGCATAATGTTCTTCTCGAATGAAAGTGTCAACGTCCGTGCCGCTTTCCCTTTCGTCTTGTGAAAGAATACTCGGATGCACTTAAGGAAGTGGCCATCCAAGACCGGTAAATCGAAAAGTGAGGCTTCAATCACCGCACCCATTGGGCATCGTCGAGTCTCACCAAGTCGCCGAACCTGGTCTGGTCTGAGCAGATTATCAATACCATTCGGTTTTTTTTCGCACTCGTCAGCGAAAGGGGGTTTCGAGTCCCTGTGTGTCAACTTGGCTGGCCCCCTTTCCAATATTCCAAATGGCGGCCTGTCATTTTCATTTCTCGCCTTCCATTGGCTTCGAATACTCTATCAATGAGAGACTCGTGGGAACGGAAGCCTCTTCCTGTCTGGTCTTGACTTGACATTTGCTCCACCGATTTCCTTTTAGCCCAAATTTTCTTGGGGGCCGACTCGGGCCATTTTCCATCTGGGATTTTTTTCCCCCTCACACGAAATCTGCAGTCACCGTGCAGTGTATTCCCCCCAATCCGAGACGGCTCGATTTGCTTCGTTGCACATCGGTATCTCCCCCCAGGTTTGACTGAATCGCGACGAAAAAGTTGTTCCTGCTGGCTTCATTGGTGGATCTGAAACCTGAGAAATCGGGCTTCAACTGTCAGCTTGAGGTTCGCCATCCCACACTGGTTTGACGCATATTATCAGAGGCCAAGCCCAAACAAGCGTCTCGAAGTCCAGTGGACGGGGGCTTGGCTATTGGCTGGAATTGGCGGCCATAACGAGTCGGGTTCGTTAGTAGGGATGCAGTCGCTGCACGATTCAAGTATCGAGTTAAGCTGGGACTTGGCTAGCCGGTCTGTACCGGCTAACGGTTACCCCATTCGCATAACGATGTGCTTCAAGTTCCGATTTCTTAGTCAACGAGGTTGCCAGCCAGGGCGAGAGACATTTGAAGCATGGTTTATCGTTGTCTCGAGCATCTGAAGTGTGAGAGATTCGACGGCTTTGTCATGCTCTCCCTAGTCTCTCCTCTTGATTCTTCCTCCTCCGCTCCGAAGCTGACGATCACTCTGTTGCTCCGCCATGGACTGAAGTGGGTGTCTACGACGATGTATGTACGTCATTCGGCATCGGCAGTGCATCGCCTCGCCTCGCCTCACCATTGAAGGGCTTTTTATCTGGGGTCTGAAGCTCTACCGACAGAAGCAATCGAAGCCAGGCTAAGGAGTACTTGTACGGTGCCTCGAGGGTTCCAAATGGGACCCAGTGGCAAGGCCTTTCGGCGGAAAACAATGTGCCGGGGAAAGAAGAGGGTAAAAGTGCTTCACAAAAGAAATGCAAGCAATTGTGTGGAAGAGTGGCTGGAGTGCGCTTCCCCCTGGCTGAGAGCCAGGGGAGGCGAAGGAGCACGAACAAGGGTCGCTGGGCTTGTCTCAGAGAGGTAATAAACAACGCCCCCAAATCCAGCCATCTGGGTGCTCACAGACTTTTTTAACTTTTACGATCCCTCCAGCTCATCGTCCAGGGGGCTCGTCATTGGCATCGCACCGAGGGGGAAGCAGTAGAGCAGGGCAGGGTCTCTGTATCATTCTCTCCATTCATTCAGTCAATCAGCTATATTCTTGTCTCAGCTTCATCAGTAACCCGAATGCCTGCGGCCCCGATCGGAGGAACTCAAATCGTAGCTGGTATTATTGAGAAGAGGAGATGACGGATTAAGTCATGTCGATGACCCCAACTGCTCAGACCCGCCCGACATCGAGCAGAAAATCGAAACGAAACGGGTCACAGTGTGGGCGGACACATTGACTTTTACAGACACCGGGGCCGAACTTTTCCAGAGCAGAACTGCAGAATGAAAGGGACAGTGGCATCCAACCATGCCAGGACTCTCGAGAGAGTCGATGCCCGATCAAGTAGGTAGAGTAGGAGACATGGCTTAAACACGAGGTACAGCAAAGCCAGTGACGATGAAGCGATACAAACTGGCATAAGGTGCAATGGGCAAGTACCATAAGTCTGCCCCCGATGGGGTGTGAAAGAGAATGGGAGGGCGTGCTTCGAGCAACCCCATCACTGCCGCGAAACAGACGAGAGAAAACGAAGGGGTGGGAAGAATGGGAAGGGGACCAACAAGCAAGCTCAGCACACCCCATGGCAGTCTTTCCCTGACTAGGCCGGCTGCTTTGCTTCCATCTCATCCATCCCATCTCATCTCTCGTCGTCTGTCCGCCTGTCCGTCCTCTCGATACACTCTGCTGAGCCATACCTCTTGTCTCCCCCTCAATACTCCTCTCAGATACTGAGGAAGTGAAAAAAGAGAGCCGCCCGTTTGCCGCGTTTTTCATTATATGGATATCTCAATCGACAACTGTCTATCGCCTATCTCTACTCCTTCACACCGTGCCTCGTCGAGCTTTGCTTATCCTTAGGTCATCTATACTACCAGATCAGACCGCCCAACTCTCACCAACAATAACGCACCAGCGATTACCACACCAAAATCCAAAGCTCTCTGCGCCTTTTCATTCCAGAGTCCTACAGGCGAACCCAGCGCAGGGCACCTGACAAGACCTGACTCTGTGCTCGCAAACTAGCCCCGGTTATGGGGTGTGAGCCAGTTGGCTTTGGCTCTGCTGCATAAGCCTCTTTACTCTTACCACCTTTGACTCTTCTGTCTTTCTCTCACACACACACATACGCGCACCCACCTTCGCTCTTCTCTCTCTCCATCTACTTCTCTCCAAACACCTCGTCTCGTCATTCTTACTCGGGATAGTCGTAAAGTGTTACAGCACACACTGCAGCGGTCACTTGTCCAGACTTACTCGGCCAGTTCAAGTCTTACTCGCCTGCCTCTCAAGTCGTTTGCTCTCCTTCTCTAGCTCTTCAACTCAGCAACAATCGGAAGGAAAGATACATCAGATACAACTACCTCTCCCAAGTCTTGGTATCTCACACCCCCTTGCCATCCGCCTATCCTCTATCCATCGTCGGCGCCAACACAAGCACAAGCCCACCCTCCATTGCAAGAGAGACATCACTCGATCGCCCACTCACACTCAGTCTCTCACACCCACGTCAATGTCCACACCCATCAATCATCTATCGCCTGCATCTCGTCCATTCTTGTCCACTACGCCTTCTTTACCAGACAGCCGGTTGCCAACCAGGGAACCCCCATCTTTCGACATTGCCTTGCAGATCGCTGCATAACGTGCCTCGTTCGGCCGGGTGTCAGCTCCAACTTCATCTCCCCAACTCCAGATCCAGCTCGAGGTTCTCGACGTCGTTCGACAACTATATCCATACTTTATTAAAGATTCAAAGCTCCATCTCGCAGCTTCATTCCGCTACGGCCGCTACCTTACTCTGTCGGTGCCGCACTTTTACTCTTTTTGCTGCAGTTCTCTTGCTGGGCTGCCACGCGCATTTGGACCAGGGCAATCCTTTTGGAGAAGACGAACTTGTCGGCAGGCATTGAGCCAGTTTGGCCTCTTCACTTTTTTTTTTTGGAGGTAAAACCACTTTTAGATTACATCTGGGTCTTCCTGGCGCGGTACGAGGGCCAGCTTGTTTCTCTTTGGGGCCATCTAGCCGCACTTGGATTGAATCTGCCCTACCTTACTCCACGGAACGGATACTTCCTCGACCACGGCGCTGTCTGCCGGGTTCATTACTCTTTTGCTCTGCATTACACTACAATCAACCGACCGGTAGTAGTACTTGTTGGGCTCCTCTCACTCGCCATTGTCTCTGCCACTGGCTTCGGGTCTTCTTTTTTAGTCTCATCCGTCCCCTCCTCCCGGCACAGACTTCCTTGGGCTTGGTCTTCCTAGCTTCTATCATTGGTCTGTTCCCCTTCGGACTGGAAGGCAAGTGCTTGCTTGTCTCTTCTTCTTTTTTACTTTGGCAGCAGCTGCTTGTCTTCCCGCCTCACCTTAAGTTCCCGGGCCTCACTCTCGCTCGCACACACTCACACACTCACACACTTCTTCCCATGTATCAATGTCACTCACTCACTCACTCACACCCACCTACCTAGTTACCCCCATTTTAGTCCAGGTCTCTTTGGATTATCATTGCTTTTTCTTTTTTCATCTGCCCTCTTATTACTTTTTTTTCTCCCCTCACTCCCTACTAACACCCTTCCTTTAATTCTGATCCTGCCGGCATCGACCCATATCTGCATCCCTCCCATGTTATAAGACCAACCCCGAGACTACCGTTCACGTCTTCCTCCACACCAACACCCCGAACCCGCCCCATAACATCTCTCACGTCGTCACAAGCTTACCCAGTTCTTCCCTGTCAGGCAAAAGCAGAATCCCCTTCCCCTCTTCAAGGCTACATAGACTCGCGTCTAGCCTCGCAGCACTAAGCTACGAGCAGTAAAAGTGGTCCTCGGTCTTGGTCCATCCACATCACGAGCCTCACCACAAGCCCCATATCCCCCAACCCAGCACACGGCCGCACAGCCTCTCTCAAGGCTCAAGACTCAAGCCTCGGGTCACCAACCTCATCTCAAGACCAGATCGGTCCGCCCGACGCTTGCTCTTGCTCTGACGAATCGCATCTTGCGTCAAGGCGACTCGGTGGTCGCTGAGACCCTGGTGCGGCTTCATTGCCCAAGCAGATCGCGCAGGGACCGGCTTGTAATGTTGGACATCGTGGTGCATGCGCCATCTGGGATCTTCCTGGTATCAAACCTGACACCAGTTTGACAACTCAGCGCGATATCCACCCCATTCGCTGGCTTTTTGTTTACCAAAATCTAAACTTCTCTGACGACTCACAAGACACCACCGACTCGTCGCCAGTCTTCGTCTAGTCTTCCCGAACCTTCAGGCGTCAGGGCATGAAGTAGACCGGCGCTAGCTTCGCCGAGCTGGTCGCGACAAGCAAGTCTGAACAGTTAACTTCCTTGTTCTCCCCATCCTTTACTCTATCCGCCATCTTCCCTCCCAATTCAATTCATAAAAGCCACTTCTATTACCCGCCGCCCGAGGAACCTGCCAGCCCATCCCGTGCTGCCCTTTGCCCGGCTCGACATCAGACAGACCCTACATCGGCATCACACATCAGGCTCTCCGACCCCCAGGTCCAAGTCAACGCTTCCTTACCTTTGTCTCTTTTGACATCTTGCAATCCATCGGCACCGACCTTGCCTCGCCATTATTAAGGCTCGCGACGTTACCATCCGCCAGTGCCGCCTAATCGAGTCCAGACGTCTCTCTAGTTTTACTTTGCGACACGTCGACAACTCGTCTTGCTTCGCGGAGCCATATACACCTAGACAAAACAGCTCCGCGCGTCGTCCGCTGTCATCGGCAAAGAAAATTCGTTACACGCCACCGCCTGGCTATCTTCGACACGCTAGTCCCGGAGGAAGACAAGGCAAGAGGGAGAGAAACGCAGTAGCGTTCAACGGACCCCAACACGACAATTGGACGGTCTTGTGACCGGTCCGACGGCCCAAACTGGCCTTACTGTATACATCGCCAGCTCCGTTGCCGCCGGCGCATACGGTAGGCTTGCCCTCGGAGCCGACCGGCGACCAAACCCCTCGTGGGATGGATGATCCCAATCGCCGTCGGAGGCAGAATGAAGCGCCCATGCATCCCACCTCCAACCCAAGATATAACGTACAACAGCAACAACAACAGCAACAACAGCAACAAGATCCTTTGCAGCAGCGCCGCACCATGGCTACAGGTTCGACCGAGCGATATAACCGGCCAGCGCCACTAAATACTTCGCCCTCGCAGGCGCGAGGCATGGGAAGCACGGGTAGCTACAGCACCTACAATTACCAAGAGCCGGTAGCAGGCTCTTTCAACGCGCCCATGGCGACGAACACTATGCATTACCCCTCAGGATACAGCCAGGACGGCCGTCCGGCGCAGAATTTCGGTGGATACAACGCGGCCATGACGATGGGATACGACAACCTGACTGGTGCGACGGGCTCCGTCTACGATAACCAGGCACAGTTTCAACGGCAGCCTGCAGCTGCTCCGATCTTGCCGACAGACGTGTCGACGTCGTACTTCTCCAATGACCCGAGTAGTAGCACAGGAACCTCCAACCTTCCCCATGCGCAACCGGCGAGCGCCACGGCGACGGCATATCAACAGCCACAGATGGCCAACTACCAGGCGAACATCCCTAACGTGGGCGGGATGCCACAGCAGACTTCGAGTGCCGACGTTTCAATGGAAGAGCAGGACTATTCTGCCACAGGCGGCCTGGAAGAAAAATGGATGGAATACCAGTCTGCGCTACGGGGTGTCTTCCAAAATGTCCGCAATGGTGTGCTCGAAAGCGCCAGCCAGTCACTTCTGGATGTGTCAAACTGGCTCCTGACGCAGGTCGTCGATCTGGGTATGTTGGATTTCCCTCCCCCCTCTACCCTGTTGCCCGCGCCAAGCGGCTGGATTGGAGTTTCGGGTTCTTCTGGTTCAAATTTACTAATACAATGACAATTCACAGGCCTCAACCTGGACGACCAAAATTTGCATGGAGACCGAATCAAACTATGGAACGACTTCAATCACGCGTGGCTCTCACTATTCCAGATGCAGAAGGATTTGATGGAGCCGGGCAGACAGCTGCAGCGATCGCAGACCTTGGTCCCCAAGGAAGGCCTGGAAAAAATGGGCAAAGAGCTCGTCCGGCTTTGCGACGGCATTGAGCGACATGGTCTGGTCGACTACCAATACGGAGTATGGGAGCAGCAGATCATAGAGAGTAAGCCCGCGCACGATCCCAACTTTGTACGTCGTGTGAGGGAAGGCACCCATGCTGACAATCCCGTTACTAGTTATCGAAGCTTGCCTCGACCAGTACGAGGCAAATGAAGAATCGAGCGGCAACGGCGGCGGCGGAGCTCAAACGGGGTCCGGCTCTCATCAAGGAAGCAGATAAAAGGAAGACTTGGGGTTTAGTCGGCTGCTTCGCCCTGAGATCAAATCCCAAGAAACGTACATCTCAGGGCAATGTCTAGATGCCCGTAAACGTATTCATGGTGGCGCCCGGCGGTCGGCTTTTGTGGGCGGCCTCATTTTATTCTCTTTTCTTCCCCCTCGATGTACATTCTCGGCATTTGGAAATGTCTTGTTACGAGAGACGGAGACCCAACACGATGTTACGCGGATTTTGGAGTTCTTCAGGGAGGATAACTGCTCTCATCATCCTTCTCACGCATTCCAACAGGTGGTTGGGCAGGCATCAGGTATCTATGTCAGCATCCTCAATGGGCTAACCATTTGTGGTTTTCTTCTCTATTTTTTCTTCTTCTTCTTTTCCTCTTTTTTCTGAACACATCTCTTGATTCTTCCTTTTTCTTCTTTTCTTTGCAGGATATCTCCGCTCTCCTGCCGACGCCCATGTCCATGTGCTTGTAGGCCAAGCTTCGGCTAGGCTGAACCTGCCTGGGTCAAATGGCAGACGGGGGAACGGGAGCACAGTCAGCTAAGACGACAGAGAAATTTAAAGACGGGGAGAGAGATGTGGGTGGCGGATTTTGGGCTTCTTCTTTTTTTTGTCCTAAGCCAAGGGGGTGGTGTGTGTCTGTGTATAAGCGGTAAGGGGGGTGTGCGTGGTGTAAAGAAAAAAAACCTGAGGGGATGGGAACTCTTACGGAAGGACGGTCATAGATGGGCGTACCAGGAAAGCAACTCGGGAGGAATGACGAACGATGAAATGCGCGGCGCAGATGGCCCACCAGACAACGCTCAAGAAGTGAGGCCGGATACTCGCAAACGAAGGGATGAGAAACAAAAACGGAAGAAAAAAAAAAAAAAAACCTCGGAATCAAAAAAAGGAAAAGGGCATCCGAGTTGCGTGTGTGTGAGAGAGAGGGTGGGATGGGGGCGGGGGTGGGGTGGGGTGGGGTTGGTGTTGTACGTATGTACGTGTGTATGTCTCTCTTGTTTTCCCTGTTGTAGAAATCATGTATACCTATGGTATTGTAGTAGATCAGGCCTGGATGCTCTCACGAGCTTTGCGTCGTTGCGCAAGAAAAAATTGGGCGGTGGGGTTCATCTCTTGTTTTCTTGTTCTTGTTTCTTCTATTCGTTTCTTCGGGTTCTTCTTTTTTCCCTGGTTTTCAGTTTTTTTTTGGTTTTTTTTTAGGACTTTTTTTTTTTGGTTATTCTTCTGCCCGAAGTAACTTCGGCAGCTGTATGTATGTACGCACGTACCTGTCTGTACCTTGCTACCATCAATCAAAAGAGAGACGGATGATGCATAAACAATGATGCGCAACGCAAAGCAAGGCAGCCGCGAAGCCACCAGATGCCGGTTCAGAATGCCGTGCAAGTATGCAAGATACGCCCCGGGGGGTATGAGCTATGCAAAGAAATTAAAGGAAGAAAGAAAAAAAAGAGCAACTAGCGAAGGAAATGTAACCCAGCTTTCTGCTCAGCCAAGTCAGCCGTCTTCTTTTCCATGGTTGTTTGCTTTGGTATTAGAATTGCCGGCCAGCTCGGCGTTTGATGACTGTTGGACGTCGAACAACTGTGGTTGTTGGAAAAAGCGCTAGCCTCGGCCGCCGCCTCACCGTCGATCTTTCTGCCCTACGCTTATTTGATAAGAACAATAATGGGCAATATGCGGGCAAGGTCCCTTGAACATGGCCTTGTAAGCCTCATGCGGGTGATCAAGTGGCGGGCACACACCACAACGCAGTTTCGGGTGAGAGGGGTGGGCGGCGGTCAACCTGACCCACCGCCGCCGCCACGCGAGAAATGCGGGCTCGGAGGCCCGGGCAAATGGATTGGATGAAAGCAGTCCGGGGCAGACGTCGGAGAGGGGGGGAGGGATGAAGGGAAGGGAGACGTAGGACGGTAGGAGAGAGGGGGAGGGGTGGCACCTGATCGCAAAAGTGATTCCTGCCCAATCGGCCTCTCTAGGGCTGGCTGTGATAGGCGGTGTATGCGCCTTACCAACAAGATTGACTGGCCGGCTTGAAAATGACGACCGTGTTAATCTGCGCCGATCTCCCGCCTTGGAGAAGGAGGCTAGTGACGCAAGATGGAGAGCAGTCTACTGCAAAGTCCAGACCGCATCGAACCTCTGGTCGGGCCTATCAGCCCAAAGACGAGACGTGACTCTTCTCCGCAACTTGGGAAGCTTTGTTGGACCCCGGAAAGGTAGGCCGATCTTAGCTTTACACGGAAATCTGTCGGCTCCTCTCTCTCTGGCCAACCTCCGGAGGCCTGTCTGCGGTGCCCTACGGTCAGGCAGCAATCTCGACCTGACGGTGATGATGAGGGAGACAGCGGCATTCGGGGCCTGTGGCTTGTCGTTGTTAGGTTGCCACGCTGGGGCTTGTTCTTATGACATTGTCGGACAAGAACCTTCGTCAAAATCGGTGGGCCAGTAAGTCAGCCGCATGTTCCCGGGATTCCGTTTGTGGCATATGAATGGGCGCGGGAAGCGACATCTGCAGGACAGCTTTTCTGCAGGGCATCGCAAGTTTTTTCTTTCTCATGTCAGCTCAGCCGTTCCCTACATACGCGATGTGAGACTATGGGCGGCATGGGCGTTTGCAACTTGACAAAGCTAATGCAGGTTGCTGGCTGAAAGTGTGGCCTCCCACTTCCCGCCTGCTCACACTTGCTCGCAGCTGCGAGATGGGACCAAGCCCCTCCACCTCGCAACATAGTGACAAACGGATCGAGGCTTGCGAATTCAATGGACTTTTGGATGTCGTCCTACAAACCGGATTGCCCCGCGATCCCCGCCAGTCTTGGTTGCCACAAAATCCGTAACACGAAGTTATATTCATGCATGCTGGAAAAGCAGGGTGATCAATTTTCATTGAATCTCGGCAAATGATGGGTCAAACATGAGTAGGATAGTACCATGATATGACAAGTGACCAGGACCTTGCATGAGGCTGGTCGACTGCTTAGAGACGAGGTTTTGGTTCCGTCTTATTTGATATCTCTGAAGAGTAGGGGATCATGGGGTCCGGCTGCTTGGGACCTTCCGTGTTAGTGCGCATTGGCGCTGTTGCTTATTGGTCGCACATGAGGTACTGACTTATTTGTAGTGACATATTGAAGCATGAGCATAAGACGACACCTGAACATAGCTGTGAGCTTAGCAATATTTCAGCCCTCAGCTAGTGTTGTTCCAAGGCACGGAACGACCAGACTGGAACAGGCAATGAGATTGCTGCTAGACGAGGCTTGCTTCGAGGCGGAGTGGGACAGGGAGTCGGTATGGCGCTGTCTCTGATCTCCGAGGGGCAGGGCACCAAGCTGCAGATCGCGGCACAGTGAGCAGTGGTGGTATGTATTTGTTTCGCTGGCAAGGGTGTAGAGATATTGAAACACGGCTGAATTCCTATCCTTGTTCCTATGCTGAAGCAAGGCTATCTACCAAGGAATATGACAACCGGAGCCCGGTGTAAAGCGAATACTTCGCTACTGCTGAGTGTCGATAAGGAATAGCGCTTCGTTTGGACCGTATATAGAAAGTGATTCGTTGATAGTGTGCTACCAGCGGACGCCTCCGCCCGGAACCAGGCATGGTATATTGAGCGTATATTTTGGCTCTTAGGCTTGGGTGCGCGAGCAAGCCCATCCCTACTTGGTCACAGTAGGCGTCTCGCCACTCGAACCCAGCACTCTGGATGGCAGGCGAGATCCAAGTAGCGGGAAGAGACGCAGATCTCGGGTATATTCTGTGTCTGACCGCCCGAGCATGATAGAATAGGCGCCGGCTCGGGAGTAAAAGTGCAAAGGGCTACATTGCCACATTGCTTGACCTAGACGAGTCTAGAGCAGCACCAACTGTTAGCAAGCATACCCTCACTCGACTTCTGACCCTCCCCTTTTCTGCCCTAAATTTCCAGTGCCATGGCTGGAATGCCTGGGGGCAGGGTTGAGACTTGCATATCTTTCCTCTGAACTGATTTGAGAATCTGACCTGTCACTTTCCCGGACGCCCTGTAGCTCCACAACAGGATGGGCTGGGCTCGCTGGAGACAAGGAAAAGAGGTCCCTGGTAGTGGACAGACATGATCTGGTCATCCATGTAGGCAATCAACACGGTGGAGCTTTGCCTGTTGTACCTGTACAAGCTCCGGCCACTCGTTCAAAGATCCGGCATCGTTCCATTTGGCCACTCCACATCTCCGTCACTGGAGCAATTACTGACCCGGCAAAGCCGGTAAGAGCACCGGTTTGGTGGGTCCATCCCGTCCGGCTTCACTTGAAAGCTCGTCCCTTTCTAGCACACAACATCCGTGTCTTCGGCGGCCTTGTCTAGTAAGCTTAGAGAGTGCCGTTCTGGACTCGTCAGAGTCGTCCGGGAAGTTTGTCTCGAAGGCCTGCCTTTCTGGCTGCATGTAGCGTGCCTTTCCATGGGCGTAGAGCAGCTGTACAAGATATCGTAGGGGAAATAGGTCGTACACGACGTAAGAGCAGCTGCCATCTGTTTGGCCAAGAAGATATGGGACGGTATGGGAGATACGTGACTATCTGGATAGCCTACGTATGGATGGTTGTAATTCCGTACACGCTGGGTTTCTAAACAGGACAAATTAGCAAGCAAGACATGGCTCCGAGGGAAGTTCATTGATAACTACGTAGAGCATAGTGACACCATCTCGACTCTTAGCAAGCCTGTACATGGCTTTGGCTCACTGTCATACGCCCTTCCGATCGGATGCTACCACCAACCGTTCCCTTGGTAAACTCTATTTCGGCTACGCCTAGTTGTATCCAACTTTTCGCCGTCTTGAGCAATGTGTCTCAAGTGGTCTGATGTGAGTGTAAGTCGACACGTTTACGAAGGTTTTCTTTCCACGAACCGCTTGACCGTCTGCTTAGATAGAGGTAGAGTTCACCTGGAATGTCCGACATCAGCCTCACTGAATGTGATGTCGTCCTTGTGATATCGACATTTGGCTGTCTACTTCCGATCGAGTGGGACGCCTCTGAAACTTTGCGTTCGCCCTATCTATCAGCTTTCGTAGTAGGCGACTCAATTGCGAGTAGCATTGGCGATGTGCCTGGGATGCTATTTGTCGACAGATGGACGTAGGTAGACGACCTCCTTGCAGTGAAATGCCGATGGATGTGTTATCGAAAGCCGGGCACATCAGAGGAAAGCTCCAGTATCTGCCCTAATTGAACTGTCCACTTTTCCGAGAATAACATCAGCATGTAGGTATTCCGACAATGAGCATGAACGCTGGAGCATGACGGAGTTCTCGGATACTTTGGCCATCCGCTACAAGCTATCGAGAGCTGATGGCATTGGAATGACAGGTGGTGATTTGAGGTAAAGCATGAAGAAGACCTTGGGCTGTCAAGGGAAGGGTTAGAGAAGTGCAAACCCGAAGACATAGGGAGGCCTGTTGACATATTGGGCCTGTGGGAAGGAGCTAGAAAACTTAGCGATGGAAGGAAGGAGCGTCTTCAGGTGACAGTGATGAACTATCAAGCGCACTTTCCTATCCATCCATCCACCCCCCAGCAACACTCCATTGCGCCGTTCATGTGAGTTGTCGTCGTCGTCATTATTTCGATGTGGCAGTCCTCGAGAATGCAGGTAATCCGTCTTTGGGGACACAATCTTTGGGGACACAGTCGCCTCTAATGAGTATGATCCGAGCTGCTGTGATAATCACGCACAATGCCTATGGTACAATCTAGGTTCATGGGAATTAATTAATGCTGCTTCTTATCTTTCGTACGCACGAAGAATGAGGCTTTCGCCTTTTCCTCCAATTCAACGCCCGAGGGCATGAGTGGAAATCTCCATCCAACCCGATACCACATATTCATCACCTATTCCATCATGGAGAGGAAGGAGATCACTGTCAAGTTCTGGTCGTGAGTGTCGACATGATCGTTCTTGACATGGTCGGTTTTACCGCCGGGTACCTGCTACAGTTCGATGCACATCATTCATTCGTTTCTGGTTTATACGTAGTGTCGCATGTCTCATGGGCCTATTCCACCCAAACCTCGATCACCAGATGACCTATTCGCAAGTCACACTCCTTCAATAGCACGTTTCGATTTGGGACCACGATGACAAGGGCTGATATGCACGGGTTTGAATTATCTCCCTGAAGTACTTGACTAATCATCACTCAAGCTCCGTTTTACCTTGGGCATCGCGACTTCGGAACAATATTGAACTTTTGACCATGATCCATAGGTCCAGGCCACACCGCAGTGGCTCTAGGCTGTAATCAACACCAAAACTGTATTTACTACGGACAGGAAATGAGGCTTAGGGACATATCTCGAATATCACGTAGAATGATGGCCGGCGTAGCGACAATGGGGAACTGTTTGTTGTTTCATTTGTCTTTAGTTGATCAAAGGGGCTTGTATGTAGTCATTCATTGCACTTGTCTCTTTACGTGGATGCCATTAGTGTATACTGGTAACGTATGTCTCCTTAGGTTCACCCTGTATCCAAATTTGGGGAATAGTTGCTCATTATTTCTACAATCTAAGCGTCTCTGGAAACACGTTACGGATAGGTAGAAACATGAGACTTAATCTGATTCTCCGAGGCCAATCTATAAGCAGTCCCAGTGGTCCAATAGCGGGGCACTACGTCTAATGGTCCTTTCAACTTTCCATCAGTCCCGCCCGCGGCTAGCTTTGGAGTACGGAAACAACCCCCTTGGCTTCAACTAAAGGGCCAACTGAAGGAAGGAATCCAATCACGATAGCCTTGGACTTATCGCGATTCAGTTCTTCGCAGAACAACTGAGAGGTTTAAGGAACGTGCCACGAATATACGGTTACAGGGGCTGATGCGCCTACACCGGTCCGACAAAAGACAAAAGATAGAAATCCTAGCACTGAGTATGTTGCCGCATAAGCAGCAGCAGTGTTTCGTGGCACCTAGCTAACTGCGATACGATCACAACCGCCTGGTTTGCTTGAAAGCTCCATAATGCATGCACATCGTTTTCGGCCACAACTCAGGCCTTTGTGTGTGTTTCCAAGCGTCATCCAAACATCAAAACCACTGGCTGTCATCATGTTTCAATAGACTAGCATAGTTGGACGCAGCAGACAAAGAAACGCTGTTTTAAACCCGGATATTGTAATCCAGGCACATTTGACGACCGTGATGTCGCTCCGGGGGATCGTTTATCTCTACCTCGAATAATGATTGTTGCAATTCATGTCTCATGATCCTGATGTGCTCGCCCACCGCCGTGTTCAACTCTAAAACGTGTCTAGAAACAGATGTTAGCTTCTTCTTCGGCCGCGACGAGTTGAAGCCAGAAAGGCACGCAAATGGGATAGGATGCTCACCCAAAGTCATGCTCATGCTGACGTCCGTGTTCTCCACCATCTTGGTGAACTCCTCAAAGCTGATCTTGCCATCCTTATCCAAGTCGGCCTCCATGATGGTCTTGTCGACGATCTGTTGCAGCTGCTGGTCCTTAAGGTTGCTTCCAACCATCATCTTGAGCACAATGAAGAGCTCGCCATTGCTGATGTAACCGTCGCGATCGATATCGTACACCTTGAAGGCGAAGCGCAGCTTTTGCTCCTTGTTGCCCTTGCTAGAAAAGGCGCTGAGGCCTGATACGAATTCCTGGAAGTCGACGTCTCCGCCACCATCCTCGTCAAAGATCGCAATCATTCTGTGTAAGATCGCTTTAGTAACGTGATTCGCAGCCTATTGCATCGGAAGGATTTTGGCTACCTCGTGGCTAGCGGGTTGGAGGAAATCTGGGGCAGGCTGAGGAACTCATCGCGCTCGATTGTGCCGGAATTGTCCTGCACGAAAGAAGGGTCAGCAACATTGTCTTCTAGTGGCAAAGGGATCGCCGTTGAGCGCAATGGAAAAGTAAACGAGTAGGCCATAGGGAATGCACACCTTATCCAGCTTCATGAAACGTTTCCTCAGACGGTCAACTTCCTCTCTGTCGACTGCGAACCGGTCAGCTCCAGCACAGCGAAGTCTGTGCGACAAAGAAGTCGACTGCGGGGGAGGGGCTCACAGTTGGACCCCTGGACGATGTTGTCCAACACCGTACTGGTAGTGTTGCCCATGATGGAGAAACTCGATATCGGACTCGACTAAAAGCTGTATGGGTGCACGGTGTAGTTGGCAGGAAATATTCCAGGGTCGTCGCAGTTGGGTGGGCTTGTGTCAAGCTCGACTTCGCTAGTTCGCCGTGGGGTTCGCCTTGAATAGGGAGGTTGACAGGAACAAGGCCAAGGTGCAGTGCGGCAGGTAGTCGAAGTAAAGTCAGGCGGCGGCCAGGCGGCGACCAGGCGCCGGATTGGATTCGGGCAGCTGTACCGGAGCCCACCGCAGCGTGTTTACGCACGGGCCATTTCTAGATCTCATTGTCTGACGTACGACCTGAACAGGCTTGCAAAGTGTCAGATGTATTACCACCACATTTGAGTTTCGGGAGGATGGAACGAAATGAATGAGTTGAGATTCGATGCATATTCTACAAGTTCAAACATCAGACTTTGGTGGTGAGGAGCAAGAGACAGGACTACTTAATGTCACTTAGACACCTGGTACCTACCTAGCATCGCTCTTGCGGCTTTCTGATGTTGACAGATTGGGAATGGCACGTGACTAGCAGCTTCCCCTTTTTCCAGGCGTGCCTTGGGTAGGTGCCAGTCGCTTCCATGGGACGTGTCGGCCAGTCTTTGCTTTCCAACTCCGATTCATCTCTTTTGGCCCGAGCGTCCTGAAGTACCTCTACAGCACGTCTACTATTGCACGGTACCTTGAACGCCCAAATCCAACCCGAAAGGTCCTACCTTACTGCGTAGAAGCGCAACAGGAAAATTCTTCTTCACGCCAAACGCCAAATCAACGTCGCCTCATAGCCAGCAACAGATCGACCATCAATCCAAAGCCAACAACCACGATTTTTATCCGTCAAAACTTCAAAAATCAACGTCGCATGACCCCTTGTATGACTTGATCGACTTTTTTCGCGGATTTTCCGCTGGCTTTCGGCCTTCGACCCCCACCCGCCACCATGTCAACCAGGAAAGTTAGAGTCAAGAAGTTGAGCGTCAAGACGCTTCTTCCTGTGCTCAGAGAGACCGATATCGATGCTGCTGAGTACGAATCTTTGACTACCGAGACTCAAATCGCGACCGGTGTCGAAGCCGCCGAAGAAACAGTGAGTCACATCTTTGCCCATATCGCAGCCAGATATCACGTGACCCATCATGTGATATGCCTTGGCACCCCCGGCTTATCCACTTCTCACTTATAGCTCGCCAGAGCAACAACAGCCACATACTGACCGCAAATCATTAGGAATACCATCTCCAGTCAATTCTCAAAGAGGCAGGCACCAGCAATGACCAAGAAATTCCTGTCCCGCCTCCTCAGGAGAGTCAGATCAACTATGATCAACTCTACCCCAGTAACTTTCAGCAACCTACCTCTTTCATTCGCTTCTCTCAGACTGTCGAAGAATGCATTGGCGTTTCGTATGACATGACAAGTGAGGACGATGAGTTCTTGAAGCAGTACAATGCCACCAAGAAGACAGTCGCCTCTCAACTGTCAGAAGATGACTTTGAGCGCATTATGGAAGTGTTCGAAGACACAGCTTCTGAACAGACTCCATTCGCTTCCATAGACAACACAGTGGTTGGCTATGATCTGATGGTGCCCTCTCTTACCTCGCTCGGTGGCAACAAGCTCATGGCGCACTCCAAGCACGTCTACGAGCACTGGAAGACGCGCCGGCAGACGCTCGGCAACAAACCTATTCACCCAAGCGTGAAGTTCGAGACACATCAGGAAAGTGACGAGGCCGACCCATATGTGTGTTTCCGACGCCGTGAGGCCAGACAAACGCGAAAGACACGGCAACGAGACGTTCAGAGCGCCGAGAAACTCAAGCGACTTCGCAGAGAACTTGAAGATGGTCGACAGCTCATCATCCAGTCTTATGAGCGCGAGATGCTCAAACGTGAACTACTTACCTTTGATCGGGCCATATTCGAGCAGAGAGCCAAACTCAAGGAAATGAAGGTCAAGCTCGGCATCAAAACCGAGGACGACGACCTCATCAACCACAAGGTATGTCCAACACCATCGTCTGGCAATCCAGAGACGTGTGCTGACCAAGCACAGCCTCCCAAGAAGAAGCCCGTGGAGGCGCCTGCTCTCCAGAAGCCACCCGGCAACCACCTTCGCATTGCCGTGCGGCCGGATGGTCGATCCATGGAGGCAGACTTGTTGCAGCTGGCAGATAAGCTTGCCGAAAAGGAGAATGAGTTGCGCGCAGATGTTGAAAGCAAGGTCCACAACCACCGAAAGTGGAACCAGAACCATGTGGACCTCACGCGAGATCCCCTGTCCCCGGTCAAGGAACAACGCATGGAGGCCAGCTTCCGTCCTGCCAAGACCCAGTATCTGATGACGCCTCCCGCATCCACATCTTCCGAGTCAGATGCCATGGACGTTGACGAAGAACCCGAACCTGTGGCTGATGGAAGCGACATGTCGGTCTTCCAGTTCACAGCCGGCGGCGGCAAAGAGAAGCCTTCTAGCAGCCAAGCAGCCTTCCGCCGACGCATTGGCCGTCTGGGTCGGCTGTGGATCGACCGCCGGGGAATGAGTGGAATGACTACGCCGCCGAGGGTGGAAGGCGAAGAGTATACTGATCGATGGAAGTACGACCAAGACGATGAGGACGAGCCGCAGGTGTACGAGGTGGACCCATATGACACGCGAGCTTTGAAGTTCCGCGCGACGATCCCCTTGTCGCAGTATGTGTACCAGCGCCGGCAACTTCCGCATGAGGGCATGGTCAACGGCCAAGCAACTCCGCAAGTAGCAGCAGCGGCTGGCAGACCTGCACTGCCGCAGCCTCCGACGCCGCAGCAGCAGGGTCAAACACAGCCGCAAGCAACGCCGCAGCAACCGCGGCAGCCGCCTCAGGCTTCTCCGCCAGCTCAACCTGCTGCTACCCCCTCATGAGAGACTGTCTGGCCTTCAAGGCGCGATCTCTACTCCTCATCCTCGGATGACGTGTGTTGTATACCCCCATTGGTGTTTTGGTTGTCTTCCGGTTTTGTACAAAGGGCCTGGTGGCTGGCAGGCGGGCAGGCAGGGCGGTCGGTTAGGCGTGGCGTTTTGCGTTGAGATGGGTCTCATGTAAAGTAAATGAATGTAAAAGAAGAGGAGTTGGAGACCGGTGGTCGTGGTCTACCAAGACGAAGGCCCTCGGCCGGGGTTAGATGATTCCCCAAAGACAATAAAGAAAGATGAATAATGTACTTCAAAGCTTCCCTGCCAGTGACTCGATCGCCTATTGCTCTTCGTGTGGAAGCAGAGGGGGTTGTTCTCGTTGGCCATGGGCGCGGTCGGTCGACCGGATCTTGGCGGAGATGACGATGGAGGTCGGCTTCCGGCGGCTGGCGGCGTCTGACTCTGCTTGGCGACTCGATGCGCATTGCCTTGCTTTGTGGCAGCGGATAGTGGTAAAAAATAGAGGACCGGTAGCTTCATGAATTCTTGTGTGCCTCAACTCGTGGTGTCGTGGTGTGTCGGGAGGTCAGAGGAGGAGGTAGGTAGTGGTGGTTTGTAAGGTGACTCGGAGAGAGCTTGCGACGAGCGGGTGGTCAGGCGCGGCATTATGCCTGGGGGTTGGCACCTGGCTGACAAAAACCACGGGTTAGCAGGTTGTTGAATATTGAATAGCTTCTGTATTATTGTTCAAAGAGGCGAGAACAAACCTGCAACAGCCCTCACGGCTTGTTCAAGGAGAAAAGACGGTTGTGTTGTGGGTGAGGTAGGTAGTTATGAAGTAGGTCAGCAGGTCGACCTTTGTCTTGTTGGAGAGGCTGTCTCTCTCCCCCGTCACCCCGATTCGGCTGATATGTGCCCGCAGATCCCTCGGCCGATCGCGAGACAGGACAGAGAGAATGGGGGAACCAAGAAGAGGGCTTGGAAGAGAAATGCAAAGGACAAGAGAGGGGGAATGAAGGAGGGGGGGAAAAAAGTGAGTATATCTGTAGCAACCGGCCACAGAAAGAGGGGCGAGAGAGAAATAACCTGGAGCACAAGAAGAGAAAGAATTGTGTAGTGAGAATGGGAAGGGGGAGTCCACTTTCTTGTCGAGGCTTGCACGGTGGTGGGTGTGGGGATAAATGTGTGTGCCTTTTGGAAGCCTCAGAAAGGTAGGTACCTTTGACCGGGGGTTTGTGAGCGATAAAAACGGTGCGCCAACAGGGGCAATGGGAAGATACTGGCTCTGAGTATGCCCAAGTCGTGGACTACAGAATAGAGGCATCGCGTCTTTCGTCAGTAAAGTTCAATCTCTTGGGGGAAAAGGACACAGAGGCTGAGGAAGAAAGGAAGGAGGCCGAGCAGATGTCTTGGGGTTGAGGTGAGGCGGGCGGCGTTTGCCGGGAGGTTACACCTAGGCAGGAAGGCTGGTAGGCTAAAGGTAGCGGAGGGGGAAGGGCGGCTCACCTGTGGACATTTGCGCAAAAGGCAGAAAAAGGGTCCGGTGCGGTACGGCGTTGTGTGTCAAGAACCGTTGTGGCAGCTCTACCTACCAGAAGGATTGCCTACCTTACCTACGCAGTACCTACTTTACCGCAGTAGGTAGGTATGCTACGCAGCCGCGCTTCTGCTTCTGCTTCTGCGCTTGGGGCCCGTGGGCAGGGGACCAAAATCGGGGCCCCATAATTACCCATCCACAATTCTATCGCTGGAAAACCGACATGGACATCCCACCAACGGGATTACCCCTCCTACGTCAACTTCTATTTTTCCATTGGCCCATGCCTGACTCTTTTTTTTTTTTCTTCTTTGCGATAGACAGCAGACAGTGGCCGTACTTCTTTTGCTTATAGGAATTTCTCATACTTGTGGCCTAATAAGAAAATAGAGTCGAACTTTGCAAATGGAGATCATTCTCTGGTATTTTCAAAAACTAACAAATTCGTGGTGAGGAAGGGTGAAATCAACGGTCGAATCCAGCAAAGTCCAGCCCCATGAGCGACACCAAAACCCGCCCACCAAAGAGGCCCCGCGATCCAAACCTCGACATCGACACCCCACCAACACCTCAACACCACTACCAACAGCAACAGCAACAGCAACCACCACCACCCGCAGCCATGACCGCGGAATCCCCCTCCAAGCTCACGACAGCAAACATGACCAAGAAGCGCGGCCTCATCGCCCTCGGCTGCGAAGGCTCCGCCAACAAGCTCGGCATCGGCGTGATGCTCCACAACGGCACCGAGTCCACCATCCTCTCCAACATCCGCCACACCTTCGTCTCCCCGCCCGGCACCGGCTTCCTCCCAAAGGACACGGCCAAGCACCACCGCTCCTTCTTCGTCCAGATCGCCCGTCGCGCCCTTCGCGAGGCCGGCGTCGCCGTCGCCGACGTGGACTGCGTCTGCTTCACAAAGGGCCCCGGCATGGGCGCGCCATTGACCAGCGTCGCCGTCGCCGCCCGCACCTTGGCCCTGCTGTGGGACAAGCCCCTCGTCGGCGTCAACCACTGCGTCGGCCACATCGAGATGGGCCGCACCATCACCGGCGCGCAGAACCCCGTCGTGCTATACGTCAGCGGCGGCAACAGCCAGGTTATCGCCTACGCCGAGCAGCGGTACCGCATCTTTGGCGAGACGCTCGATATCGCCGTCGGAAACTGCCTCGATCGGTTTGCCCGCACACTCGAGATCAGCAACGATCCGGCGCCGGGATATAATATTGAGCAGCTGGCCAAGAAGGGGACGCGGTTACTGGAGCTGCCGTATGCTGTCAAGGGCATGGATTGCTCCTTCTCGGGCATCCTCGCCTACGCGGATATCCTCGCAGGCCAGATGAAGGCGGCGCAGGCCAAGGGAGAGGAGACGTTCACACCGGCTGATTTGTGCTTTTCTCTGCAAGAGACAGTGTTTGCTATGTTGGTCGAGATCACGGAGCGGGCCATGGCACACGTTGGCAGCAATCAGGTATTGATTGTAGGAGGTGTCGGCTGCAATGAGAGGCTACAAGAGATGATGGGTGGGATGGCTGCGGAGAGAGGCGGCAGTGTCTATGCGACGGACGAGCGCTTCTGCATCGACAACGGCATCATGATTGCTCATGCTGGCCTATTGGCGTACGAGACCGGCTTCAGGACGTCCCTCGAGGACAGTTCATGCACACAAAGATTTAGAACAGACGAGGTATTCGTCAAGTGGAGAGACTAATGCCATTGGCCAATGCGGCACAAGCTGGCTGTTATTGATTTCTTTTGTCCATTTCTTTTGTCCATTTCTTTTGCCTCTTTCCACAAGGCAATCACTCTAAGCTCCGTGACGATTATCCACACTTGGGGCAGGCTCGCTACTCAATGCCGGAATTCCTCGGTATGATCCCTAAGCCCCCAATCACTCGTCTGTTGTGGTGGGCTTGTATATGATCGTCGTAACATACTATTCGACTTGTTAGTCGCGGGCCAAGTTGAGTGCCTGTCGCAGCAGATGACATACCTTGTTCTTGTAACGCGTCGTTGCAGACACAGCCAGAATGTTGTTCTTAATACTGCTGGTGGCAAGATGGTTGAGAACAGTATGGTTGGGCATGTTGAGCACACTGTTGTCGTCCTTCATAAGAACTGCGGCGTTCAAGATGGGCTTACCCAAGAACCCTGGCAAGCTTGGAGGTGTCGGCAACTTTTCAATAGCTGTAACCGCATACTGGTAAGCTGGCGAGTCTTCGGGCTGGTCGAAATCCACCAAGTACTTGGGTATCTGGTGGAAATATTGACTGGGCGAGGGTACTTCTTTGCCCCTAGGCGCCTTGGGCTGCTCATCAGTTTGCGATGCCGAGGTCTTCGGGCCGCCCTTGTCAATGGTAGCTGCTGTAGCCACACCGTCCTTTCCAGGCTCAACGGGTGCTGTTGCCGGGATGTCATCTGCGCTCACTTCGATGAAGTTGACCAGGTTGTTTCCAAAATCCACGGTTGTTGGCAGGTCGGGTGAAGTCTGCATGATTCCGTCCACCAAGAACCTAACATGGTGTGTTCCCGGAAGAATGTGAATCGTGGCTGCAAACACGCCAGGCTGGCCATCGCTATTGAGCACGCATTGTCAGCTCAGTGTTCATGGGAGTATCGGCTTGTGATATGGCACGTAGGGCTTGATGTAAAAAAGGCAGCCAAGGGGCTAGAATCTTAGACCACTGGAGAGTCACAGGTGTAACGCCGACAGCCGAGACTCAAGCCCACACACGCACAAGATTGAAACTTACACAGGATGTAATCTATGTTTGCGGTTCCATTGGAAGATGGTTCCTGTGACGTAGACCTTGCCTCCTCCCTTGCGCCATTCGAGACGAGTGGGAACTGTTGGCCGTGTCTTATCGACAATCAACTCTTCGCCATCTTCCTCTTCGACTGTATTTGTGCTCAAGGCCGAGGACTTCCTAGTCATGCCATCCTCGAGGGTTTCCACTTCAGCCACGCCAGCGTCGTTGGCGTCGGTAGGGGCGATGATGGGCGAGCCCGGAGTGTGAATCTCCTCTTCGATGGGAAGCGGCATACGCGGAGGACGTGTCAGGTAAGACATGTCGTTGACGCTGCTGTTCCCAACCAGCGGTGGTTCAACCATGTGGGCAGAGTAATGCGATCTGAGGGAGGAGGATTCTGTCGCGGCGGCAGCAGCTGGGACGTCTACGGGCTTGCTAGGCGCATCGCGGACGATGTTCTTCGATTCTGGGGGCTTCGGCGGCGGGGCGGAGTTACTCGAGTTTGACGAGGGAGAGCCAGTGGTGAAGTTGGAGATCGGGATGGCCTGGAGAGGCCTGGGACCCTTTGTGGCCGTGGAACCTTGAGCCTGGGTAAGGGAAGGTTCAGGCGGGGCAGCAACTCGCTCGGCAGACCGGGGCGGGATGATGTGTTTGGACTCCCTCTTGTGGTGGTGGTGCTTGGGAGAGTCCTGTGATGAGACAGGCGTGGCCGGCTTGGACGAGGACGAGGGGTTGTTTCCCATTTTGTGTCGTTTCTTCTTTCAGATCCGCTCGTAGGGTAGGTATGGTGGGACACGACAGCGTGGTCTCGCTGCGTTCTGGGGGTTAGGTGGGCAGGCAGTCCGCGGTCCGCAGTCCTAGAGCCTGGCCAGACCAACCTAAGGTAAGTCCTGGATCTCTTTTTCAGGGTAAGCGGCGAGGTCGGGCGGACACACGGCAGGCGATGCGGGTTGCGGGATGGGTTACGGCAGCGATGCAGTGGAAAGCGCGAGGGCAGCGCTGCCCAGAAGAGCGCAATGCAGCGATACGGCGGGCAGTCACAATCGGGGGGTCGTCGGGACCCAATGTTTCCACGTCGGGCCAAGGTATCCGTAGCTGCTGCGACTGGAGTTTGTGCGATCCAGGTTAGGTAAGGCGTGGATTGCACGACGATACCTATGTAGCAAAGACGCGGGGTTGCGACTTAATTATCGCATTCTCGAGAGATCGAGTCAAGGCAGGTCGATGGCGACGAAGGCGGGGGTCGGGGGTTGTTGTGCTCTGCAAGAAAAATATTGAAGCGGAGATTCGCTGGTGATGGGGCGAGGATGTGCAGAATGAACACGGCAGGTTCACTGCTTCGAAGATTGGATGAGAGGTTGAGTTAGGTAGTTCAATACCAGGCGAAGTTGAGAGAGTGTGGAGGGGTGGTGGTGGTGCGTTCCCACTTGGATTTGGGGGGTTTCAATGTAGCCGAAGCCAGATAAGCTCTACATGATTGGTACTCCATATCCCATATTGCGGACCATGGGGAACCAAGTACCGGCGGGCCTCCGCTTAGCCCATCACTCTACGAAGTGCAACTCGCAGGCTGACCTGACCTGTCACCCTACCGGCCGGGCTTGCCGTCATCTCTACAGTAGCTGGATTTCGGCTTACCTGTCAAATGACCTCTAGCGTGTAGTGGCATTCTATTTTCCGTCTTTTATTTGACTCTTCATTGTGAAGTCAGGTATTCCGTACTTCTCAGTTATCATGAGCCGAATCATCACAAAACGGGAACGATAAGGGTGCCTCGTCGGCACCTCCAGCTGGTCAGTGCGCGCAGGCTTAAATTGCAACCTTCTCCCCCTGGGCCTGATGAAGTCAAGCTCCGTACCTCTGAAAGCGGCCATCCGATTATCTTCCCTTGCCTGCTCGCCAATGCTGACCTGTAGGAGCTGGTGCTTCCTTCCCAATTCGAGCTGGAGCTCAACTCAACTTTTGTTGCAGGTACCTAACCAACACAACTCTCTGCCGTGCCTCCCACAGCTGGCCCACGCACCGTGCTACATCAACATCAACCCCCGAATTTCTGAACGGAAAGGCTGGCTGGAATGTAGCCGGCCTCACATCGCGGAGTAAACACCCGTGTCACGAACCCACCGCCCCTCGATTTTAAGCTTCATCTCTCCTCGGCCAACTCGTACCTCCACTCTTTCAACAACCTCACAGGCCATCGTAATCTTACCAACTTGCCATGCTGGGAGATCAAAAAGTGATACTCTTCTCTTCAGGTATAGCTTAAGGTACACTGAGCTACCCCTGTAACGCTACGTCAATCGGAGTACCACAATCACGAGGCCTTCTCCTCACACCTCACATCATGGCCCTGCTGTCATACGCCTCTGGCGTGTTCACCATCGCGACATGGCCTGCCAGAATAGCTTGGAAGCCTGTGGCATTCTTCATCAACGTGATCCTCATACTACTATCGCCCCTCTTACTCATGGCAACATTTGTTCTGGGATGGTGCCAATCTGTCATCGACTTCATAGCCAGTCTCCAGGTGAGCAGACCCTCCTTCTTCCTCCCTTGAAACGCATATTATTGACGGCATCGCTAACTTGCACCACACAGCCCCTTTATACCTTTGTGAGATCTCTGCCTTACCTACACAATTGTCAGACTGCTGATATACTAATCTTCCCCTTAGTTGGCCTGCGGTGCGTGCATCGGCATCTTGGCTGGCCTGACTATGGCTTGCACATCCGGCATCATCACCTCTGTCCTCGGCATGCATGATGAGAGGTCTAGTTCTTTCTCCACAACGCCAATGCCGGGAACACCATTGTCAGAGCGGCCCGGGACTGGTAAAACGGAAGACTCATCATCCTACGAGACTGATTGGCAGTTACTGAACAAGCCGCCCCCAAAGAGACGGAGGCGAACTCCCGGGCTTTGGTCGCAAACGATTCATGAGGAGGACGACGATGATTCAGAGATTTGACTTGGTAATTCGGCCTTTCTTAATATAAACCACTACTGCTGGGAAGGGAAGCATTCATTACCGGGGAATCACTTATATACCAGCCTTGCTTGGAATTATGCTCCCACCCCCAAACGCCTGTCCCAGTGCTTCGCCGAGCTGTCCTGCCATTCGATATTATACTGTCTTTTGTACAGGCCGCAATCTCATCTGCGGTACGCGTCCCGTTCCCGCATGGGGGAGCGGCTACGGCTCCGCGTCCGGCGATCCCAGTCTCGCTCGTGCCATCGCTCATCTCTACTATTGCGGCGTCGGTCGCGAGGAGGCCGGTCATCTCTATGTCGTGGAGGAACATCGTCTCTGTAGCTCGGGATATACGTGTCTACGTCAGGACCTCTTCCTCCTCGACTTCTCGGCCTCCTATCTCGGTCTCTGTCCCGGTAGTCATCGCGGGGCGGCATAGGGCCGCCGTTAGCATACTCGGGTGGGGGCGGTCGCGGAGGTAAGCCTCTGTTGTCGCGCTGCCAAGCTGGTCGGCGTTCATCCCCGCCGTTCCTGTGACCTCCGGGTACATTGACATTCCGCCCGTTTACGCCATTGCGGTTGCTGTAAGCATCGGTATTGTTGAAACCGGCATTCGCGCCGTGCGCCTCGGGGCCCATGCCCACCGTGCCTCCCTTGGGCGCTGGTGGGAGTTTTGCCTGACGATCGTGGAACTTTCGCCTGTCCAGTTCGTGACTGTCCTCGAAGGTGGGTAGGTCTCCAGGTTCGGCCGGCATGGGAGCCATCTTGAAGTATGGATGGTTGAGCGCATCGGCGGCGTTTATGCGACTTCTCCAGTCGAGTCTGAGAAGCTCCTTAAGCAAAGAGACTGCTCCGGTTCCGTACTCTCTAAATTTGTTGGTAATGCTACCAGGTCGAGGGCGTGGGGTCACTGCTTCAGCACCAGGAAGAGTGCTGAAAAGGGGCATATTTTCCGGCGTGGGCGACCCCATCAGATCCCAAATGATGTCGAGCTGGTGTGTATCGCTCTCACCAGCCAAAATCGGCTTTCCAACAAGCATTTCGCCAAAGACACAGCTGCCAAACTATTAGTACCGGGTGCCAAAGATGCGCCGATTGTGACACTTACCCAACACCCCAAACGTCAATAGCGGTTGTGTATCTTTTCAGGTGAAGCAGCAATTCCGGGGGTCTGTACCACCGAGTGACGACAAGGCCGGTGTATTCCCTTTTCCCCTCTCCTGCCCCGTGTCCAGGCTTGGGCGTTGGCCCTTCGTAGTGTCTTGCCAGACCGAAATCGGCAATCTGGAGGATGCCTTTGTTGTTGATGAGAAGATTGGCAGCCTTCATGTCTCGATGTAGGATATGTTGGTCGTGCAGATATCGCAATCCCTCGAGGAGCTGCAGCATGTAACATTTGATCTGCGGTTCGGTGAAATGAACGGAAGGGTTGTCGAGAAGACCCGACAAATCGTGATCCATGTACGGGGTTGCCATGTACATAATCGGGCGCTTGCGCTTGTCGCCTGTCACAATTCGGGTCAGGAATTGCTGCTGGCGAATTGGGTAGTTGAGCATGAGCGACTTACTGGCTCTCTGAGGGTGCTCCACAGCCATGTCTACCAGCTGCAGGACATTTTTGTGGGAGAGCAGTTTCAGAAGTTTGATTTCTCGCAATGCCGTGATGGGGAACTGTCGAACATCGGTAAGTAGATGCGCTGACTATCTGACAACGGGGGTCACACGTACGCCATCCTTTTCGTGGTGCATGATGATCTTTTTGACGGCGACATGAGCGTTGGTCTTGCGAGATCTCGCATGGTGAACTTCACTGCGCAGCACATCAGTAACACGACCAGAGAAGTGAGGTCTGGAAGACGACTAACCCGAAAGTACCCTCACCCAGCTTCCCGAGGAGTTCGTAGTCGGAGATTCGTGAACATCCCTGAAAACTGGCCCGAGGACGCTGGTGCTGCATCGCAAAAGCCCGAGGCGATAAGCCTCCGTTGGGCGCACTGGAATCCATGATGGATGCGAAGCGCGGCGAGATGCGCCTGTCGCGTGAAAGACTGGCTTGCTCGATCGGACGTTCTGGTGACAGATGGGATCAAGGGCGAACGACAACTAAGTAGGTCGCATTGCTAGCCGTGGCCAGGTTTCCGCGGGGATGATCGTGGCCGGCGTACACTGATGCTAGAGTCAAGTATTTTCCGTCGATAGCGAAGAGCTTCTGTAGTTGTTAGATTTCACCTGCCCAGATGGCTGAGGATGGGTTGGTGTTTGGGCGGTGTCTGTGGCAGAATCTCAATCAAGTTCCAGATTGGCGATGATGGAACTCAGGTCGCGGAAAATCCCTGGTCCTGCATTGTGGGTCCTGCCGAGCATGTCGGCCGTGTCCAACCTACCTTACCTAAGGTACCTAAGGTACTCCGTACTGCGGGTGGACTGCGAGAGAAAGGAACGTAGGTACCTGAGCATTTGGTCGAAAAAAAAGTGGCAGGTCCATTTCGGCCTAGTCCACGCACGTGCGTCATCGTCCGAAGGTAACGGGAAGTTCTGCAAGCAACTTGTCGCATTTTTTAGGCTGATTTCAATTCGCCATCAAGCAAATGCCAGATCTAATTCCATCCTGGGCCGAACTTGGCACAACAAGAAGTATCGACAACAACCGTAGAACTCTGACCAGCCTCTGCCTAAGCACGAATAGGCACTTTGCGCTCCCACACGAATTTCGCAGTGGTCAGCGACTCACACCCTCGTCGAGTCTAGCCAGCCATGCCTGGTTCCTTGAAATGGTCACGCCGCTGTCGTGGCCGTTCTGTTACTTAATTATTACCCCTCCAAAACTCTGCCCGCCATCCGCTATCGGCTTTTGTCCCATCAACTCTGCCCCGCGATACTTGGCTCTACTCGGGTTTTCGCCCAAGTTTTGCAATAACTTTTTTGGCTTATCGCGATAAGACATACCGTCAAGTGCGAGGGGCAATGTCTGATCTTTGCCCGCATTCCCTTGTCCCTCCTTATCTAAGGCTTCGGTCAAGCAGCCAAACCCAATGTCAGCCAGCTCTTGTTAGGTTCATCCAGGCTGTTGCCGTATACCGGACACCAAGGGCTCTTCTAACTGCCTTTAAATTGCTGATGTATGCCACAAATGACTTGATTGACTCGCCATCCGTCTCCACTCGCATGCTTTCATCATCCATCACTGCCCGCTCGTCACAGTCTCTCGCAGACTCCTCCGTCCGACAAAATTTACAAAATTTTGCACCACCCGTGCGTGACACTGGCCAACTGTTTTCGCCTCGCTCTCCATACAAAAGCTCTTGCCCCTCCATTACCCCGTGCCCCTCAATTTGCTATACCCATCTGTGGAGGCTTCGATACGTGATAAAGTCTGGACTTGGACGACACCCAACTTTCCCTCACTCATTGCTGTTCGCCACTTAACACAACTCGAACTCGGCATCACCGATACACCGACATAATGGCTTTCGAACCTACCGCCGAGAGACTCCTACCGGCGTCCAACTACCCGGAGTCTCGAGTCCTCATTATCATGACGGGCGGAACCATCTGCATGCAGCCTACCGCCGATGGACTCCAACCCATTGGAGGTTTCTTGAAGGATGCCATGGCCCCGCGGCCCTCATTCAACGACAAGTCCTCCCCTCCCGGTAGGTTTTTCTTGAAAGACAGCACGCCCCCAGGAAATACGAAAGTCAAGAAATGAGTACTTGTCTGCCTTCTTCGCATGTTGAAAATCCTGGCCCGTTCTCACGAAGACTTCTTGTAAATGTTGAGGACATGTTTTCCCGAGCCGCGGCTGGACTGGAGCACCAATTGCCAAAATAATTAGTATCTGTAACGAGTCTCACTGACAATGCGTAGTCCAGCTTGAGGCTGTCAAAGATGGGAAAAGAATCATGATCGACAGTCTGAGAACACCACCGAGTGCCTACTCCCGTCACATTCGCTACGGTGTGCTGGAATTCAACCCTCTGCTGGACTCTAGCTCCATCTCAGCGGAAGGCTGGACGGAAATTGCCCAGACCATCAGGGAAAACTACCGCCTTTTTGACGGATTCGTCGTCTTGCACGGAACCGACTCTCTTTCGTACACGGCCTCGGCTCTGTCGTTCATGCTTTCTGACCTGGGAAAGCCGGTCATCCTCACCGGTTCCCAGGCCTCCATTTTTGCTCTCCAGTCCGACGCCGTCGACAACCTCCTCGGTTCGCTCATCATCGCAGGAACCTTTGTCATCCCCGAAGTCGGTCTTTTCTTCCACCACAAGCTGTTCCGCGGCAACAGAACCAGCAAGGTCTCGTCTGCCGCTTTTGAAGCCTTTGCCAGCCCCAACTGCGAGCCACTGGCCAAGGTGAATGGACTTGGTATTGACGTGAACTGGCCCATCGTGTTGAGGCCCACTAGAATCGCCGAGCTCCAGGTCACGAAGCACCTCGACACAGCTCACGTTGCCTGTCTTCGAGTGTTCCCTGGCATCAGGCCAGAGATGCTCGACTCGGTCCTGCGTGTGCCCGATCTACGTGGCCTCATCCTCGAGACTTTTGGAATGGGTAACGCCCCCAGTGGTATCGACGGCAGCTTGACCAAGGTCATCAAGGCCGCCGTGGACCGCGGTGTCATCGTCGTCAACGTCAGTCAGTGCATGAGCGGCTTCGTCTCTCCCGTCTACGGCCCCGGAACTGAGCTTGGCCGCGCCGGCGTCATCTTCGGTCTCGATCTCACAGCAGAGGCCGCTCTCACCAAGCTGTCCTACCTTCTCGCCATCCCCAGCCTTTCCACCGCCCAGGTCAGCGCGAGAATGTCCCAGTCTCTGCGTGGCGAGATGACGGAAATGGCTCTTCCGGTATTTTCGCATCCATCTGGCTCACTCGACTCGGTCGTAGCGCGACTAACCGCGTCAGAATCGGCATTTACCGTCCTCGGTTACGCCATACGAAACGGCGATGTCCGGACGGTGAAGGAGATCCTGGACAACGACGCCCAGCACGAGCTCCTCAAGGCCGCCGACTACGCGGGCAACACGACTGTCCACCTGGCCGCCGTCGGGCCCAACATTGACATCCTGCGCGAAGTGCTGACGAGGGGCGCCAGCGTGCACTCGAGGAACCTGGCCAACAACACGCCGCTCTACCTCGCCGAGAAGATGGGCAAGGAGAAGTGCGTGCAGTTGCTCAAGGAGACGGGTGCGCACTTGTGGTCGGAAGAGGAGGCTATCTTGGATTCTGTTCACGCATCTGCATCTGGAGGAGTTCAAAAGTAGGAAAACTAGAAAAGTCTGGATTTTTGTTTTTGGTCGCATGTTTGAAGGCGTTTCTTAGGGCAGTGTTATTTAGAGGTCATAACTCAATGATAATGAAGCAAACCAGTGATGATCTAAAGAGGGGACAGGTGCCTACGACTTGGGAAACTTCCATTCTAATCAAGTCTATGACGTGTCTTCAGGCTTGGACAATGGCCATTGCTTCTCTTCTGTAAGCTGACACTGCTTCTACTGCACTGTGCAGTCCAATTGGATGTTTTTACCTTACAGCGAGCGAGCTGCTTAGATACCTGTGACTGGTTGTGCAACGTGGTAAAGAAACCGGGTTCCTCTGTGCTTAGATGGCAAGAAGCGTCGAGAAGCGCATTGAGAGTGATATTTTACCTCGCCATTTAACATAAAATCACTTCTCATTTGGTTGTCAACCTCGGAGATATTCCTCACATTTCTCGCAGTCATCTTCATGAGTCTAAAGGTCCTAGATTCAATCGGCCCCCGCTATCTTTGCCAAGAATCCGTCACTGAAACCTGCTTTGAACCATTTCGTCTCGCCAGATTACCTATTTACAATGACCACCGCTTGAAAACTATTACAATGGTTCAATTGCAAAGGTAGGAAAGAGTGCTCGTGTTAGCTAGGTGCAAGCATTCGACTCAGGTGGTTTGTGTCCCGGGCCCCCGGGCCGGCCCCACCTCGACTTTCGGCGCCGGGGCCTAGCGTGGTTCTAAAATTTTGGGAGATTTCTCTTTCGCACCTGCACCAGACAGCTTCATCAATCGTCATTGACTTGAACACCCAGCATCACCCACCCACCTTGCGACACCAGTCTCCGTCCCGAACTCGAGGATCATCTACAAACATAGCATCGACGCAATCGAACCCGCGTGGAGACTTGCTCACAGCCACCGACTCGAGCGACTTCCGATCCCCAAAACCGACAAACCTCCATCGCGGAAAAACATCACAACCACAAACACCACACACAATGTCTTCAGCCTCTACACAATCAACGGGCCAAGCCCCGACCCCGACCCCCAAAATCATCACCAACGCAGCCTGGGCAGGCGTTGTCCTCTGCCCTCTAATCATGCTCATGCCCCCCCGCCGAATCGACTGGCGCACCTTCATGCTCTGGACCGGCTTCTCCGCCTCAGGCAACCAGCTCATCTACGACTACAGCGGCCAGTCCCTCTTCCAGCGCATGCAGTCCCGTCTCGGCCGCATGTTCCCCACGACGCTGCCCGAGCAGGCGCAGCGCACCAAGCAGCTCCTGCGCGAGGAGCGGATGCGCCGTGAGGGCCTGACGGAGGAGCAGATGCGCGCCATCGAGTTCAAGAAGCGGAACCTTGCGCAGAGGCTGTGGTACGGCAGCGAGCCCGAGGACTGGGAGGCCAAGAGGGCCGCTGAGCACGCCAAGGCGCTTGCTGAGGGCAAGGGGTTGGGCGATTTGATTGCCGAGCAGGTTTCTGAGGTTTGGAGTGGCGCGAAGAAGGAGGAGGCAGAGGAGAGTCAGAAGAACGATAGTGAGAAGAAGCAATGATTGGGGGGAGTTTTGTCGACGAGAGGTGACGACCGGTGTAGGATACCAAGATCAAAAAAGTAATGGATTTGAAGGGAAAATCGTCCGACTCAAAGTCCAGGTATACACTGGCCAGTAGGGAGTCTAGCAAAAAGGCGTTGGAAGGTTTGCAGTTTGGAGCATCAATGGGTTGGTGACAATCTCCCCTGGCTGTACATTACTATTATCGAGCACCACCACACAAGTAAGGTCCGCGCTTTGCGATCTGTGACGTGTAAGGATATGCCGCCATCTTGCGAAGTATGGCCGGTATGCCGTTATTTGAGCTCGGCAGTCAATTTGTTATTGATATATCCTCCTCCCATTTGACCCGCTAGACGCCACTATGCATGCATATATGCTTTTGTCTTATTGTATACTCCTTTCCTCTTCCTTTTCATCACACATCCATTACTCCCTCACGACGCCTTTGCTCTCCAGAATCGGCGGGGCCCCATCGAGCCGCAGGTCGGCCAACTTCTCTCCTAGTTGCCTCCCTGCCGGTCTCGTAGGGCCTTTTTTTGCTTCTGCTTCTTTATCTGCTTCTGCTTCTCATCATTTTTGTTGTTTCGTCCTGAGTAAGGCTTACCCTTTGCTTTCCCCTTTGACGCAATCTTCTTGGCCTTCTTCTTGGCCGCCCGCGCCTCGGTCTTTTCGTCAAACTCGGCAATCCAGGTCTTGAGCAACGCGTCCACCTCATCCGTGCGCTCGTCCGACTCGGCGGGTATGCCAAGCTCCTTCTTAATCGCCTTCCGGTGGTTATCAATCTGCATCTGCCGCCGCCTTGCTGCGCGGTTGGGGCCACCGATCTGGCTGTCGCCGCCGAACGCCGAGCTGGGGGCAATGGATGTGGCGTAGCTGGCTACGGACGCGCTTATGTTGTCGGCGATCTTGCCCTTGGTGGGATTCACATCGATCACGAAGGGGAGCGGCTCGGCATCTGTTGCAGGAGTAGGCGTAGGCACTGTCGCTGGCTCTGTAGGCTCTGTAGGCTCTGCTGGCTCTGCTGGCTCTTCTGCCTGTGCGGGCTCTGCGGGCTCTGCGGGCTCTGCTGCTGTGGTGGTCTCGTCGGGGGTTCCTGTCGCCGTATTGTCCTCTGGTTTTTCTTCTTCCTTCTCAGCGACGACTGTGCTCTTTCTCGTCGCTTTCCGTCCCCTCGTCTTCTTTTCTTGTGCTTTGAGCGCAGGCGATGCGGGCTGGGACTCGGGATTCGGGGTGCTGGCCAAGGAAGAAATTTGGGAACCTCCAGGCGGCAACCCCTCACGGATTTGTTTTCTACGCGCAGCTCGTTCGGCGCGAGCCATGGCTGCTGCCTGTCTCTTGTCGGCAGGAGTTGGTGGGACATCTACATCCATGGCATCGGTCGAATTCTCCTAAGGTGGGGGTTAGAATCATGACAGCTGAAGACTCGAGGAGTCAGGCGAACCGTAGGTGCATTGAGCTTGGCGCCACCGTCCTCCATGTCGGAGTCGGAATCACCACCGCGGATTTTCTTGCTCATAGTTTCGAATAGCTGTGTTAACTGGATCTTCAGCGTGCAGTAGGCAAATCTCCGCGCAATTGAGGAACTCTGGAAACTCTGCGCAACGACCCTCTTGCTAATTAAAGCTCCCCCAAGCGAAGATAAAAAAAAAAAAGTTGACAAAACCAGGGGTCTTTTTTCCCTTCTGTTATCTTATCGACACGTGATAGCGTGTGGCGTCGCAACGGTCGTGGACCTGAGGCGCCATCATAGGTGCCCATAGATTGTTCCATTCAGTCGCGCCGCACGCAGGGCGAAAGGACCCCCGATCTCCGACAACGCACGGACAACGATGATTCCAGCTTGAGCCAGCATTCTGGATAGGGCTGGCTCGGGGGATTCCAAAATGACTGACAGGGTGCTGTCAAACCCAGCGTCACCTCTCTCGCAATCAGAAAGCACGAGAAAGAGTTAAAAGAGGATTCGAAAGTTGTGCGAGTACGTCATCTCATGGGCTTGGGTGCTTTCTCGTGTTTCTCTCCGATAGTGCGTGTGGCTTGCCTCCACGAGTAACCATTGCTTAGTGGGTGACGGCCGAGCCACCATTTGTCGTAAGTGCCCCAAACCTGCGCAGAGCGCGACCGTTGTTGGTGAGCTGACGACCTGGCACAGGTTTTTTGCCCAAACTGGTGCAAAGACTATGCAAGTGAATGTCAGCAACTGTTGGAAGCTCAGCTGACATGTATCAGTTCCGTGATCACAACAGCGGGTATTGCTGGAAGACCATCCTGGGTCTGTCTTCTCTGTTCTTGTACCAATTCCTGGTGAACGCCAAGTTTGGCTTGGAATGATATCAAGGTGCCACGATGTTGACCGGGAAGAGTCGAGCAAAAGGAGGCTGAGAAGCGACGAACCCACAGTGTCGGGCAGATTCTCCAGGAAGGCGCACTATCGCGGGTGTTGCGAAATCCACATTCCGGTCGGTATGTCCTTGGGGTCCATCTGTAAGGCACCTTGGAGAGCTTTATTGGGGACCCCCAGATATCCAGGATGGTTTCTTGTCATTTATTCCAAGGAGAGGCCGATTAGAAATCGAAGGTTTTCCTGCCCCGCCAGGCCGGTCCTTGTCGGATGGCGGCAAGGCAGTTGATGTTGAGGTTGATATTGATGGGATGGAAATAATGGAATGAACACCTCATGCTGGTGTTGCTCCCCCAACGTTGTGGAATCGCCGAGGGTTTGCAGGGTCATGACTCTTGAAGGCTTGGGGTTGTGGCCGTCCTGTGGAGCGAGTGTCGGAGCCAGGCTACCAGGATGCTGCCCGTAGTCTGCATGTACTGACTGCATGGATCGGCAGTCGTTGGCCATAGGGCACTTCATCGGAAGGATTGCAAGAAGCTGCTGCTATGGCTGGCTTTCAAGGTTTCGAATGCTGACAGTTGATCATCATGTCATCCTGCTTTCCCTAAGCGGATCAGTGAGTGAGGTGGATGGCCTGCTGTCTGAAGTTGATAGATGTATCCCCAGGTAGGCACGATAAGCTGCCTTGCAGCCCGCAGAATCGAAGCGAGAGGCTCATGGAAGAGCTCAAGAAGAAGAGAAGTGGCGGGTACATCGACCTCGGCTGAGATGTGGCTCTGTTCCGAGCCCAGCTTGAATTAGTGGAAAGATACATTCGACAGAGGCAAGAAAGGACGTTGGAAGAAGGCACAAAGGGTCCCGTCTGGTCGAGTTACCTCACAGCTCACCTGCCACGCCGGGGGTCGGCAGGCTGGGTTACGCAACTATCTGAAACTTGTGGGTCCCTGTTCCAAACATAGCACAACTCAGAGGTGCAGCCACGAGTCTTCGTACCGCGACATGTGCCGCTGCCGCGAAGGGCTGCCACTTGCAGATGCAGATACGCTGCTGAATGGCAGCCGCCCTGTCACTTTTGACATTTGTACTCCGGAGGCATCGTGCCTCGTAAGGCAAGGACGCTACCTATTGTTCCTTGCCCACCTTACCTCAGGCTCAAATGTCCGATCCGTAAGGTAGTGTACTTTAGGTGTACTTCGTACGAACGGGCACCGTAAGGTAATTAGGTATGACTGGCGACGGTCCCCTTTGGCGGGGAAAAGACTCTGGTCGGAGTGGAAGATGCAGAAAAAAAAGGCTGGCATTGCTGACACAGCCTCAAAGCCGGAACTACTGCAAGCCTACTGCACCCTGCTCAGACTCCCGTTTGGTGGTGTGCCATTGTGCATCCCCCCTCTTGACCTCTCACTGGGCCACCTCCCTCCCACACACTCCCGTCACCGTGATCCACTCATTCAAGAGAGGCCTCGAGTCTGAGAGGCGGGCAGTGTTTTGGGTCCTCTTCACTGCCAACCACATTGCCGTTCCTCCTCTGTATCTTACGTACCTATGGATCCAACCCGGTGTAGTTGTTGGTCCAGCGCCAGCCGCAAGGTACTCTGCCTCCCACTTGGCGGGCTTGGGCAGAAAACAGAAACAAGACCAGGAAGGCTTGCGTTTGAAAGCTGGGCTGTTTAAAAGAAATAACCTCCTCGCATCCCCCCCCTTCGTGTCGTGAGAACGTGTCCTGCTCCTATTACTAGATTTATCCCTCGACCGACGACATACGAGTTGACTGCGTACCTAAGGCGGCACTCCCTTCACTCGTTCTGCCCCCTATAACCCCTTAGGTGTCACACAGGAACTCCCCTTTCTGCGCTCCGACACTCTAGCACCCAAAACACCCAAACCATCTTTCTACTCACCCGGTCATCCGAAGTAGTGTAGCTCAGGTTGGGTGCACAGGCATTCTCCCAGTCCGCTAATTCATAATTCGCCTACCGCGCGCCTGGAGTTAAACCTGCAATTACTTTACGACATTCTTCTCACTTCTCTTTGGCGGCTTTGCCCTTCCTCAGCTTCAGCTTACTCCGGTTACCTTGGTCTCATTCAAAGAGGCTGGCTAAGCCGGGCTTAATTTGCTTGTTACCGACCCACCGCGCTCACGGACACCCTGCACTGTATCCATACCTCAACTCAATCACTCCATCCGTCTTCCAGGCTTAGCTCGGGCTCATCGATCCACGCCAAAACGCTGCATCGAACAAATATCCACGACCCCCCGACCGCGTTACGACACACACCTCATTTCAACCCTCCCGCTGTCACATTTCTCCGCGTCCCATCCCTTTCCGGTCGGTACCTGAGCCATTCTCCATCTCGCACTAGTCCGATTCGCCTTGCCTGCCTTCGCTGCCCGCCGAAGCCTAGTTCAGCCACTCCAAGCGAGATTTCGACTCTCAGAAAAGGACGACACCTCGCCCCAGATTCCCATTCCCCTGGTCTCACATAATTCCAATCCCTTCGTAATTGGCATCCGCCGACCCAGCACACATCATGGCCGCCAACGACTATTACCAGAACAAACCGTTACCCCCTCCAGGAGCTTCTCCCTCGCCTGCTCCCTATTACGGCGGTGCTGCCTACAACAACATTCCCTCAACCAGCTCAACACCCGCTCCTCCCTACAGCTCAATAACGCCTGCACCCGGCGCCAGCCAACCACCACCGCCGCGCGCCAACACTGTATCCCCTTTCGAAAGCGTCTTTGACGATCATGTCTATCCCGTAGACTCAACGCAGGACGGATTTCGCCACAACGGAAACACACAGAGCCCTCATCCTCAGACCACGAACAACATGCAACCCCAGCGCATGAACACGATGAACACAGTAAACACCGCCTACTCCGGCCATGGCCAGACGGCCTACAACAGCCACGATCCCCACCAGCAGAACCCTTATGCTCAGCCGGACACCGCCTACTACGGTCATTCCACTTCTCCAGACTCGAGCAGACAAAATGTGGCCGACGAGATTCCCTTGCAAAGCCGGCAGCCGACGCAGCCGCACAAGGATGTGGAGATGAACGAGAATGACCATGTCTACGACGCACCTGCGGGATCTCGTCGCTCAAAGAGTCGCCGTGACAAGAACAAGGTTGGATTTGGTCAGCTGGGCATGTTTGGCGCCGACAGAAAGGGTATTCCATGGGTCGTTTACATTTTCACCTTGGTTCAGGTTGCAGTCTTCATCGCTGAGATTGTGAAGAACGGTAAGCCAAATCAATAGGTCAAACTTGACAGCACTTGATACTAACGGAACGCAGCTCAACTCACCGGTTCTCCCATCATGACCAAGCCCTCATTCAACCCCATGATTGGACCTTCCACCTACGTTATGATCAACATGGGTGCTCGCTACGTAGCTTGCATGCACAACGTCAAGGGTATCCAAGATCTCGGCCAGCCCATCACCTGGCCTTGCCCGAACTCGACCTCGAGCGACGCCAGCAATCCCTCGAACCAGTGCGGCCTCGGCGATTTGTGTGGCTTCGGAGGTGTGCCGGAGCCTACCTACACCGACATCAACCAGTCACCGGAACCTAACCAGTGGTTCCGCTTCATCACACCCATTTTCCTGCACGCAGGTCTCATCCATATCGGCTTCAACCTGCTTCTGCAAATGACGATAGGAAAGGAGATGGAGATAGCCATCGGCTCGATTCGCTTCTTCTTGGTCTATGTGAGCGCAGGCATATTCGGCAACGTCATGGGAGCAAACTACGCCGGTGTTATGGCTGCATCCACAGGTGCTTCAGGTGCCCTTTTCGGCGTCATCGCTCTCACCCTGCTCGATCTCCTGTACTCCTGGAAGGACCGCCGCAGCCCTGTGAAAGACCTGATGTTCATCATGTTGGATGTAGTCATCTCTTTCGTACTGGGTCTACTGCCAGGACTCGACAACTTTGCCCATATCGGTGGCTTCCTGATGGGTCTTGCGCTCGGCATCTGCGTCTTGCATTCGCCCAATTCATTGAGACGGCGACTTGGCGCGGAGGATCCATCATACGCATCCATGCATCTCACTCCCAACCAGGGTGGCCCACCGCCGTTCTTGAAGAATCCCATCGGTTTCTTCAAGGGCAGGAAGCCACTCTGGTGGGCATGGTGGTTGGTCAGAGCCGGCTTCTTGCTGACTGTCATCATTGTCTTTATCGTCCTGCTCAATAACTTCTACATCTACCACAACACTTGCAGTTGGTGCAAGTACCTCAGTTGTATTGTAAGTTATCTGATAACCCATGCTCATGATCATCTGCTAACCTGAACTTAGCCTGTAAACAACTGGTGCGAGCTTGACAACTTCAAAATCACTTCATCATGAAGAGTTGACATCATAGGAGGAACGACCCAATTAATGCTACGAAAGTTTGCATTGCACTGGTTTATGGACTTTGGCAAGGGTGATTCATGATTTGCATTGCTCAGCGACGGCGTCCCGGTTCACGATGGGTATTTTTTATGAAAAAAGAAGGAAAGGATCCTCTCCCATACGTCCAACAGAGACAAATCGTCTTCATAGGTAGAGCCACACACATAGCGCTGCGGGGGTCTGCCAGGGTTCTTTCTATTCGCTGCCGCTGACCGACCAACCGTCTCGGCATCACGCAGTCGCATCGTCCTGGACGTTGTGTTGACGCCCCTGGTTTACCCCGCACATATCATTCGATGGGCTGCACGAGGTTTACGTATTTAAAACTCGGCCCAGTCCTAATATGAAAACATAAATGAACGCTCTTTCCCCATGGTTTTCTGTGTCAAGTTGGTTGCCCGTGTGCCGTTGAGGAAGTAAATTGCCATGGGCGCGCCCACAGACGCATTACCAAGATACCCCGTTACGTCGCCTTACGTCAAATGCTGTCCTACCACGCCAAAGCAGAGGTTTCGGAAGTTGATTGAGAGTAAGTTTGCGTCTCTTCATTCCTACCATGAGTTTCTTGGCAATCTCTTGATGAATCCTATTTGCATGGCTTAGCTGAGCGGTCGTGACAAACCGCCGTTGATGCCTCTTAGAATGGATATCTGAAGACAACTGCAAGCGATATCGTCTCTCTTTCTCCTGTCTCTTCACGGCGAAATAAGAGCGGCTATTTGCCTTGCGAGACTATGTGCCACCATGTTGCTCTATTTGAATCACTTGTACTGTCGAGTTCATTATAGCTAACAGGGACCATGTGTAGAATGCAATGACAGCTGAGCAGTCATTTCTGGAAGCATGTTGTCTTGTATAGAAGCTTCCAACATCTTGTAGTTGTAGACATTTTGATATCCACATATACCTTAACCTCATCTAATAGATATCAAGAGTTGGTTTTGCGACGAGTCATCCATCGCTATTGTCCCTCGTGAGAACCTTTCGACAACATTCTGGTCACCTAAGTTTTACCTTAACAAACATCGTTCCATCGCTCAGGTGGAGAAGGGGAAAATGAGGGCGAAGAAATACGAAGGACAATTGTGTAGTGATGACACATCCTGGGAAGGCAGCCAATAAGCAAACGAAACAGAATGTGAGCTCGTTTCTCAACTCTGGTCGGTTGCCTCAGCATTGATATTGGAGGGCGTACCTGAACTTGAGTGGGGATAATCTGCGAAGTACCCACTCTCCTGCACCTCCCGTCTTTGGCGTCAACGTCGCGTCTCAGACCTAGAGGAACCCAAGTGCACTTACCTTAGTCATCAGCTCGCGCCTTCCGTCAGCCACTTTAGAGTGGGTCAAGTCACGTCGACGTCAATCACGTCAAGCGCGTCTTCGCGTTAATGGGTTTCTGAAAGTTCCATCCCATAGCAACAACCTAACGACCCCCCAAATCCACCCGACTATGAGGTCTGGTTGATTCACTCTGCACAACTCTTCCACCACAGCCAGATCACCACAATGGCTACAGTGCTACCTCAAAAGCGTGTGCTTGGGGAGACTCCAAGCACCCGCCGCAATATCCCGTCGACGCCATCGTCCCTCAAGAAGCGCAAAGTCGAAGGGTTCTCGTCCTCACCCGCCCGCCATGTCGGTTCCCAGAAGAATGCGAAGAATCTTCCGGGCTCCAGTCAACCCAAGAGCGCCTTCGAATCAGAAGTTCTCGAGAAGTTGAGCCAGGATATCTCTGAACTCAAGCAGAACAATACCGAAAAGGATCAGTCATGGGACCGACCTCCGCTTGTCGACTTCAACCCGGCCAGGGACAACCTGACCTTTCAGCAAATCGAGGCCGAGGAGGGCAGTTTACATGGCGGTCGAGCAACGGTCAAGCTGTTTGGTGTTACCGAGCAAGGCCACTCAGTGATGTTGCACGTCACCGACTTCAAACACTACCTCTACGTCGCTGCCCCGGTGGCGTTCCGACCCGAAGACTGCAATGCTTTCAAGGCCTATCTCGAGTCACAAGTAGCACAGCACCAGCCTTGTATTCACTCAGTCGCTTTCCTGATGAGAGAAAACATTTATGGTTTCCAAGGAAATGTCAAGAGCCCCTACCTCAAGGTCACTGTCATGGACCCCAAGTTCATCGCCAGAGTTCGGACAACGATCGAGTCGGGCAATGCCAACTGGAAGGGCCTGTGGAAGGGAATGGATGGTGGCATCATGACATTCGACAACATTCAATACGTCCTCCGTTTCATGGTCGACTGCAAGGTGCGTTTCTCTAGCATCAACTATATAGACGAGGCTAATATTTTCCTGCTAGATTTTCGGAATGTCTTGGGTTGAAGCCCCCGCATCAAAATACCAGGTCCTGCACCAGTCTCAACGACAATCGAACTGCCAAATCGAAGCCGAGATCAATTACCTCGACCTCATCGCTCACAAGCCGGTTGGAGAGTGGTCCAAGATGGCTCCTCTAAGAATCATGTCGTTCGATATCGAGTGCGCTGGACGTAAGGGCATCTTTCCAGAGGCGACACACGATCCCGTCATCCAAATCGCAAACGTGGTGACAAGATACGGAGAAAAGAAGCCCTTCGTGCGGAACGTGTTCTGCTTGGACACAACCAGTCCTATCGTCGCCACACAGATTCTCGAGTTCGAAAAGGAGGAGAAGATGCTCAGCGAGTGGCAGAAGTTCCTCATCAAAGTCGACCCAGATATCATCATCGGATACAACATTGCCAACTTTGATTTCCCATACCTTCTCGACCGAGCAAAGGCATTGAAGGTTGGAGGATTCGAGTACTGGTCTCGAATCCCTAGCATCCCTTCCAGAGCCAAGGAGACGAACTTCTCCAGTAAGCAGATGGGTAACCGCGACAGCAAGGCCACCAATACCAACGGACGGTTGCAACTCGACTTACTGCAGCTTGTCCAGCGCGACCACCACCTTCGAAGTTACACGCTCAACTCTGTGTGCTCCCAATTTTTGGGAGAGCAAAAGGAAGATGTCCACTACACCATGATCACAGAGTTGTTCAACGGTACCCCTGAATCGCGCCGCCGTCTCGCTCTTTACTGTCTGAAGGACGCATACCTCCCGCAGCGGCTCATGGACAAGCTATCTTGCCTTGAAAATTACACTGAGATGGCCAGAGTCACGGGTATTCCGTTCAACTTTTTGCTCTCCAGAGGACAGCAGGTGAAATTCATCAGTCAGCTTTTCCGGAAGGCCCTAGAACAGAAGCTCGTCATTCCAAATATGAGATCTGAGGGTAGCGATGAGCAGTATGAAGGCGCCACGGTCATCGAGCCGACCCGAGGATACTACGATGTGCCTATCGCAACCCTCGATTTCGCTTCACTGTACCCGAGTATCATGCAGGCCCACAACCTATGCTATACGACACTGGTCAACAAGAAGGCCATCGAGAAGTTCGATCTGAAGAAGGACGATGATTACATCGTCACCCCGAACGGCGACACCTTTGTTACCACCAAACAACGGAAGGGTCTCCTTGCTCAGATTCTCGAGGAACTTTTGACCGCAAGAAAGCAGGCCAAGCGTGAATTGGCTGGAGAAACGGATCCTTTCAAGAAAGCAGTGTTGAACGGTCGACAACTGGCTTTGAAGATCAGCGCAAACTCCGTCTACGGACTCACGGGTGCGACAACCGGCAAGCTGCCTTGTCTCGAAATCGCCAGTAGCACAACAGCCTTTGGCCGACAGATGATTATGAAGACCAAGGAGGAAGTTGAGAAGAAGTACTGCATTGCCAATGGATACACCCATGACGCTCAGGTCATTTATGGTGACACTGACTCTGTCATGGTCAAGTTTGGCACCAAGGACCTTCCCGAGGCCATGAAGTTCGGCGAAGAAGCTGCGAATTTTGTCTCTTCCAAGTTCATCAAGCCGATCAAATTGGAGTTCGAAAAGGTATACTACCCATACCTGCTCATCAACAAGAAGCGATACGCCGGCCTGTACTGGACGAATCCCAACAAGTACGACAAGATGGATACCAAGGGTATCGAGACAGTTCGCCGAGATAACTGCCTGCTCGTCCAAACCGTGATTGAGAAGGTGCTTCGAATGATGCTCATCGACCAAGATGTCCAGGGAGCGCAAGAGTAAGTTTGCACCGTCAGATTTCTGAATAATGTCGACTGACCTTTCACTCTCAGTTACGTCAAAGACACGATTGCGGACTTATTGCAAAACAAGGTTGATATGTCAAAGTTGGTCATTACAAAGGCGCTCACCAAAGACGACTACGCAGCCAAACAGGCTCATGTCGAGCTCGCTCAGAGAATGAAGAAGCGCGATGCAGGCTCGGCACCAGGTTTAGGTGATCGAGTTGCCTATGTGATGATCAAGGGTGCGGCAGGCGCAAAGAACTACGAGAAGTCTGAGGATCCCATCTACGTCCTTGAAAACAACGTACCGATCGACACCCGATACTACCTTGATAACCAGCTCGCGAAGCCTTTGGGCAGAATCTTCGAGCCCATTCTGGGCGAGACCAAGGCGAACTCGCTGCTCACAGGAGCGCATACGCGCACGATTGCAGTGTCAGCGCCGGCCGTCGGAGGCCTGATGAAGTTTGCAAAGAAGACGCAAACATGCATGGGATGCAAGAAACCACTCCGAGGCAAGGAGGAGAGCGCGGGGGCAGTGTGCTCGGATTGCGCGCCTCGGGTCGGCGAATTGTACAAGAAGACTCTGGACAAGACGTCGGATCTCGAGGTGCGGTTCGGCCGGCTCTGGACGCAGTGCCAGCGGTGTCAGGGCAGCATGCACTGCGAAGTGATTTGCAGTAGCAAGGACTGCCCCATCTTCTACATGCGTATGAAGGCGAAGAAGGACTTGGAAGATGCAGGGAAGGAGCTGAAGAGGTTCGACTTCGACCAGGCTGCGATCTGGTAGAAGGCGTGCCAAGAAGTGGGATACCTAGAACATGGAGGGGGGATGGATGGGGGCTTTCACGACGCTAAGCTTTTCTTTTCTCATGAGCCGACCTTTGAGATTCTGCAGCTGCAGATGCAGCGGTGGTGTGGAGGGTCTACAGGTTTACGCAGGCAGATATGTTGTTTCGGGATAGGCGTTTCACGGCGTTTGCTCGCTTTGTTTTATTTCTCTTCATTGGGTCTCCATATGGGTTCCAAGGGGACTTCGAATTCCGCACAAGGAGGCAGGGAATGGGTCTAGCAGAGTAAGCTAAGTGAGGGAAGGGTATGGAGGAGAAACAAGATGCAACATGATATTCAAAAAGACGGAGAAGCATCCTCCATATGTCGGGAAAACCCGGGAGGAGTGGTCCTGTATGTAGTCCCAATATGGCCATAATACGAGGAGAAAGCAAGAGAGATGAGCTTAGATTGCGGCATTATTCCACCGAAAAAAGTGTCTCGATCCATGGGCAAGTTCCGTTGTGGGAATCGGAGATGTGTACGGAGAGGTTGGCAGGACGGGGACGAGTGAGGGAGTTCTGGTTGTGTGTGTGAATTGAGTAAAAGAGAATTGGGCACCGCTGGGCAAGCGCTGTGGTTCGTTGGGACGGTCGGTCGCGCCGGGCGCCGCCGGCAGCGGAAGGGCGGCGGCTGCTCTCTGAATGGGCGGGACGTGAGAACTGGAGAAGGCAGCCGCCGCCCTCTTTTTGGTGCGTGTCACTCACTGAGGTGTCTGCAGTGAGCCAGGTTCAGGGCCGCCTTACCCAGCTGCTGGATCGGCGGTTTTGGTGGTGGTGGTGGTGGTGGCGGCGGCGGCGGCGGTGGGGACTGGATGGGAGCACTTCGGGAGGGGGGAGATGAGATGAGATGAGATGGGCAGACAGATGGAAACACGTCGTCCTAGACTCTGTTACTCCGTAGATGTTGTCGCCGCAGTCGGTCGGTCATCCGCTCGGGTCGGGGTTTGGGCTGGAAGCTGGCTGGGATTCTCCACGCGGGACTTTTTTTTTTTTTTTTCCCTCCTCCCTCTTCGCTGTTCTTTTTGGATCTAAGGTTATCAATCAATCTCTTGGTTTTTACTGTGTTACGCCGAGGAGTTTTGACTGTGCTTCTTCTCCCATCGGCCTACCTACCGAGGGTGCACACCAAAGGTTCTCAACCTACCTACATGAAGTGCGCTGTGTATGTGTGTGGTTTCGAGAGTTCGCGATATCGATAGCTACGAGATCTATCAATATAGATAAACATGCACCAAATACGTTAAGCTTTCTAGTCACGATGCAGCTCACTTGTATTTCGTAGTTGCCATCTGATCTTGGTAGCCAATACCGTGGTTTGCATTATTCACAGAGCCATCTTATTACGTACGTGCCGAGCAACTCTCTGTCTCTGTGTGTGTAAAAGCATCCTCCATAGCGGAGCTGCGAGTAAAAGTCCCTGGAACTGTTTGCGGTGGTGGTTTGTTGACTTTGGAATGCCCGCTCCGTGACCGTCGAATGAGACCCGAGCATTCCTTGCTCCGTCAACAGTCAACACAGTTCAAGCGATCCAACGCACCGTAAGGCTGCGAACCGAACGACCTTGGACAACTCAATTCCGAGATGAGATTTCGAAATAGTACGTACGGATACAGATTTAACCCCTCCTTTTTTTTTTTTTTTTCCTCCAGCAACGGCGGCAAAGAATAAGATGGCCCCGGAGAACCACCGGAGGAAAGAAACCCCTGCCTAGCTTGTCTTCAGGGGACTACGTGCTAAGGTAGCCAAATGGAAAGACAAAAAAAAAAAAAAAACACGCGACAGCGGGTTCGGGAATCGGGAGTTCAGAAGCGAGGGGCAGAAACCCAACCCAAGTCCCCCCAACATGGAGGGGCGACGTCGGCGGGGTAAAAGGACAAGGTATGCGAAGACAGGAGCGCATTGTATCGGGTTGCGTCGCACTTTCCGACGCAAATCGGCTGAGCATTTTCGCATGTCAGCTCAGTCTGTCACCCACTGCAGCGCTGCACCACTCACTACACCGACGGCAGCCCAGCCGTCGCCGTCTTCACTCAACTCACTGCATTGCACTTTCACTTCCGATCGCGGAACTGCGACTCGACGCGCCGTTCTTCGGACACTTTCTTTCTTGTCAATCAATCTCCCGTTCATGCTAGCCTGCTTCTGTGTGGTCCTGGGGTTCCAGTCCAACCACTCACCACACCTTACGAATTGCAATGATCAATTCACATGTGTCGCAAATCCTCGTCTCTCGATTTTCCTTATCTCGAACCTTCAAGTGGCATAATGGAGAAAGCAAAAGAACACCCCATGGGTCTATGCAAGACATGACGCCTGCTGCGTCATGGGCCAAATTGTGACAAGCCCCCTTTCCCCTTCCCAGATAATTCTCTAGTGCCGCCATCAGCGCTGCCGCACCAGCATCGACGATTTGGGGAGAAGTGTATATGGACAGGCGAATAGCAGATGGGCTTCTAGCGTCGTAGAGCTAGAAGCCCAGCTTTGAAAACTTGAAGATTTGATCTACCTTGCTGTATCTCGACGCCCAGGGTAACCAATAAGAGACGGTTGATAGGACTACAGTTCGGCTCTTGTTCCCAAGTGGCACGCCACAGCATGCAAGGACATTTCCGATGACAGCAACATTTGACGGGGTCCCTTTTTTTTTTCTCAGTGACAGTGACAGTGACAGGTCAAGAAAGAAGGGCGAGACACAGAAGAAATCCGTGCATGCGGAAGCATGTGCCAGTGGTGGGGGGTCCGCGGGCATGGGCTGCAATTGTTGGATGACGTCCCCCAGGTTCTGGCCTGTTTGGGACACGCGCGCCGGGCTTGTCGATGGGAGAGGCACTCGCGCATTCCAGGGCATGTCCTCTTCTTCCCTCTCCCGAACAATGGAGCGTCCGGGCCATCCCTGAGACCCCTGTGCCCCTGCAGGCCAGTTGCGGACTCCTGGTTTCCGCCCCAGCAAATGCCTGCTCGGCTCGCGGCCTCCGGGATCGCAACCGCTCGCGCGGCAGCGCAAAACCCTCTTGTCTCTTAGTCTCTTTGTGATGGTCGTGAATAATCGTCTCTCGGCAGCAAATCAGAGAGCTGCATGAAGGGACCTCGAGAGGCCCCCGCCGGCCACATAGCGTGAAAACCCGGGCCCGGTCCCGGCACTCTCATCCAGCCTAGACTCGCTGAGTCTTTTTTACGTCAACCCGCGTGGGTTTCACCCGAGCCCTTTTTTATTTTCTGTTAGCTATGGGACACGACAAATTGTCGGTCTGGCGCCGAATGAACGCGCTTCAGACGTGAGAGGCGAGGCGAGGGAGGAGGAGTCCTATCTCTCTCTCTTTCCACCGTCCACGCCCCCCACGGCCGACCCGGACATGTCTTGCTCTCACGCTAGTCCCTGGTCCCCGCCTGCATCTACCTTCACCATGAAGGGGCTCCCGAAGCTTGGAGGAGTAGATGGCCGGGGGGGAACATGGGGCAACGACACGCTTCGCCGTTGCCAGCCTGTGAGCTCTTACTCGATTCGATTTGGCTCTCGTTTCGATCGACGGGGTTCCCAGATTTGTATATAATCTTGCGGGCGCACCGCTCTCCCCCATCTTCTCGACTTGGAACTTCATCAGCTTCTCTCTCTGCCAGACGAACTAGGAACTCACCTCTCAGAGATACAACCTTGAAGCACCATTCATATACAACATACCTACCAACCGTCAAAATGTCTAACCTTCCTACCGAGCCCGAGTTCCAGCAGGCTTACAACGGTATGTTGCCATCTCCAACTATTCTTACACATCGATTCAACAAGACTAACACCACCTATAGAGCTTGTCAGCACCCTCGAGAACTCCTCCCTCTTCACCCAGAACCCCGAGTACAGAACCGCCCTCGAGGTCGTCTCCATCCCCGAGCGCGTCATCCAGTTCCGCGTCGTCTGGGAGGATGACAAGGGCAAGCTCCAGGTCAACCGCGGATACCGCGTCCAGTTCAACTCCGCCCTCGGTCCTTACAAGGGAGGTCTGAGATTCCACCCTACCGTCAACCTGTCGGTCCTCAAGTTCCTCGGATTCGAGCAAATCTTCAAGAATGCCTTGACCGGCCTCAACATGGGTGGTGGCAAGGGTGGTTCCGACTTCGACCCCAAGGGCAAGAGCGACAACGAGATTCGTCGCTTCTGCGTCTCCTTCATGCGCCAGCTCAGCAAGCACATTGGCGCCGACACCGACGTTCCCGCCGGTGATATCGGTGTCTCTGGCCGCGAGATTGGCTGGTTGTTCGGAACCTATCGCCAGGAGCGCAACAAGTTTGAGGGTGTCCTCACCGGAAAGGGCCTCACCTGGGGTGGTAGTTTGATCCGCCCCGAGGCCACTGGATACGGTGTCGTCTACTACGTCGAGCAGATGCTCAAGTACGCCAACAAGGGCTCCTTCGCTGGCAAGCGTGTCGCCATCTCTGGTTCCGGCAACGTCGCTCAGTACGCCGCTCTCAAGTGCATCGAGCTCGGTGCCACCGTTGTCTCCTTGTCCGACTCTCAGGGCTGCCTTGTCGCCGAGGGTGACGCTGCCTTCACCCCCGAGCAGATTGAGAACATCGCCGACCTCAAGGTCCAGCGCAAGTCTCTCACCGAGTTCGACCACAAGGGCTCTTTCATGTACATCAAGGGTGCTCGTCCCTGGACCCACGTTGGCAAGGTCGACATTGCTCTGCCTTCCGCGACCCAGAACGAGGTCTCCAAGGAGGAGGCTGAGGCTCTCATTGCCGCCGGCTGCATTGCCATCGCTGAGGGCTCCAACATGGGTTGCACCCAGGAGGCTATCGACGTCTTCGAGGCTCAGCGCAAGGAGAAGGGTGGCGAGGCCATCTGGTACGCTCCCGGCAAGGCTGCCAACTGCGGTGGTGTCGCCGTCTCTGGCCTCGAGATGGCCCAGAACAGCCAGCGCCTGAGCTGGACCCGCGAGGAGGTCGACCAGAAGCTCAAGGACATCATGACCGCTGCCTTCTTCAACGGCCTCAACACCGCCAAGGAGTACGTCAAGGGTGGTGAGACCGAGCTTCCCAGCTTGGTCGCTGGTAGCAACATTGCCGGTTTCGTCAAGGTTGCCCGTGCCATGCACGACCAGGGTGACTGGTGGAACTAAGCGTTCTCGACCGGCAATTCGGAAGAGGAACACGAAAAGTTGGTGCGAGTGGCGGTAACCACGTCTAAGGACGATGGGCAGACGTAGTGATGACCTTGAAATTCGGTGTAACGTCTATTTGTATTTCGGAGCTGGCGTTGGCGGCAGGGATACCTGAGTTAAATCAATACCAATTACTTTTTTTGACAAGCAAATTACTTACTGCTCTATGAGTGATGACTGGTCGCCAGTGAAGTGTGAGCAGAGATCTTGACAGACCAGAGTACTTTGACCACCACCTTTCCAAGTGCCGACTGAAGGATTCGAATAAGCCGAATCCTTCAGAGAGCGCCACTTTGCCTTGAAGGGCGCGAGTCTGAATGGGTGTGAAGAGAAGGTGCTGACGAGAGAATATACTGAGACCAGTGCTGACAATCTAAAGCCACTTTCAACTGCGGGAAGAAGCCAGCTCGTCGGCCGTTGATATTTCTAACATCTGATAGAAGCTAGTAAAGTCGCTCTACTCACTCAAAGACGTCTTAGCGATATGAGTCAACTCTGATAGGTCGACCTTGGATTACAGACGCGTCTGAGGATCTCTCAGGCAACCATGTAGCGGCTGTTTCCGCTGTCTGCCAAAGGCACTGATGCTCGATTGCCAGCTTGAAGGGTTCAACACAGTGCTCAACGAGAGAAGGACGGCCCGAATTTACGTTCTGCCTGTCGATAGATCGATACTTTGAGCGACAAGACAACGTGGCTGGCTTTGAAATATCTGCCCATCTGAATGTAGCAGTGCAACAACGGGTAAATGAAGACCGGCTGTGGCTTAAGACCTTGAACTCCACGCGCACTTGACGACTCCTTTTGTTCAAGGTAATACATGACGTGGAATGCCTCCGCTGACCCTAGCTAGCCTGGGTGACACTGACAAGGCGAGAGATGGGCTGCGTGCGCCAGACCCGCATCGCCGAGCTGACGTTGGCCAAACAGATTTCTAGAAGCAGCAACAGTTATCGTCGATGCCCATTGTGTTTCCTCAAGGTACCTCGGATAGGGATAGTGTAACTACTATAAAGAGAAGTTTCCGGGGATTTCACCTGTTGTGAAACAATTCAACGATAACGCTGATTCGACCACAAGCAAGATCCCGCGCAGCACAACATGTCGGTGATGTTTTATTTAACGTCATGTTATAAATATCGCGTGTTTCCAGTGGTGGATTTGTTGAAGAAGGCGTTCCTAACGGACGTAAGAACATTTGTCTCTCGACAAGGTACATCGTAACGTACCATTTCCAGTGCCTCTCGCGTCTTGCGACTATGATGCGTACGACAGCTGTAGGAACTGAGCGGAACAGATTGGAGGTCGTTGGTCACTTAGCCGTGCTGGATAAGCGTCGCTCTGGCACTCGTTTCTGTCGATCGGGCCTTGCATCATGCCATCGAGTTGCGGCAGCGCACGACTGGATGAGTGACGAGGCCACCAACGTCGTTGTAAGTCGTTACGGCGCATTGGCCAGACGCTGATGGGTTGACCCTTGCAGCAGCGGCCGTCTGATGTACCTACCCAGTAAGTCTGCAATCGCGTGGGCAGTGAACTCAGCCCTACCCAAGAGTTGAAAGGTTGACTCGTGGATTGCCAAATGATATTGGACAATGACGGGAGACTCGGCCCTGACACATGTTTCATCGCACGATTGCTGACCGTTGATGTCTTGTTGATCTACCAATGACGAGGCAGACGAGGCACGCAGCAAAACGGAGCTGGAGATGACCGAGACGAATGATGTAACTCGACCGCAAAGCTGGATGTAAGATGAAAGAGGCACAGTTCAGCCTGACGGTTGCCTTGGGGTCTCGGGAGCACTCTGATTGGAAGGATTGGTCTGTCGTGATGTATTCCGTACATTTGACGAGACTCGGAAGGCACCGATGGGCTATGAGTGGGGCCCGCCGAGTCGGGATGGCATTAGCGGGGCAGTAGCGGATGGCGCAGCGACCACCTTCCCGCAGGGGGGCCGGACCAGGATCCACTGCGGGCCCTTGCCGCAGGCCCGCGTTGTTGGTGCGAGCTTACGGGCTACCAAATTACGCAGTCAATTACCGCGGACTATTTGTGACATTGATCATGGATTAGAACACAGTCAGACGAGACATGTGGGTAGAGATTGTGGCATCAGGAGCCTCGGACTTCGTCATCCACTCAATACTCCGTACAGAGGCCGCAATTCTGGTCAGTGTAATTTGATGTTGGAACCCGGTTCACTACCCTTCTCCCTGTCACCTGGAATTGCATGCCAATCCCATTGGGCCTGTCAGTGGCCGGCGCATGTAAAGCATCAATCGTAGTTTTATGTCCTCAATCACATGAATGAACTAGACGAGCTTTCCTATTGACTACATAGCCGACCCGAGAAAAAGTTGCATGGAGTCGATGTCAGTCTTACCTATTCTCATGCTTCGCCTCATAAAATGCTTCTTAGCGGCGTATGCGCTTCTACATCGTCATCGCCTAGTATGGTAGTCTGATTCGACAAACTTTTGTAGAAGCTGCAGAAGAAGACGAAAAGGACAATACCTCATGTTTATCAAGGCCAAGGCTTGGTAGCATGAAAATCCTTGCCCTATCGTGAGTAATGTCCAGCCGAGGCCCCAGAATTCACCTTGCACCAACACATCGGGGTAGGGATACGGTTTAGTCTCGTAAGGTGATCCTGTCGCACAAAACTCTGGCAGGTCTCTGTTTCAATGGCTATCTCATTCTTTCGGACTGAGACCAGGCTAGTCAAGTCCACCACTCGATTGTCTCAGCTTTCATGTGGGGGGACGGGCAGCTCGGGAGCCGATTTTGCTTCAATCCAGACTTGCACTGGCTTAATTGAGAACAACTGGATTGCCTGGGTCTGTTGTTGTCTGTCAAACTTTCCCATCTCAACCATGTCTTGAAGAGGAATTGAGCCGCAAAGCGTCCAACATCAACGATTGCGGTTGTCTTATTTGAAAGGGGTCTGAAGAATTCTGTGACCGGGGTTTCGATGTCGATTGTGGCTGCCTGGGGTCAGTCAAGGGTAAAGTCCAATTCATGGTAGCATTTTCCTGTTGCTGAATTCATCCTCGACCCCAGGATGCTTTAGGCAATCACTGATTGTTCGGGAAGGGTGGTCTGGAAAAAAGATACTTGACGCACGTGCCAAGCGGAAGTTCCTTTCGGCTGAGCCCTGGAGTGGCTGCCAGTTGAAGATAAGCGGGGCAAGGGTGCAAGAGGACGGGACTCACTCAGGTCAAAGTCCAAACGGGCAACCACTCCGTCGGGTGGAGAAATCTACGGCACGGTACGTATTCCTTCGTCCTTCCCACTGGGAACGGCCGCCTGGCTAAAGCCGAAGGGGAGATAACTTTCGACCAGTTTTATTGGCCCGTTTGCGCACACGCAAAGAGCGACCCAAGAGACATGTCTTTACCGGCCATTCAGGATCCATCTTTCCGTTAGTCTGGGCCTGGAAAAGGTACCTAGAGAATTCGTCTTTTTTAGAGTGCGTACGTGTAAGTATCTTTTCTTCACTTTTTCCTCCCGTCCACCCACCGAGGTAAGGTAGGTACTGCTCGTAGCACTCAGCTCACCCAATCCAACCCCATCCACGGCACCAACCTAATGGCACCACCCAATACAATGTACATCATGAGGCAGCTTCTTTCTTTTCTGGTCATGACAGACTCGGTCCGGCCAATAGACTCATGCCGTCTCGCATCTCCTGCAATAGTTGCTGCACACTAAGAAGTGATTGTCACAGCCCAACTCTCCATCAGCCCTCCTCCTTTGCACAGTACAATCCTACTCCGATTACTATCCACACGACGCTACTCTTATTTTCGGCAACGCCTTCTGCACATCTGCAGCTCTGCATTCTATCGCGCCGGCGCAACCGCCCACTCACACCTCGAGAAACATGGCGCTGAACCTAAGTCTCACCCTCACTCCATCCCCCGTCTTCTTGTCCCCGGCTTCAGGACCTCAGCTCGTGCCGAGACTGCGGTCTTCTCTGTTGCTTTCCCTCATTGTCTGCCTTTTTGCCTACCCATAGACTAATAAACCCGGGCCCGGATTTCAGTCTCAAGCCCTGGCTTTCTAGCTAGCCTCATTAGACCGGTTCGCTCCAACTTTTAGTGCAAGAATGAATGAATTCGGATTCGTGCTCTGGGCCCGAGACACAAGATAGCAGAGCTATCAAACTATGTTGGCACTGGCTTGCCTTAATCTGCTAATTTCGACCTCAGATTGTAGTTACCGTATTTCACATGCTGCCAATGCATTCTCTAAGCTGTGCGTGTTGGTTTGGCTTCGGCTCGAGATCAACAGTCACCTCTTCTTCTCGCGCAGTATGCCCTCCATACTTACAATCGATGACGGATCCGGCACTGGTCCTTGCCAGCTCGATGAGCTCGTTCGTTCGTAGCGCATCCAATGCACCTAGTGACTTAGTATCCCCATGTGCCTGTCGGCAAGGATGTTCCCAGGACCCCGGTCACCCATGGTGGTGTTCCCTCCTGATCTGACTAGGGTGGGTTCTCTGTTTAGGTATCTACATAGACTAGTGTGGGATTTCTTACTAGGAATAGTTCGCAGCGGCGCATCTCCCTCTGCTTGGCCCGCCGTGGATCCCCCAATGAAGCATTCTTACATCTTCTCTGTGAAGCCCATTTTTCTCTTCCGCCCTTCATTCTGCGCTCATCATCCGCATTCATCTTCTCAGCCTTGAAGCGTGTATCTACTTCTCTGTTTTGTCGCTATATAGAGTCTGGCGGAACCCCTCTCATCCACAGCCCACAATCACTCACCAACCGTATTAACTCGGTATCTTGGCAGCATTTCCTAATCAGCAGAGCCTTCTCAGGACTCTCACACTTGCTCGTCAATTTTGCTTTTGAGTGTTGTATACCCTGACCTTATCCACGCTTGGATATCCCAGCGCTAGAAGCGCCACACACATGGCTCCAATGGCTACTACAGAGAGCCTCAAGAACGGCACTGAGTCTGGTCCTAGTCATATTAATGTGTCCAAAGCCAATGGATACCACTTGGACAGCAATGGCACCAATGGTCACAACGGCCACAACGGCTCGACACCCAGATATGCCGGCTTCTCGCCTGCTTCAACAGACTCACGTCCGCAGACAGCGTCTTCAAAATCTTATCAAGAGGAACCCCCATCCAATGGTATCAGATACAGCAAATCTCACAGAATCCCGACTTTCGGAATTCACGAAGAAGACAACGCCCCTAGATCAAGGAGCTACGCCAACATCCGCACATATGCCGACGATGCTCGAAGGCAATATCCTCGCATATCAAAGCCGGTCGAGCTGATGCGCAGCAGCTATGATGTCGTTGTCATCGGTTCAGGGTACGGTGGTGCTGTCGCCGCATCCCGCCTCGCCCGTTGCCAAGATGCCAACGGCAAGCGTCAGTCTGTATGTGTACTGGAGCGAGGAAAAGAGAAGTGGCCTGGTGAATATCCTACTGGCGTTCTCGATGCCTTTGACGAGCTTCACGTTTCCGGCGAGTTTGCCCCTGGTTGGCTCCCCAGCACAACTGTGGAAAAGGGTGACCCGACTGGCATGTACCACTTGATCTTCGGGAAGGGGTTGAACGCCGTCGTTGGCAATGGTAACTACATGTTTTCCTGTTATGTTGAGAATCATCTGCTAACTGATGACAGGCCTGGGTGGCACGAGTTTGATGAACGCCAACGTCTTTCTAGAAGCCAACGAGGCCACCTTGTCTATGCCTATCTGGCCCAAGTCCATCAGGGAGAACCCCAAATGTCTGGAGAAGTGTAAGCCATTCGCCCCATAGGATTTTGTACGAAATCTTTGTAGACATTACTGACACGTAGTCACTCAGTTTACCAAAGAGCTCGGGATGTTCTTGAGCCCACTCAATACCCAGATGACTGGCCCGAACTTCCCAAAGTCAATCTCTTCAAGAAGCAGGCTGCCGCTCTTGGCATGTCCGACAAGTTCAAGATGGTCCCTCAGACAACCAGATTCCGCAATGGTCCCAACAGTACTGGTGTGGAGATGTCTCCATCAGCTTTGACTGGCCAGGACTGCACTGGTGTCAATGATGGCTCCAAATCGACTACATTGGTGACTTACCTGGCTGATGCCTGGAACTGGGGCGCAGAAATGTTCTGCGAGAGCGAGGTTCGTTTCATCAAGAAGGCCGACCCGCGCGTTGGAGGGTACCTCATTTTCTTCGCCTGGCACGGCCGGAACCGAGGTCACTTCAAGGCCAATCTCCACGGAGACTTGATGTGGGTGCATGCGAAGGAGTGCGTCTTCCTCGGTGCCGGTGCTATTGGTAGCACTGAGATCCTTCTCCGTAGCAAGGAGATGGGACTGCCCCTGAGTCCCCGCGTCGGCGAAAACATGAGCGGCAATGGCGATATGCTAGCCTTTGGGTAAGTTTGGACCTTTCTATTCTACTCCGAGACGTATGCGACTGACCGCGGTCTCAGATATAACATGGACGAGGAGGCGAACGCGATCGGGAAGCCCTTCCCGAACCCGTATAACCCTATCGGGCCTACCATCAACTCCGTTATTGATGACCGTGAAGGGCACGAGAACCCTCTTGATGGATATGTCATCCAAGAAGGAGCTATCCCTCGTTCTTTGACACCGTTCCTT